TCATTTCTAGCTTTTCCTTTTCGGGATTTTCAGTGGCAGGAGGCGGCGCCCAGGGTCGACGGGCAGGGTCAAGGAGGTGACGTCAGCAGCTTGCTGACGTAATCTTTGGAATTAGACATTGTGTTACTATGTACTCACTAGAGCGGGTCTTTCTTACAAGTTCTTATCTTGATTTTTGAAGGTAAAGGCAGCGGGCGCAACGCGAAAGACTGTTCTAAGTGCGTATCTTTTGAGAATGAAAAGGATCATGTCATTTATCGAGTCACCGGCAAGTCACAGTGACGCAACCGGCCTCCAACGGCTGGTCCAAAAGCATGTGAGCTGAAATTGCGAATGCTATTGACATATCGCAGAATCTCAAAAGTCAAACGAATGCGTCAAATATGGTCAAGCAACGCTTTGACTGACTTTTTATTTCTTCGACGGAGCTCCTCTCACAGGAAGATGGTTGGACCGGAGGGAAGGGTCTGAAGCAGTGCTCCCAGACAAAAGCCATCCGCAAAAAGGACCCTTCGTTTTAAAGCCCATTTTAGCGGCAAAGGTGACGGGGTGGAGTCCGAACAAAGCTGGCAGGGACACTTTTGCCTCAACGGCAAGTCCATTGTAACAAAAGTGTCTAAACAGCAACGCAGCAGGTGCCGAACCGCTGAGTCTCTGGAGCTTCTTACTTACTGATCGCCGACTAGGTCCCGGGCCCCCAACCCGGTGCAATTCACGACCAGGTCGTAGGCTTGCCCCAAATCTCGGTAGATGTCCCCGACCCTTTTCCTCACAAACCCCCCCCCCCGGGCTAGGATCTCCTCTTCGAGACAGGGCAGATATCTTCGCGGCTCGCAGATGATGGTCGAAAACACCCAGCCGTGCTTGAATTCGTGAGGGTGGAATTGATAGAGCTCGCGGGGGGTGGCGTGCGCGAAGCGGGAGACGACGTCGCGCCAGGGGGGGTCGGGGTGGGCGTCGGGGCCTTCCTAAGGGGAGAGAGACAACTAGGTCGATGAGAACCACAAGATTAGGACTTCGTTTGGGGCGGGGAACGTTGTCATGCCAGGGGGGGCCGGGGCGATCGTAGGGAGAGGATATGAAATAGCTTGATGGGAGGCTCAAGGAAGATAAACAAGGGAAACGTTGCTCCAGCTGGGGTCATGTGGGCGTCAGGACCTTCCTAGGGGAGACCGAAAACCAGGATGAGAGGCGAGAAAACTAGGTTGAGGAGAGTCTCAAGCGATATATAATTTGTATCAGAGCGGGGGACATAGTCGCGCAAGGGGGGTAAATTTCGGGGTGGGCGTCGGGGCCCTCCTAGGAAGAGAGGGTGAACTAGGTTGAGGGAAATCTCAAGGAAGAGTGTAAGTAAGGCGGGGTACGACGTCGCGCCAGGGGGGCTCCGGGGTGGGCGTCAGGGCGTTCCTAGGGGAAGACAGACAACAGGGGTGAGGAGAGAAAAAAGAACGGTGAGAAGGATCTCAAGCGATACGGTAATCTGTGATAGGACGGGCGACGACGTCGCACCAGGTGGGGTCGGGGTGGGCTTCAGGGCCATACTATGCAGGGAGCAAATTAGGTTGATGAGAATCCAAAAAGAGATACTGACTTCTTTGTGAGAGGTTAAAAACGTGGTCAGCTGATAGGGGGGAGCTTTCTGGGAGATGACAAGAGCAGAGACACTGAGCCAAAGTGGTGAAACCTCGAACCAAAAGATGGGTCAATAGGGAAGCCTTAAAAGTGTGCAAGGGAGGCCGGACATGCGAGTACTGCGACAACTTTGGAACCCCAGGCTCCCAGAAACGTCGATGGGTGAAACTACTTTTATGCTCGTCGGTAAACTCAACGGTGAAGCCGTTGGCTCAGAAGTCGCTCCCCTGGTGTCCAAAAATTTGCGGTCTGGACCTTTCGAATGGAAGCGGTTGTACAGTTGTGGGACTGACAAGGCTGACTTTGGAGACTGGTGAGCAACTCGTGGCGAAATCCCGATCAAGCCACGTTTCTTCTCACTTTCTAGAATTTCCGATACAAAAGAAAATAAGGATGAGAGCATTCTTGCATTGTTTTGCTTGTTTCCAAAAAGAGTGGAGCAGCCATGGTTAATATACACTAAAGCAAAAGCCTTTACTCCACCACTTGCCTAAGTCTGGCCTTTGTGCTGACTCCCGATTTCTCATGTCCAATCGCATGATGTCCTGCTTTGTCCAGATTCGGATGCAAGAGATGTTGAAGCAACAAAAAAAATTGTCATTATCTCTGTGTCCGACTCAATGACTACGCAGCCCTCTGGAAATCGCACTTCCGACGCAATGAAACTAGTCTTCAGGAGACAATCTGTCCAACGCAGAGCCTCGGAAGTTAGGTGTAAAAGTAAGCATGCGAGAGGCAAACGGAGCCCCACCTTGAAGAACTCATGCCCTGTCACAGGAAAGACGCCCTTCTTGCCGGCATCCCTGCTCTGAAGCTCCCTCTCGAGATGCTCATGAGTTATCTTGCCCCACTTCTTAACCAGCTCTGGATCCTGTGCATCACCTGCAAGGCAAGGACCTTGGTTTACTGATCTTAACCCGCTTTCTTAACCTTATTCCAGAAATATGAAGTTGCCCTACTCAGGTAGCTCTGGCTCTTGTTTCCTGCCTGCAAGGAAATGAACTTTGAAGTCAACTAAAAGGTGCACACATCTATCAGCTGGCATCCACCAATTGACCTTCTTTTCCGAACGTCCGTGTTACGATTGTCGCAGCACGTTGCATTCTGCAAATGCTTTCTGCGCACAGGAGTGCGCTGCCTGTATCGAAAGCCAAAAGTTTATCATGTAGAACTTGAAGAGGGGTTCTATCTTAGCTTTCCCTTTCGCTGAAAACAACCGATGAATCTTCAGTGCACATGACTCAAAATGTCAACCAGCTGGCCTGCATTCACGAAACTGTTCCCTCTCAGGAATCGCAAAATTCCCAAACGTACTTCATTTTGATGATTCATGGCCAGCTCCTTTTACATCCCTGCCATCGCTGCGCCCCCAGGAGTTGATCAAAACACCACAAAGAGACAACACCAACGAAGATATACCTAATGGAGTAAGGACCTAGGGCCTGCAGAAAGGCTTTCTGACCTAGTGAGTAGGGCATCCACAGCCCGCCCGCCCCATAGCTGGTGGTCTCCTGCCAGGGGCGGTCGGAGATCACCGTTACGCTGACATCAGGAATGCTCCTAGCGATGCAGACCGCAGTCGACAGGCCAATGATGCCGCTGCCTATGACCGCAACTCTGTGGCTCATGGCGACGGATTTTCCGCAGTGGCAAGCATTTTGTGCAAGGAACAAAGCCGTAGCTGCAAACTAGTGCGATCCTCTAAGATCTCATCATCCCATCTTCGCTGCATTCAGAAAAAGAATGGAGGAAGGAAGGTGGAACTAAATGATACGAGTTTGCGTGAGCGTGGCTCGCTGAGCTGCACTTTGGCTAGCGACTCTTTCCACCCGGGGGAAGAGTCTCCGGGGGCGATTATGAAACGACATGGCTCCAGCAAGCTGCCTCGGTGTCAAACACCGGCAGGTCTGTACACCTGCTGGGTCGCCGCGAAGGTGAGTGAGTTTCCAGGGGGATTGCTCTGGAACAGCTAGAAAGAGCTCTTCGCGTTCTTCTGTTATTCAGAGGTTCTGCAGTTTAGGGGCAGGCTAGTAGAGGGGAGCTGATTAATGGGCGCTGCTCAAGCGCCACAGCAGCCTAGGAAAGGACTGGGAGCCTGGCAGGCGGAGCTAGTTGCATACGGAGAACTGACTGGAAAAAGATAACCGGTGGTAGCGCCGCCAATTGCCGCTCACCTTAGCCAGATGGCGAACTGGTTGTAACCTTATGAAACAAACACAAGCACATTGACCGAGAAGACTGTTCTGGGGAAAAGAAAAAGGCAAGTCTCTTTGGAGGAATGTTTTGTTCAAAAAGTGGTGCAGCGCTACAGGATCGAACTCCAGGAATTCTCGCCCTGATAATCCGGACATAGAGTTCAATCTGCAGATTGCCAGGGATGTTCTGACATGCGCCCCAACTTTCTGCGGATCAGCAAAAGTGGCTCGCCGGCACCCTCGCACAGGCCATACTAAGGAACACCACATCTCTGAGCGGTTCTTCTCTGTCTGGTTGGAGGACAGAATCTACACAACAGATGGTAGCCCTGAGCTTCAATGCACATTTGAAAAGAACAGTGTTCACGTTGAGTATCATGGCAGACCCTTTGAACAAGTCCCGAAAATCTCTGACAGTAGCAGACTGCGTTCACATGAGGATTCTACTACGTCTAGTGAGGGTGAGGACGAAAGTGAGGACACCAATGACAGTGAATATGAGGAGAAAAGCGAAGACACAGATGAGGAGGTGACGACAGATGCGGCAGGACATGGTGGTGAAAAGAAGGATAAGAAAGACAAAGAGGACAAGGGTGAAAGTGGAAGGTGTCCGGATGCAAGGTTGAAGTTCGTGCGCCACCTAAGCACAGCACCAGTGACCATCACTTTCACCATTCGCGTGGAGAGAACCTTCTTGGAACGAGATTGGAATGTTTATAGGCGCTTCAAAGCACCAGAACCGAAGTCTGCACTGCTGAGGGATGCAGAGAATGATGGAGACGTGTACCTTCTGACCAAGGTGCGTAGAAATGCTCAACGATCTGGTCTTTGTGTCTCAAAAGATTTCATAATGGCTTCTTCTCTTAGAAGGTGGTTTGTGAAGAAGCATCGATATGCTTCTTGTCAACTTAGAGTTTACCAAAAGCAAGGTTGTTATTTCTTAACCTCTTTCTTGCTCAGTGAATGATCAGGGAGCCAGCCCTGACTGGTCAAGCAAAAGCTCTTTTATGCTTCCACATTGCTGTTAAGCCCCCCTTTAAACAGAATTTTTGGAAGAAACCAATCACGTTTTATAAGAAGGAGCCTAAGGTCTGCTGATTAAGGAGGCATTACAAGAAAACAGTGACTTGCATCTGTTTGTCGGATTGTCTGGAGGCGCTTGGGAAGTCCTGAAAATCAGTTGATTATTATAGCTGCATGTTAAAAGGACCTCCATTCGTCTGATCAGCGCAGTCAGGGAGCAGATATTGATAATATCAAACGATCCAGATCTCTCCTCACAACTTGCAAGGTCATGCCTATCTCAATTATACAGGTTCTGTTTGTCGAAAGATTTGACATTTGCGTTCGTCGTGCATTTGCCAGGATGGTACGAAGGTGGCAGCACAGTCAGCGGTTTTGATGAAGGTGCCCTACTTTTCGGCTCTACTGGAGCCCCACTGGAAGAGGAAGCCGCAAACGCCAGGTCAACAGCTGGAGTTAGACCTGCCGTGTCCTGTTGAAAAGACCGCCCTCCAGATCTTTCTCAACTACGTGTATGGAGACACCGGGCCCCTTTTCCGCATTCTGCCGCTCCACGCACAAGTCTTACAGGTAAAACACAGAAACCTGTAGAAACTTCCTCTCGTTGAAGTGCGAGCGCTGTGGGGATTGCATTTCTGCTGAAAGCACGGTTTCGAACTGTATCATCTTGTTTGCAGTTGACGAAGACCGTATTAAAATACTCGAGTTCCTTACATTCGCTAATGTGATCCGTGACAGAGGAACAGCATTCCACGAAGCGATGTCTGATGCGCTCTCTAGGCTGAGCTTCTCATGGACGTTTATCTGTCTCTGTTGACTTCGTAGGAAGAAGGGTTTCGGTCCAATCTCCGCAGCGGAAGCCTTACAAAGATCCTCCATATACTTATACAAAATCCCGCCTTGCATATGCAGGACATCCTCAGGCTCGCAGATGCGTGTGACGTTCCAGCATTATGCAGCGAGATAGACGGCTTTGTTGAGGTGACCAAAGAGAACGCACAACTCTGGCTTCAGTGGCTTCGGGAGATGCGGGGTAGCAACATTGAGTTGAGCTCCATCCGAAAACAAATGGTCGGACACTTGAAGCAGGTCTTCAGCGAGGCTGTCATGTGGGAGGACTTGGACGATGATCAACTAGCTGCACTTGTTGCGTTTGGACACGACCTCAGAAATCGAGAGTCTTGACTCAAGCCATACTGGCCTGTCTTATGGGGACAACCTAATCAGCGAGAACATTATCATAGCCTTAGGGCCAGAGATTGACCTTGCAAACAGTATACACAACTGCGTCGCTTATCGGGCTATTGTGCAGTCTGGAAAGGATCGACCGTCCTTTCCAGACTGCCTTTCCGGACCACCTTGAAGAAATCCAGCTCGATCCGCTTATCCACGGTACCGTACCTAGGTCCTGGACGCTGACTCGGAGCAAATGAGTCGTCCAGCCTGGCCGTTTTGCATGATTTTTCCGCATTGAAATCAACAGATCCAGAATCACATGCTAGGGATGGTAGAGAAAGATCGACCTAGGGGGCTAATTCTCAGCCAAAGTTCGGTTGGAAAACATAAGTTATAACTAAGATAACTAAGATATATCTAGACTGCATTCAGTCTACTAGAGAAAGCGCTGATTGTATGATAGCATGCAGATCTTAGATCAATCATGCATGATCCACTGAGATTAAGTACGAAGGCCCGGATTACGTACCCGGTATTTCCAATTGCATAATGATGCTAGCATTCGCAGTCTTGTAATTAAGTTTGCCTCCGACCGCACGGCGTCGGAGCTATAGGACTGCACTAGCTCAAAAGCTAAACGGGCGATCTTTCGCGTTAAGGCGATTGCATGTTGTACGTCATCTGGCAGACATTACCCGTCGAATTTTGCGCTCACTTTGGCAGTCAAATTGCAAGTAAAGAATATTTACCGCCCGGCTACCGGCCGCTCTTTACCGGCACGACAAAGGACATGAAACGTCTTGAACATCAGTGCACGAAAGTCTGATTTTTACCTGATTGCATCCCTTACGAACTTGCGGGTTAGCATGGCAAGATGCAAATAACACTTGGTAACATTGTTTGTACTGGCACCGGCTGCCTGTCGGTGTAGTCGATGGGGTCGGCCCTCTTGTAATGCATGCACTCCCTCTGCAGCCCCTGGGCCCCGCTCAGCGGCTCAGCGACTCACTGCTGATGCTTTTCTCTCCAGATTTCCACAATCGAATTGCCCGGCCCGCGCTTTGCATCATGCACTGCGAAGAACAATCCTTTGTTATGCGCTTTGATTTGCTCTCCATGGAATCAATAAAAACCTTCAGCTACGATGCGTTTCGAGAGCTGCCCTTCCTCCTCTCTCTCATGGAATCTTCCCTAGCTTGATAAGTCCAGGCCCTCTTTCTGTTCGGTTTTTAAACTTGCAATCTTTAGTGGTGCCACAGAGTACCACATATGCAATTGTCCAATTCCCGCACCTCCGCACCATCTCGTATGGTCAAGGCCGTTTTTTTGCCATTAGCACGGGAAAGACTCCACGCACATGTACGTATGCCTGAGGATCAATTGCAGAGGACGTGAGACTTCGGATTAAAAGAGGCGGACTTTTGCAAGGGACATATCAAACCACGTTGAACCGTATTCTTCAGGAACATCTGATGAGATTTTACTTGATGTGTTCAAGGTGGTCAGCGTTGGACGATGCGTCTGCTTTGCTGGAAAGGACATAAGAAAACCAGACGGTCGAAGAAGGATAGGGTGCGCAAGTCGTCAACGAATGACGATACAATGACCTCATCGAATCGAAACGCCTGCAGAAAGAAGGCTTGCATTGCAGTGGACTCTTTTCCCTTGCGAGTTCGGATCGAAACTCGTCGCAGGTGCAAAACACCACCGGTTTCACTCTGCACCGATGTATTCCCAAAAACTCCGAGCTCACTGCCACATAGTCACATTGTCAGCTTATATTGATGCGAACATCGAAGTCTCAGGTTGCTTGCCTTACCTGGTCGTCCGCAGCTGTTTCACTTGGACTCTGACCATCCATATGGAATCGGCAAATACCTTCCGCTTCGCTCGACTGGCCTTGTCACTTCCCGCCCGCTCTTCCCCCATCTCCGCTTCCGAGCTCCCACCAGAGTATATTGCTTCTTCTTTGAAAGCTGCCCCTCAGCTTGACAGAATGCAAGCGGACAAGTGGAGTAGCCAAGGATCGCAGCCTCCCAACTCCTGAAAACGGCTTGTATTCATGCTTTGCCGCCATGATCCGCACAGCCTTCCAGCCTAATCATGCATCCGTTATCCGAATTACGGTGCTATCCGTTTGGTCAACGGTCCAACCCCCTAGAAAGGCTTCTGCGCCGCACTTCGTGGCGACCCCGCAGCGTACGGAGACGGGACGCGAGGCGACGGTAACTTGAACCCCTGCGCTTTGCCCCCCGACCCTCCGGGAGGAGACATCGGGACCGCAAAACCCGAGCCGCCCGGTCGTAATGATGGCAGGGGGGGCCGTCCGCCCCTGGGTGAAGAAGGCCCTCCCCCAGATGGCGCCAGAACCTTTGCAAGGTGCGGGGGCAATGCCTTGGGGGGGTGAGCGTTGTTGGCGACCTTGAGCCCCTCTCCCGACAAAACAGCGTTGCGCAGAAGTCTCTCTTTCTCGACGAGGGCCGGGTCTGGTTTCGCCGGGGGCTGGTATGCGGACGCCGCGTGCTGGCTAAGCGTCCGGCGCCCGGCTTGGATCGTCCGGTTGGCGGCGTCGCAGGCGGAGCGGATGGTTTCGATCTGCTGCTGTAGGCGGCTGATCTGGGCCTGGACGGGGGGCGGAATCTGGGCCGGCTGGCCCCCCCGCTGCGGTGTAGTGAGGCCCATCTTTGTTTCGAGTTGCTCCTGGAGAGAGGCCTGCATATTGAGAACAAAGGATGAGCAATGAAATCACCTTGCTTTGGGTACTCTTTCTGCGTTCTGCTCCACTGTTTTCCACCATCCGAACATGTCTCCGAAAGCAAGAGAGCATCAAATGCAACCGGGCCAAGATTCAAATGAGCCAAAGGTGCTACCATCGTTTGCCAGACGTGCTGCTTCATTCACCAAAGTATGATCGATCCCGCCTCTTCGGAAAGGATTGTGTCCGTTCCAAAGAAGAGCAGAGACTGGCTCACCCGCTCCGCTTCCATCTCCGGCAGCAGTTTGGTACTCAGCATGAGAGGCAGGATAGGCGCCGTCTCGGGCCCCACTCCGCCAGCCTTTGGGTACACCACAAACATGCGCAGAATGGGCTTCATGTCGGCCACCAGATTGAGCAGCTGCGTGTTCAAGACGGCAAACTGGTTCAGGATGTCGGGCCTGCGAAACAAGGGGCAGAATGGGAAATTATTGTCAGAAACGGTTCTGTGGAAGATTGACTGCAGGAGCCCAAGCTGTGTGCGATGAGAGCTTCCAATCCGCAATCTGCCAGTGCTTGTGTGACAGTTGATGGGATTGATCGTGGTGCTGTGGATCGCAAGAGTGCATCAAGCTGGCTTGCAAGTGCCCGAAAGAAACTTTCACGAACGAACCGCATGCCCCAAACTCAACAAAAGAGCTGGACTCAGGGGGAATGCCTGCAATCCTTGAGACTTAACAAACCTCAATCTGCAAATCAGTCTGCAAATCCCTTCAAACAGCCAGCGATATGAAACAAAGCCAGTTTTCAGAGGAGACGAGTCTTGTATTCTGCTGCTAGTCAACAAGTCTTTATGGTTGTACTCACCACCGAAGGGCACCCGCATACTGGGGCTGGAAGACGTCACGCAACCTTCCAATTGATGCATACAGCTCCATGGCACGGTTCTTGACTGCGGTCAGATTCAGTTGAGCCAAGACTGGGGCCAAGTCTGAATCAGGAACTGGTAAGCCCGGCGGTTGTACCTGCGCCTGGGGCGTCCCCTGAGAAGGAGCCGCCATTTGAGCTTGGCCAATGCAGCTAGCGCAGCTACTTTTGGACGATGCGCCCTTCTGCCGCCAACATTCTAATAACTGTGCTTTGCATATGGACTTTCGCTTCCAAGGCCCTTTCTTTACGCAAAAGTAGCTTCGCCTAGCTGCTCTGCAAATGCATTTTCATGGGAGGAGCATCTCCATGAATACTCCCGCTGAACATCACCTTCTCTCGTAACAAGGCCTTCGCTGTCTGGGCGCGCCATCAAGAACCCAGCCCCGTTTCGGGGGCCGGAGCAGCTCAAAATGGCCGCATTCTTATCAGGGCAACCGATACCATTTCCGGAGACCTTGGTTCAAACCGTTCCCATATATGCTTTGTTTTGACACACATCTTCTCAATTTACCCACTTCAAGTTCTTGTCTTAGCTCGAGTTTTGCTGCATTAAAGTGTTCAGCATTTGCCAGAATCAGTGCTGGGCTTCTCTTCTCGCTTGTGCCCCTGTAGCGGTGCATCAAGGAGGGCCCTACTCCAGCTGCTATGTGCTTGTGGACCACTGTTCAAGAAGACTGCACCACCTTATTGACGTCATGACGTCTGGAGAGCTTTAGTACATGCTGGGAGTAGTCCACTGGCAGTGCCGCCTGCTGAGCTGATTTCCAGCTCCCACCACTAGAAATAGAGGGAAACATTTCGTTGAACGATCACTTCATTTAAACAGCAATCAAAATTTCTGCAGCCAGATTGGTTTAAGCTTACCAACACAAGAACAGAAACCCTGGTCACTTGCGGCTGGTCGCCATGTGGTTCCTGGCGTTCTTTGCGCACCGACACCTAGACTTCCGGATAGCAGAAGTTGAGTCCCTGGTGAAACTTTGTGGCGTTGAAGGCCAGTTGCAATGGAAGAAGCCAGAGGGCGACCACGAGCACTCGCCCTTCTACTACTTTGATTTGCCTTCTGAGGAGGTGGCCAAGAAAGTGGCGGGGCGGTCAATACTGCTGAAAGGCTTGTATGAGGTGAGTGCAGCCGTCTCTTTGGACCCACCTCATTTGGAACTTCTTGCCCTCACAATGCTTCTTGAGACACTTGAGTTTTGCGCCTGAAGGTTAAGGAGCTGGTCCTGGTGGTGGTTCTCGTTGAGTTTCGGTGTCCAACAAACAAAGTGTTTCTCTTTTGGAGCAGAGAGGGCTCTGTGGAACTAGCGTTCTGACGAGGCAGACTTCCCAGTCTTCTAGAATGAGAAAGTTGTAAGCTAACATCGACAAGGTTTGACGAAGATTCGCTTCTCAGCAGATTGGAGGTTACATTTTGACTTGAAATCAAAGGGAACTTGCCTTTTTCTAGGAAGCAATCTTCGGTGTCTGCTTAGATTAATCTAGGCAAAAGCGGTATGTGCTGTTGGACCATCTTAGAAAAAGCTGCGACGTCCCTACTCACCAGGATGAGTTCCCCATGCTGGTCTGGGCCCCTGGTTACGCGCTTGACTTGATGCGGTGTCATTTGCTCACCTGGATGGTACAAAATCAGTTTGCTAGGAGGTTGGAGGTGGCACTGTCGTTTTCCTCTTCATGTCAGCCATTCAGGGCACAATGTAAGAGTCTACGGCATGTGGGCAGGATAGTTGGCCCATTTTTGGAAAACACGGCTGCCGAAGCGCCACAGAAGAAGCAGATGGAATCGCAAATGCGAGAAAGGAAAGAGCACCTGAACCAACCGATATTGTCCGCTCCCCTTCAGATCCGAGGGTCCAATCAGAAAGTAGTGGGGATTGGAATCGACGTAGGCTCCTCCTTCCTGATTCGCCCCCCAAGCTCTCACTTGTGAAGTTGTCTTTTGACTTGTTCACATGAGAAATTTCTGGAACATTCCAGTCGTTCAACCAAACACCTTCCTGCAACCCTTTGCAGGTCTGGGGGTCGAAGCACACGGTAAAAAAGGTCGAGACCAGCATCCGCACACATCCGAGGCGCAAGATTGCACGGAACGGGCTTAACTCATTCTACTTCGTTTCTACCTGTCACCATAGAAAGCCCTACTTGAACATTTCGCAGGTTTGGGGGTCGGGGCACACAGTAGAAGAGGTCGAAGCCGGCATTCGAGCATATCCGGAGGAGCGGAAGGCGCCGTTTCTGGGGGAGGACGTCAGCTTCAAAGTGGTCGTCGACGGGTTTGGGAAGGCGTTCACGATGGAGGAGCAACTGCAGAAGATGGAGCGCTTTGCGTTCATCCCCTGGAAAGTGAGTGGGCGGGGACCAGTCCTGCTTTGATGGCCATTCTGTAGCTGTCATGGTCGCTTCGACTGGATGATTGCTCGGTTGTGAAATCTGTTCGTGAAAGACGCAGGTAAGACGGGGCACTTTGAGGGAGTGCGCACTTTTGGTACCCAATTGTTATTAGATGGTACAGAATCTCAAGGTAGCACTCTGTACTCACATCCTCGTTCGTTTTAGACTTCTGGTGGCATTTTTGTCGGCTTCTGGAAACACCCTTATCGTCCATGCCATCCTGTACTCCATTCATGGTTTCCTGCCTGTTTGCTCACCTTGGTCAGGGGTATGTAGTGTTCCTCCATCATCTCAAATCAGGAACAAATGATACAACGTGAGAAAGTAGAATGACAAGAAAAAGGAGTCATTTGAGGATGGTGAGATTCGGACGCTTCCTTTAACGTCCCGTTTACATACTTCTTCTAGGACCTCCGCTTCTGCATGTGCACGCACTGATTTTGCAGACACTTCTTCATTCTCTTCTGGGAACTTACTAGAATGATAGTCGTTCCGTGTGCGAGAATTCCCGTACCTCAAAGTGTGATCTGGACGCTTTGCCAGGGCCCCGTCCGCATGAAGGACCCGGACGTCCGCTTCTGGATCATCGACAGCCTGGGGGGCTACGACCCGCTAGGTTTACCCCCCCTCCAGGACCGCATCATCTTTTTCGGACGGGAGATTGGCGCTTCCGAACGGGGCGTGCTCGGCAAATACGACCTCAAGAAGCGGAGGTACATCGGTCCGACGTCGATGGATGCGGAGATTTCGTTTCTCATGGCTAACCAGGTGAGGATGATGTTCGAGTGGTTTCTGGATTAAGCCTGGGTTAAAAGGTGTCAGGATTTGGGTCAGGAGCTGAATTTTATGTGAAGTCCTGGCTCGAGCTTGTTCTATAGAGTCTTGGGACGCGTGCCTTTGATAACGATCCTGGTCCGGTTGCAGGGCATATGCCCTTCGAGGTGGAGCCCCGGAAGGTTCCCATGTTTTAGTAGTTAATACCGGGCAGTTGTTTGCGCAAGTCATCAAAAGGAGGACATTTGCGTACACAGTGCTTGATGATCTAGAACAGCTTTTGTTTCCCAGAAAAATTGAATCGTTTCCAGCCCGGACAACTGATTGAACACCGTGGCACGCCTTTTCCGTTCCGCCCGTTCCACCCAGAGCTCCCCAGTCTCTTTTCGCCCCCACGAATCAAGTAAACCTTCCTTCTCAGGGGTTATCCCGGCCGGAGAGTCTCGTCTTCGACCCTTTTCGTCGCACTGGCAGCTTTTTGATCAATCCAGCACTCCGTTTCCGTTCCGGCCGTTCCTTGTGTCCATTCCGCTAGCTGCCTCCCCTGGGGGGCTCCCAACATGCTTTGCCCCCCAACAAGAAGCAGAAACCTTGTTAGTATCTTTTGGCAGGGGTTAGCCTGGTCGGGAAGTCTCGTCTTCAACCCCTTTCGCGGCACGGGCAGCTGTCTGGTCTCCGTGTTACGCCTTTTCCGCTCCGCTCGTTCCGTCTCCGCCGGAAGCTCCCCAGTGTGTTCTCTATACCACGCACCAAATATAAATTTCTCCGCTCCGCAGGGATTGGCCCGGCCGGGGAGTCTCGTCTGCAACCCCTTCTGCGGCACGGGCAACTGACTGAACTCCGTGGTATGCCTTTTCCGCTCCGCTCGTTCCGCCGGTCCGCCCAGAGCTGTCCAGTGTGTTTTCCCTCTCACGCACCAAGTGGCTTCTTTCTCCGCAGGGGGTAAGACCGGCCGGGGAGTCTCGTCGTCAACCCGTTTTGCGGCACGGGCAGCTGTCTGACCTCCGTGGTACGCCTTGTCCGTTTCCCGTTGTTCTGCCGTTTTTGCCCAGAGCTCCCCAGTTGTGTGTTCCCCCCAGTCAAGTATACGTTTTCTTGCAGGGCCTGGCTCGGCCGGGGAGTCTCGTCTTCGACCCCTTTTGCGGCACGGGCAGCTGTCTGATCCCCGCGGCGCATTTTGGAGCGCTCACGCTTGGGGCGGACATCGACATCCGGGTGGTCAAGTACGGCAAGCGGGGGCACACCATCTGGAGCAACTTCGAGCAGTACGGGCTGACCGCGCCCGTCGCGATCTTGCGCGCAGACAACCACCAGCAGCCGTGGCGAAAGTAAGGGGCCTTCGAAAGTTCTGTATCAATGGTATTTCTTAGTTTCGTTTTGTGAAGGCTTTGTTAAAAAGAAACACTATCGGGAGCAACTTCGAGCGGTATGGGCGAACGCGCCGGCCGCCATTCTGCGCGCGGACAACCACCAGCAACCCTCGTAAAGGTAGCTTGTCTTTGAAAATCTGGGTTTCGAGTTTCTGGGTTTTGAGTTGTTTGAATTCTGGGCATGCGCAAAAGTAGAAGCAACTTCTGGCAGTACGGCCTGAACGCGCCCGTCGCAGTTCTGCGCGGGGACAATAACCACCAACCCTGGTAAAAGTAAGAGGTAAGGAACAGGACTAAGTATTCAGGGTTTTTGGATCTCTTTTTTCCTTAAAAAAGAGGGTTCCGTATGAGGCAAGTCCAAGCAGCACGGTTTGAAAGCGCTGACGTGATCCTGCGCACGGACAGCAACCAGCAGCAGTGGCGAGATCGAACAGACGGTTTGGGGATCGGGGTCGACCTTTTTTTCCCGACTTGTAAACATTTCGGGAACCTAAGTAGTTCAGAAATTGTGGGTTTCGGGTCCTTGGAAAAAGAGAAGAGCGAAAGAGATGATGAATGTTCGGAGTCCAGCTTTAGGGTCCTCGAGAGTGGGGTATACAAATCTAAGTTTAGATGGCTCGTGGGACCGTCCTTGCACCCTCCTTGTGGAAGAAGTAGGTCGCACTTTAAACAGCCACTGCCTCTGCCTGCCTCTATAAGCGCAGGGAACCTTTAATGTAATCTCTGAGACCTGTCTGTCTCCTTGATTCCATAAATCTGCCGGTCAAGCATCTAATGCTTGGTGAATGGTAGACGTTTAGATTCTTGTAAAAGCGCCCGACAGCTTTCAAACAGAATCATCGTGCCGAAAAGAGGAACAGTATGATGCAGAGGTCTGTCTAGGACCTGTTCGATTTTTGTCCCGAAGTGCAGCAAAACTTTTTCCCGCGGTGCTCATCTTCTCCCCCCTCCCTGCAGCGACATCCGGGAAACGTTCCACGCAATCGTTTGCGACCCGCCGTACGGCGTCCGTGCGGGGGGCCGCAAATCCGGCGGGAAGAAGCTCCTCTCCGGAAAGGCGGAACCTTACGTCTTGACGGAACAGCAGAAAGACGGCCACATCCCTTCCACCGCCCCCTACACGCTCGCCGAGTGCTTACACGACTTGCTAGACCTTGCCGCGCGAACGCTAGTCATCGGCGGTCGGTTAGTCTTTTTCGTGCCGTGTTCGGTTCCCGACTACGACCCAAAACAGTTACCAACGCACCCGATTCTTAGGTTAGTGGCGAACAGCGAACAGTTGCTAACCCGAAAGTTTAGTCGCCGGCTGCTGACGATGCAAAAGACGGGGCCGTATACGGACGAGTTGGCCGCGGCGGCCGCGGAAACCAGCCGGGAATTTAGGGAGCGCCACGTGGAGATCGTCGAGCAGAGCCGGAACGAGGAGATCAAGGCGCTTTTATGTTCGTCGAAGCGAGGGGAAGAAGACGGGAACGAAGTTGAGGTCGCGAACGGGGATGACGGGGAGGATGGAGACGTGCCGGTTACGGAAGGCGGGGTGAGGGACGAACTGAGGACGTATAGGGCGAAGTGGTGCTAAGACACGTGGCCCATGTGTATGTGGCTCTGGATCCCTCTGTCCTCTTTAAAAGGGAGGCCGGTTCTGCTCGCATTATTTGATTAACCGTCATAGTCGATGATGCATGCATTCGAGCTTCATGAATGGGCGTCTCCATCACAACTTTGTTTAGTAAGTTACGTCCCCTTGCATTTCCACTAATGCCGTCCCCTTGCACTTCCACTAACTTATGCCGTACCCAGATTAAGGGCCGCATATAGTACGCAATGCACGCGGAAGCCTTTGTCCGGTTGTCTTTGCTGCATGCACGAAAATCGGAATCGCCACGTTCCACCTCAGTCGGTATGTGGATTTTGTCATATCCTTTTGCTGAAATTGTCTACTCGTGGCCGCCAAACTGCGCATCTTTTTGATCGTCAAAGTCTCGAGCGGGGCTAGGACGTGGCCTGTTGATTCTGCTTGACTCACGATCTCGATTCTCGGCTGTACAGCTGTGAATATACTGGTGTATCCAAAGCGGGCCGTTACCCGAAGCTTGAATGTAGTATCCAACCACAGAAATTACATAGCTGTCATCAAGCGGACAAGTTGCAGTGTGCCGCTTTCATACGCGTACCTTTGTATTTTATTCTCATATTAATACATCGATGCGGGATTGAACGGTCCAGATTTACAACGGTGAAGATCCTTACATCTCGCTTTACCATATAATTTCAAATCCAGGGGTTTGCGCTTTTGTTTTGCAAGTTTCTCAATTTTGCTAGGCCCCGCGAAATTGCTGAATCGTGACTCCTGCACGCGCGTAACCTTTCACCTGGCCTATATCGGCTCCAAAAACGTCGGCAGCCCGCGCGCAGCACACCCGTCATGTATGCAAGCATTTTTCAGAGTGTCAGATTTCTATTTTTGTTTCAGGACCTCTGCATCTCAGTGATTAGGTAGCGTATGAAGCTGGATCATTGCCGCCGCCAACAACAACGTTGAGATCGACCGCCTGATTCCTTATAACGTCAAACGGCGGAAGATACTATTTCAACTAGATGCCGGTCAACCGACAAGTTCGGAAAGTGAGCTTGTAAGGATAGTGTGTCTGGGTTTTACTACACGGTTCTTGTCGCTTGTTTGGGAATACACAAACAATAGCTACGTGCAGTGGATAACTTTGATGTAGAGAAGCCATCGAAGTCGGAGAACCCAAAAGTATAACAAGTCCCTCCATCCGTCGACAGTAGCTAAGAAGCAATCATTGCCCGAATTTGTTGGCTGGTCGCGGAAGATCTGCCACGTGGCTGTCATTCATTGGCCAGACGCACACCAACAGCCAGAAAATTGCGGGCGTCGACTTCTTGATTCTGTGTTGCCTTCACTTCGCGCTCGTTCTCGTGCTGTGTGATCGTAGCGGCGGGCATCTTCTCATCAGGAGCTAGAGGTCATTGATCAGAGCTCGATGACTAATCAAATGCTCTATGAGCAGTGACGAGGAATCTAGAATAATCATGAACCGTGTTCCAGCGTCGTTGAGTCGCCCAGAGCCGTTTCAATGCAGGCCGAACAGCGACTTCATAAGTAAGTGACCTCGTTGCTCTACCAGAAGCTTCGCCATGTCAAGGCGACTGTTGTCGCTTGCGGCTAAAAAAAGCATTAAGAAGCCTGTCCCGGAATCTACTGGGTATCTTAGTAGTTTCAAACAAGAATGGTAACAGTACCCAGGGATTTCCCCGACGTAGAAAGCGTGGCAGGCTGTCGAGTGAGGTTAGATAAAGCCCACTTGAGCTCAGTCCACAATTTCCAGAAGCGAACCTCTCTCATGTCATTCTTTGCTGAGCCATTACAGTACTCCTTTGTCCTCAATTTGTTTGTTCCCCGTTTTTGTGGGCGATTCATCACAACCCTCACAGCGCCTCTCACTATGTCGTATCTCAGCAACTTCGTGCCCCGTTCTTGAGCTCATTCTCGCCTCTTACCTCATCAAAACATCCCCCTTTCTCTCCGTGGGTTCCCGCCTCTTCTCTCAGAAAGTTTTCTGCCCTTCTCTGAACGCCTTCCCGGTTCTTTCCTTAGCGAGTCCTCGCCCCAAATCAAGGCGGCCTCTTGCGACCCTTCGCCGTCTCGGCCCTTCCTGAGCAGGGTTCCGTTTCTTTGGCGGCTTCTCCTCCGTTCATTTCAGCAAGTTCTCGCCCTTCTGCTCTCAATCTCGCCTCTTTTCTCAGCGGGCCCCTTTCTTGACCAATTCCCCGCCCTTTCCTTGGCTAGCTTTTGCCACTTTCCTCAGCGAGTTCTTGCGACAATCCCCGTCAGTTTGCCATGGCGGGGAAGAAAGCGTCCAAAGACTGCGGCTGCCGCATCCCGTTGCTGACGCCCCTCAACAATCAGCTCAGGAAAATTGGTCAGGTGGTGGATGATTGTTTCAAGGCGGCGTTTGGCGCGGCGGGGCTGTTCATTGCCAAAAGACCGCTCCTGGTGATTGCGGGGAGCCTTCTGCTGGCGGCGGTCTTTGCGCTGGGGCTCGTCCGGTTTGGGGTGAGGGCGCGCAGCTGAGGGAAAATTGTGCTGGAGGTTTGAGACAGTGCAGAGAAGGGATCCATCAGGAGGCTGATCGGGTGCAATCGTAGCATGGACTCAAGACTCGGTCCCACTGGAGAACCGTCTTTCTGAATGCAGATGCGCTCACCCCTGAAACCTATACCAGTAGCGACTGAAGTTTCACCTTCTTGGGATCGACGCTGAAATTCATCTTCCCGGCCAATATAAGAAAGTGGTCTAGAAGGGGTCTCGATCTACTATATCAGTTGTCTTCATGTGAAAAGGAAATCTACATCAATTTCCTGGCTCCAGGTTGCTTAGCAGAAGATTGGAAGGATGGAACGACTGGTGTGATAACGTTCTCGGGGGGATAATAGTGCTCAAATTGGACAGATTGGTGAAGAGACCTTGTCTCTTACCTGGGCAATCCAATATCGAGCTGCTTTTAGAACAATCATTGGGTCGTTTGCTCTGTGAGAAGATCGCTCTTACCTGGTGTGTAACTTACTGAAAGTGGTCTTTGAAACATCAGCTACGGGATGTCTGACTCACAAGCGCCGTGTCCCCGCCATAAGCTATGACTTGGCAGCGTGCCCCCCTGGCCCGTATCAAGTGAATTCCTTCACCGCAAAATAAATGAGGCAGGTCACTCCACAGTCATGAATATTTTCTTTAATTTATGGAAGTTCTTTTTTCTCAATTTCTTCTGCTTGCAATCAGTACCCTTCACAGTATTCGCTTCCGCGTCTTGTCGATCAAACTATTAGGAAGCCTTCCCTCTTCTTGTTTCTCAGGTGGAAAGCAGCGAAGAGAAGCTGTACACCCCCCAGGGCAGCCAGGCGTTCATCGACCGCGCATACGTGGACTCGGTGTTCCGATACCCCGACAGAGAGACGGCCGTCTTTGTCACGGAGCCCAAGTCAACGAGCCAAAACGTCCTGACAAAGCCGGCGCTGCTCGCGTTCCTACAACTTTACGAGAACCTAGCAAGGTGAGTTGAGCCTGAAAGTTTCAAAAGGGAGGTGCTTCCTAGAATGTTTTCAGGAATGCAGAGCATGCGGTGTGTCTTGATTGCCTGGACTCGTGTGCATGCTAAGGCTTCCATAGGTGAAGTAAGGCCTTAGAAGCCCCCGGAACAAATTTGGCACGGTATGACTGAAGGGAGCGACCAACTCATTAGAGCCGGTCTGTTGATTGTGTATGCGAGGTAGTGTCATGTCGCGATAGGACTACGTAAAGAGCTGACTTAATCATTGGCACAGACAAGTATCTTGGGCCAAGAGAGTACACAAGATCACCTTCAAAAATTACTTCTGGTGCCAGCTTCCAGAAAGAACCGACTCTTTGATCTTCTGGCAATGCAAAGAAGAATACGGATTGCCCGCGAAGTCACGCTGGCCGTTTACTGAATATTTTCTTCGTCACTTCCTCAGTCACTAAAAACCTTTTAAGAACTTCCCACTGCATTTTGCAACTCCAGAGTCCATCACATGCTCAAAAGTCCTCGTTGCGAGGCAGGAACAGAGCACATCGTATCGACGGATCAATCAACTAATCCATCAAATCAAAGACATTCTGGGATGAAACATCTCTTGATTCTCGGTGCAGCATGACCGCCACGCACGCCGGCGCCACGTTCAAGCTGTCGCCCCGGCGGGCCCGGCACGCCGTGTGACGTCAAGAGCGTGCTCGCGTACTGGAGCTACAGCGCGGCCGCGATCGCGGCCGACGCGGACATTGCGCGCACCGTATCCAGTCCGGGAACGGTGAGCCAAATGCTGAAGGGGAGATGAAGACTTCTTGTTCGGGCTTAAAATGATTTCGAGCATAAACTGTTCATCATCCCATTGGCTGAGGTTCGTTGAGGCGTGCACCGAGAAAGATGCGCCCAGGTCAATGGAAGTCCCGGGAATCAAGTCCTTGTCAGTGCGCTTGCCAATGTGTCTACGAAACGAAGAGGGACGGACTCAGCGTCCTGCAGCGGGACTTATGTTTACGACCATATGCATCTTAAACCCGAATCTCTATTTGAATCCACCGTTTATATCAGATCTCCACAAGAAAAGTGCTAAGCGTCGCTTTACGTTCGCTTTCCGTCTCATCATCTGCGCGCGCGCGCGTGCAGGACGCGCTCGGCCGCGCGATCGACCCCGCGGAAGTGATGGGCGGAATCGTGACGGGGCCTTCCGGCGACAACATCGTCTCGGCAGCCGCATTTTTGCTCAAGTTCTCCAACCAGAACAACAAACCGAGCGCCGACTCGGATTCCGAGGACGGCTACGTGGCGGCCTGGGAGAGGGCCGCTGTGAATCTCGTCAATGTGAGGTCTTGATCAGTGGGCCCTTTCGTCGTAACCTTCTTGTCTCATTTTCTTGTAACCCTCAACTCCTTCTTTACTGCTTCTTCGGTGTTACAAGCGGAGGCATGTCGATAAACCTATTTCTACTTTTGGTATTTGGACGGAGTTTGGCGCTTCCGTGATGCTCGACTTGCTGGTGTAAGCAAACGCTTTGAGACAAATAGCTTCGCGAGTCCGCCTCCTCAAGTGACAATTTGTTTTCTATTTTGTTTCTTACCTGTTCTCTGTTCATCCCGTGAGTCAGCACTCTCCGTCAATCCGCGACTAGTAAGTCTCTAGATTGCTCCACCAGAAGGAAAAGTAACCAATCGAAATACTGATGGCAACAAGATCTCTGGTTACGAGATGCCCCCACTTCTCCGAGAGATCAAGACACCGTGTTTTCAGGCAAGCTAGCCTAATGCTTGTTTCCCTCGGAGTTTCGGACCTTGACCGCATCCCTGACTCCCTCTTTTTTCCAGCACTCCCCCCGCACGGTCATCGCCCAGTTCATCGCCACGACTTACGGAGCCGACCACGAGTCCGACAGCGCCATTTCCGCCGACCTCCACCTGATTGCGGTCGGGGGATTCCTCTTGGCAGTCTACGGACTGATTATTCTCGCCAAAAACCATCCGGTTGCCAGCGCGTCCTGGCTGGCGATCGCGTCGATCGGCAGCATTTCGCTGGCGGTCCTCTGCTCCTTCGGCTTCGCGGCCGCGGTCGGGGTCAAGTTCACGCTGGTGGAACAGGTGAGGCGCGCGCGCGCGCGCGTGCTTCCAGGAAAGCTTAAGGTCAGAGTGGACCACTAGGAAGGCGCTCGCACTTGCGCGCTCTTCTTGGGCGCGTAGATCGACGCTCGCGCGCGCATATGCACTTCGCGCGACTTGGGCTAGGGTGAAACGATAAAGAGGGAATCGCGCGCGCCAGCGCTCTTCATTCGGCGCGCGCGCACTTTGAGTTGTGATTTGGTGGGCGGAATAGCCGAAAGGAGCGCGCGCGCTCGTGGCCTCGGCGCATATGCTCTTAAGCGCGCCCAAAGGCGCCGCCTGTTGTTCGGTTGGAATTTATACGCTTTCGCCCTGACGCCCCGCGCGCTGCATTTTGCGCGCGCGCCGCTCGCGCGCTGTTCTGTCGGGCTGAGGGGAACTTCTCTGCCTGCACGAAGCAATTTTCATTTCCAACTTTACAGAGATGTTTGGCGGCCTGGGTAATTCCAGCTTGAGACTGATCTCTTTTGCCGCATACGTCGGCGACTAGCATGATGAGTAACACTTGCCACTGCCGCTCGCGATCGGTCTTTTACTCCTATTCTCACTCTATCACTCTCAGTACAGACGAGCGGCTTTCAAACCTTGATAGGACCCAGAGAAGTCCCTTGTAGTTTGCATACTCGTTTTTTGCCGTCCTTCAACGCCGATCTCCGGTGCGATCCCCAGGTGCTGGCGCTCCTGTTGCTGGGCCTTGGCACCGACGACATGCTGGTCATAATCGCGTCGCACCAAGAAACCGCGGCCGCGGGGCTCTCCGTCCCGCAGCGCCTCTCGGCGACCATGGCGCGCGCCGGCCGCGGCGTGTGAGCGGCGCAACAAACACAATCGTTGATTGTTATCTTTGTCGTCAACCGTCGAGTGTGTAGCTTCTTAAGTCAGGAAGATGTGGAGAAATATCATTACTATTGATGCTGAGGCAACTGTTAACCACCAAGCGCTGTCCGGCTGCTTGATCTACCTTTCGTGACCATTTCACGGGAAGCTTCTTGAAGACAAGCGTCGGCGTACTCCGAATGCCATCAGGTTCAAGTTACAACATCCGCTTACAATTGATTGGTAGCCGAGGTTCAGAGAGAGTTCCGCATGCGGTCCCTGATCGTATGCGGATCGTTTTCACTAACGTGGAGGATGCCCACTCAAAGCTATTCTTCTGCAGCATCTTGACGACCCTCACCAACTTTGTGGCCTTCTGCACGGGGATCACTTCCGACCTCCCCGCGCTGCAGGGTTTCATGGTCTACGCGGCGGCCGGGGTGAGCCCCCCGCTGTCTATGTTGGACTAAAATTTTGAGAAAAGTGGGTGGCCCTTTGACTGTGCATGCGAATCAGAAGCGGGTCCTGGCATCGGGAGCAGTACAAAACTGTTCTGGGCGTAACGGTCTGCCCACCAATCAGCAGGGACCGAATCCGTTTTCTGATGCTCACAAGCTCATGTCAATTTGTCTCCGTCTTGCTGTCGTTTTGCGGGTGATTGTTCCGTCTTGCTGTCGTTTTACAGGTGATTGTTAAGTTGAAACCTTGACCACCTGCTTGCTGACTGACGCTAAAACAGGCCGCCAAGCCGCAAGCTGACCCCACGCTACTTGCTCATGTCAGCACATAAACGATTCTTTCTACTCCACTGACGTCACCACAGGTCCTCTTCGAGTTCGTGCTCTGGAAATCCCTTGCCTGCCTGGCCCTCGACGTGCGCCGCATCTTTTCTTGACATCATCATGACCGGATAAATAATTCTGCTAACGTTGTCTTGTTGCTGACGTCACCACAGGTCGTCTTCGAGTTCGTGTTTCAGCGACCTTCTTCGCGGCCTGCTTAGCAAAGCACTAACCAGACCTTGTGACGTCATCGTGACCGCTCACTTCGTTCTGTTGACGTCATCGCACTTCTGACGTCACCGCAGGTCGTCTTTGAGTTCTCAGGCTCTTCCAGACCACCTTCTTCACGGCCTGCCTCGCGCTCGACTTGCGCCGGGCATTCATCAAGCAGAGTCCAGACATCTTTGCTGACGTCTTCGTGACTCTTATCCTCTGTTCTGCTGACGTCATACCAGGTCGTTTTTGAGTTCGTGTTCCAAACGACCTTCTTCGCGGCCTGCCTCGCGCTCGACATGCGCCGCCAGGCCGCGAGCCGCGTCGACTGGCTCTGCTGCTTTCAGAGCGCGCGCGCGCGCACGCGCGGCTACCTCGGTTCCTACACCCCGGGCGCCGACAGCGTCAGCCAACGACTGGTCGGGAGGTACCTACCGGCCGCCATTTTGACACGTGTCGGAAAAGTAGTGATTTTGGGAGTCACGGTTGGATTGTTGGTGGTCGGCGGGATGGGGGCGGCGAAAGTGCGCCAGAATTGGAATAGCGACTGGTTCATTCCCAGGGGAAGCTACTACCGGGAGGTGCTCGCGGTTCAGAACCGGTACTTTCAGGGTGAGTGTAACGCTGAGAAACGTTCACTTGATTCGGAGGGCTAAATTTGAGAGGCGCCAAAAATGTTAATCCCAGGTTCATTTCCTCATTTGAGATTACATTGAGCATCCCTGAGACAATCCCACATGGGCGCATTCTAGATTCAGAATAGTTTAAAAATCTGAGGGGGGGATTCGCGATCGCGGCCCTTTTACTGCTGAATGATTGCTTCGCAAGCAAAGTAACTCAAAAGCCAATGCTGTTTCGCGATTGTCTTCCCCGAAAAGCCGATTGTGGCAGAGTCATTCCGCAGGCGGCGTCGTTCCGTTCGCGGTCTACACCAAGAACCTGGCGGAACCGCCACTGGACTACTTCGCCCACCAGCATGAGCTCGCGGCAATCACGGCGAATCTCGAGGTCCGTGGCGAAAGCCTGCTGACATCATTCTAAATATTCTTTCCAAACCTGCTGACTCGGGAAAGCCAGAGGCCTTCGCCGTCTACTTAGCCCCTCTCGCCCGGGTACTTGCTCTTTCCCGGCGATTTGACGTTCGCGTGCCGAAGCGAACACGTCTTCTACAAAGACTGCGTATGAGAATTACTATGTTGGTTCGCATTGCCCTCTCTCTCAGCTAAACACTGCATGAACCATTGGGATCCATTGAATTTTGGATTCCGGCTAGTAATCGCCATCAGCAACGACAACCGAAATCGGGAGTGTGATCCGATTCTTGTCAAATTCTCTCACAAAGTTGAGAACCTCAATACTCTTCACCGAGTCATTGCATACATGGTCGCCGAGATTCAGTTTAACACCAATACGGGCTTCCGGTAGACCAGCCCGTACGTGGCGCGTTCCCCCGGTCGCTTCAAACTCGATCTCGCACTTTTTCAAGATCCTTCACATGTACTCCAGAAACTATCGCCGAGGCATTCCAAACATGGTCGCCCAAATTCAATCGACTCCCAATACGGACGTCCGCGCAGGCCAGTCCGTACGTGGCGACCGTTCCTCCGGTCGACTCCTGGTACGCCGCCTTCGTCGCATGGCTGCCCACAAGCCGCCACGTGGACAGCCTTGCGCCGGGGGGACTGCCACCTACTTCCGCCGCATTTCACGCATGGCTAGGAGGTGACGATCTTTCACCATTATCTTGTTTTTTGAGCTTAGCGCTATACTCTAAGAACGGATCGCGATCGGGAGTAAGTCGTCTGATCTCTTTCTGACGGCAAAGATAGAGTTTTGGGTGCCGAATTATGCACGCTCTGGGATACAATCGGATTGTCATGAAGTGTCAGTCGATGTGTTTCTTCGCAAGCTCGGTTTCGCGAAAAGATCTTAAAATCGGGGTCACTAGCTTTCCACTTTGTCAGTGTCAAAAACGATCAGTAGAAGAAGTGGGTCTTCCCTCCACTCACATTCAATGAAGCACTTGTGAAACAGTGGTGACGGAAAACGAATGAAAGCCTTTAAAGCCGTCGCTTCAAAGAGCAATTCTGTAGCATGAGTAGATTGCCCTGAATTTTGCAGAGGTTTTGGACACGGACGGGGCGTACTACGCAAGGAGCGTCGTGTTTTTCGACGGGAATCGGACGAGCATCAAGGCAACCCGGATAGACGCGTACTTCCAGGATGCTCCGGACTCCCAGTATGAGGTGAAAGATTCATGAGAGAAAAACAGAGGTCGACAAAAAGATTGACTTAATTGGAGGACAAAGTCTTTGACGAACCTTGTTTTATCAATAACCCACCCTCGACAGTAGAGCGATGAGAAGAGGTGTAAGAGTCCCGCTTTCGAAGGCTTTAAAATCCTGATAGATTCAGGAATCTGAATAGTCAGTCACTCTTACTTGGTCTCCCGCATGGATCTATTGCCCCGCGCCTTAGGAGGGCAATCTGCTCGTCGTCTAGCTTTTCTGACCTGGCGGGAGATGTAGTGTCTGCCTGCCCCCAATGTCTCTGCAAGGAGAGTCAGATCCTCACGTCGACCATCGAGTTTTTAAGCGTCTTACTTGTACTTGCTCTGAAAGCCGAACCAACTCTTTCGTCTACCGTTCCTATCCTTGAACTCTCGCAGAAACGTACTTCCAGATTTCATCCCCGGAAAAGTGCTCGCCAACTCAAACGTCATCTTCTGGTGCGCGTTCTTTCTTGCCGCAGGTGAACGCGATGAACGCCGCGCGCGCCATCGCGCGTCACTCAGCTCCCACCCTCGACGCCATCGCCTACACGGACGCCTTCCTCTTCTGGCAGGTCAGAGCTGACGTCATGTCGTCGCGCCGTTTTTCTGCAGCTCATGTGCAATTTTTTTTTCATCGGGTCAGTTTCCTCGGTAACTCGTCGATTGCTGGGCGGTCATCACCTTAAAGGAAAGACCAACGCGTCAATCTCTTGTGCAAGCCGTACATGAATGAGGCAGTCAAAACAGGCTGTAATCCACCACTTTCTTGGTACAGAGCTTGTCCGAGAGTCGTGAGTAGGTTAATGTTTCTTTTTGTCTAGAATTGACTAGTCTAGAGCCCTTTTGTCAATTGAGCCGGTTCTTTGGCGCGGACAGAACACTTCTTTACACGTGTTGTTCCGTCCAACAGGGCTACGACTCGATCGCGTGGCAGACGCTGCGCGACGTCATCATCGCGGGATCGGTCGTGTTCGGCATTACAATCGTCTTGCTGGCGGACCTCGTGGCCGCGACCGCCGTTGGGCTGATGGTGAGATCGCCGCTTCCTTGTCTGCTCTTTGACCTTCCACTTGCAAAGCGAAATTGAGTGCTAGCTTTTGAGTTGCTTTAAGTGTGCCGAACAAACTACCAATTCTTCCACCAGGCTGGTTTGCGTCGACATTAATATGTTTTGCGCTCTCGACTTTTGCCGAGTAGAGTTGGCGCTGAACGTGTTGTCTGCGACTTTGATTTTTGGGGGGTCGCCTGACCATGTCTTCTCCGTTCTGACCACCCCCTGTGAGTTTTTAGGTCGACCCCAAACTGTGAGCGCCCTCCATTAGCGGAAATTGAATCGCAAGGGAGAATCTTCTTTGACTTGGCAACGGTTTTCCCTTTTTGGGGGTAGAAGTAAGCCCGCCAGAATTCCCCCCAGGTGCTGTGCATCGGCGTCTAGCCGGTGGGCGCCCTTCATTTGCTAGGCCCTGTTTCTGAGAAGACAAAGTATTAAGCAGACTTTGGGTACATTCACCTTTTGCGGGGGACAAAGTGTGCTCTCAAATCTCCTAGATTTTGTGCACCGACGTAGAATCGGTGCGCGGGACCCCATATGATGGGCCCTGGTTCTAAGAAGAAGTGCTTCGCAAGATTTTCGCGGGGGGTAAAGGATACTCTTGCATCTCCCCAGGTTTTGTGCATCGACGTCGAACTAGTGGGCGCCCTCCATTGGCTGGGCCTCAGCTTCAACGCAGTGACCGCGATCAATCTGCTCCTCGCCATCGGCATCGCCGTGGACTACTCCGCCTTCATAGCGTATGCCTTCATAGACGCGCGCGGCACGCGCGACGAGCGCGCGCGCGCGGCGCTCGCGCGTCTGGGCGTCGCCGTCTTCAACGGCGGCTTTACGGTGTTCCTGGCGATCGTCGGGTGCGCGTTCGCGCAGTCGTACATCTTCCGGACGTTCTTCAAGGTGAAGGATATTCTTGTGCACTCGTTGGGAAAGTCAGGGGCGCTACCTGCTTAAACGTGCTTCCACGTTCCGTCAGAATTTTGAAGCCGATCGGCAGAAATGGTCATCAAAAGGTCTTCAACAACGGTGACTTCAAGGGAGGCAAACGCCGGTATTTCCGTGTGAATTGAACGTAACGCTTCCTTACTTTGACAGCGAGGAAGGGTCCGGAAGGGGGTAAGACTTGGGCTGATTTGAAACCGAATACGCACAACTTTAAAGATAATTAGCCGTTCTATTCACATCCCCTCCGCTTCCTCCGACTGCTTGAGCTTGATGTTCGCTCAAGATGCAACGCATCAATGCACTCTGTGCTTCGTGAATCGTACCTAATGATATGTTTCGCTGTAGACTGACGTTACGCACAAGCAAACGTCGTGCTTTGTTTACGGATACAACAGGTGATCTCGTACTGCTCACGAAGTCGGACCGATAGTAGGCTTTCCCCATAACTACGACATGGAAACGGACTTTGACTTCACGTGCGCTAGCGTCATACGCCAAAACCGTTTGCGGGTGCAGATGTTTATGGCTATCGTTCTGCTGGGGCTATGGCACGGCCTTTTCGCTCTGCCGGTGATCCTCAGCCTGGTCGGGACGGCCTCTTACCACAGCGCTCCGGGAACGGAAGGCGGCGAGAATGGCACGTCCGTTTCCCCGGGGGACTGTACCGAGGACTCTGTCACCAGTGCTTCAGGGGAGAGAAAGCGTGCCCCTGCGGGGGGGTCAAAGAACGGTGCCCCGGGGGAAAAGAATGAGAACGGTGCCCCGGGGAAAACAAATGACAACGGTGCCCCGGGGGAAAAGAATGGGAACGGTGCCCCGGGGGAGAATAAGGAGAACGGTGCCCCGGGGGAAAAGATTCAGAGCGGTGCCCCAGGAGAAGAGAACGGTGCTCCGGGGGGAAGGAATGACGAGAACGGCGTGACGAACAGCCAGGGGAAACACGCCGGCGGCTTTTCGGTGACCGTAACGAAGAAGTATGTGAAACTGGGCGGTAAGAAAACAGTCCCGGAAGACAGTGCCGGGAGGTTTTTGCTGAAGCCCCCGAAGAAACTTGCTGGAAACGGCCACGTGGTAGATCACTCTGACTTGTTGAAGGAGAACAAAGGCCCGCGCGAAAGCGAAGCCAAAGCGCTGGCACCGGGCGTTCGAACGTTCTCCGTTAGTGGCGCGCCCACGAAGCAAAGTGCGTCCGGCCTAGCCGAGGCCTAGCTATGGGCAGAGAAGTCGTGCAGTCCCGTGAGTTCTAGGGAGAGAAGTTCCGTAAGTTTGAACCAGAGGAGGTAGAAGAACGCAACTGAGCGGCGGCAAGTTTGATACAAGACCCGCCCTCCCCACTTCCTCGCGCCGAACCCTCTTCCTGTCTCCTCGCCCTTTTTCTCCTCTGACTCAACTTGGGCAGGAACGGGCAGAGCGCCACTCACAGGGTTGTCGAGTGCTTCAGTAGCACTTACCAGCGGATTGCGTTGCGGAACTTATGTAGCATCTTCAGGACTTGATAGAAGACAAAATTGGATTAAGACACAGCAATCAGCAACCGTCGGGGTCCGCTCAGATAGAGCCAATAAGGGGTTTGATATTCAGTGCGTTTGATTGTGAGGTATGCGCTACTTTGCACACCAATTTGTCCTACCGCCAAAGGGTACGGAATGGTCTGAGGATCTTTGTGTTCGCACACGACGAATACGTCAACGCGCGCGCAGAGCCTGTCCGCCCCATTCATGCATTCATGCAGCCAATAAGCAAATCGTCCTACCGTTTCAAAGACACGTGCATGGTAACGACAAAAATGGCTGCCTTTGCTTGGGAACTACTCGCCGAGTCGGACATTTGATCAGGATTCAAGATGCAGTTGGATTCAAACTGGTCTGAATCAATGCAGGAATGCAGACCGACATCGTATTATCTTCGATCAACCATCGATGCGCCTGTCCCCAACACTGCAGTATTCACACACATGACTTGGATTTCTCATAAGGTGTTTTCTTCGAAAACAGCGCTCTTTGTGTTGTCAGATTATATCGAGTCACGATCGAATCAAGGTGGAAGATCTGGATATGCAAGGCGGCGATCCTAAATCGCCACAGCCAGAGAGGCTGAAAATGCGAATCTTGACATGCTGAACGCATAAAGGTCTGGATCGATTGAGCTTCGATGCATGTGCGCCTGTCGGCGCCGCCTGCTGCACGCTAAAAGTTCACATTCTGCGAAGTGCTGATCTTGCAAACTCGGAGGATACCTACACACGAATGCGACGGCAGGGTCCGGTAATCAGCAGACAGGCTGCAGCGGAGGCCACGACATCACACATGCTTGCAGGGAAGACAATCACTTCCTCGCCGCCGTAAGTGTGATCGTACTTTTTCTATCTTCTTGACAAGTCGGACTTTCGAAGTATTGCAAGCAAGGTAATTTGCTGCAAGAAGCCTGATCTTCTCGCAGTAGCATCATGATATAGTAGTCAAAGAGGCGCGTCCTTCTATCTCATAGGCTTACACACAAACTTGATCAGAAGGACCATCATCGCCTGTCATGCTGTCTCAAGTAGGTACGTATACTTGCTATAATCATGTCGGACGTAAGATAAAAGCAAGGCAGGGCAGGTCAGGATTCAATGCAACCCCACATCCCCGCAAAGCACCCTATGGAAAGGACAACACATAATCTGTAGTGATTGGTTCTCTGGCAAAGAGGGTTATCATCCGTTTTCTTGGATGCCAAGCACGAACAAAAGTTGCTACACAAGGCTTCAAGGAAACGTCTGTTTCCTACACTTCAGGCCAGCCTATGTAGTAGCAATGCTTGAGGGCAGGACCTGTTGGACGTTTGTGGCAGTAGAAGTACATAAATAGAACTTGCAATTGAAGGATTGGCAAATCAAGCTGGAAAAGATGATCCCACCTCATTCTGCGTTCAGAAACTCCAACTTAGTCTGTTAGCACCAGACTAAGGTTCACATAGCAACGTAGACTCAACGTGGTCACAAAACTCGACGATTGTTTATATACAAAATTTACTCTGTCAGGAGTCAATCTAAAGACTGAAGAATGCTGATTTTAGCTGACCAACACGTTAGTTCCTTATCTCCACTGGCCAACCAGCAGGCCCTGCAGCATACCTGACCTGATTCGTGGGTTCTTTCCGAACACTTGAATCGTTCTTACTATCCCAAAGATGCATTCCTTTCCCAGAACCTGCACTCCAGGGGCGTCCATCATTCTGCCTTGTGGAACTAGTCTGGGAAGAAGACACACTTCGGCTCAACTCTGCCCCTACTGTTGCTGGTCTACTCGATCCAGCTTGAGAATACATGACCTGAGACTGCCTAAGATCGCGAGGGCTACTGTCTTCTGTGAGGGTTTCGCAATACAAATGAGCAGAGCTTCGACTGCTGGGAGGCTCTGCCAAGCTGGAGCCCCCATCAACCCTTGCAAATGCAGAAGAAGGTCGTCGGAGCAGGGCGGGGTAGATGGTCGTGTCATACTGATTCTTCTTGCACTCCGTGACCAAGTACGCAGACTCAATTCGCCTGTACATGTGCTGGATATTCCGAGCATGATTTGTAATGGTGGGGTCAGTCTGTGCTTTCTTGCGTGCTCTGTTTCTGCTCAGGTCGCTGGAACTTGGTGCCGAGCAAACCACATTGGAGCGTGACTGACCAGAGAAGGGCCTGTCTGTGCCGCTACGAGCTCCAGACTTGAGGAGGGATACTCGTCTATAGGTTTCGCGCACCTCCGCCAACTCATCTTGAAACTTCTTAGCTGAGGGTTTCCTTGAGATGATGAGCTTGTGCTTGAGACTCGACTCAGACTGCTGTGTGTCTACTTGGGCTCGAGCTTTAGACGGCTCCATGTTCTTGCAGCCAGCATCAAGGACGCATGGATCCGACCAGTACAAACTTGCGTGAAAGAGATCCTTGTAAGCTAGTTTCAGGGGATTATAATAATCCGCGTTTCCTGCAGCAAAATGCGAAAAAATGTAGATACTGGGGGGGGCTTGCTGCCGCTAAGAAAGCCTTTCTTTACACAACTTAACCTTCCGTCATCTGCTGCAAACTTGAATTCGAAGCGCTCACCCCCCAAACAGAGCCGTGCCCGGCCCTCGTTATATTTGATGATCTGAGACTCCGAGGCTAAAACTTCAACCTGTACCAGTAGCCTTCACTGTTGACCTGATCAACATCAGTGTCGGGTTCTCTTCTCGTTGAGCTGTAGGAAACCACGTACCTTATGATCACACAGGACTACTGCACCACCTTGCAGCGGGCAAAAGTATATTTTCAAGCTGTACTAGGTAAGTTAGGTACTCGAAGTTGTACGTCGAAATTCTGATGGTTTCTTTCGGTACAGCCCAGAGGGCAAAGAAATAGTATACATCGGACGGCCGAGAAATCAAGCTTAGTCCATCGGACGGCGACGAAGAGATCGGATGCCCTGCGCGCGCGTCCCATGACAGGTGCACTTTCTTGAAGCTCATCTTATTGATTGAGCTGAATCTGATTCTAATGTCAGAGCACCATAGTATTACGAAGGTGATCAAGGGAGAAGAGTGTTTAAGTAGCAGTACGCGAGCTCAAATTTCTTTGCAATCCTTTGGCCGGAAGCACTTTCAGCTTCTGCACCTAATATACACAAGTCCTGCGTAAATTAGAAGGTTCTGCATTGAGTTACTGTAACAGTAACAGTTACATATCGGGCCTTTTTTGGGATATCCCAACATACAAGGGCGTCCGTCTTTGGTCCCTTCAATTTGGTATCAAAGAGCTCCAGCTAGGACGATTGAGCCGCTGTTTCATCTGTTGCGAAGTGTTTGCGAAGGAAGGGCTCAACACACCACTCCCGCAGTCTTTGACCTGTCTTTGACACCTTTGTATTAAAGATACAACCTTTGCTGTCGTGTTCTAACTTCCTTTGCTGCAGCCCCTATCGGAAGACGGAACTAGCCTGGGGATCTTTCGAGAGCTGGGTGCCACGTTGACTCATCTTTCCTGAAAGAAGTGCAGTGCGCTGCAGTTGCACCAGTGAATCTCAGTATGCGTAGGTGCTTATTAGCCAGAGCTATTCTAAGAACCTATTCAGGGTCCCTCGTATACAAAGTCCTCTGGCCAATCCAAAACCCCGGGTAGCAGCTTAACCTTCTCACCACCACGCGATCACCGAAGAAGACACAAAATCAGCCTTCTAGCCTTCTCAGGCCCCCCTCCCATTCGCCGTTAAAGATTCAATGGTCGCCATGACCACCGAAGCGGTGCCATATTCGACGCTCCAGCTGGGGGAGGCGACCCTGCATTTCCTGCACACAGCAATGGGCCGCATGTTTCTGATGGCCGAGGTCGCCGGGCAGCTCTTCCGCGAAAATCCGGGCACTTTTTCCAAAGAGCTCAGGAGCGGGCGGTATGGAAAAGTGCACACGGAGAGTCGGGGGGTGCTCCGGGCAATGAGCGCGCTCGGGATCCCGCCCGAGTCTCAAGTTGTGGAAGGTGGGGATACTTCTTTCCCATTGCATGCATCCAGCTTGCGCATATGATGGACTAAGGGTCGTCCTTCGTGATTGTAAGTGACCAAATGCATGTCCAATAACCCCAAAGGAAGGGACTTATCTGTTGAAATTGAGTCGAGCAACAATTGGCACCCTGCCTGCGCCAGGATCCTTCAGAACTCTGACTAAAATGTCGTCCAGCGCTTTTGTGCTGGCGCAAGTGATGTCTAATGTCATACAGAGAAGCAAGGATTCCACACATTGATGCACATGTCCTATGAATGCGCAGCCAGATAAACTGCATAACCTGGGTTTGCAAGGGAATCAAGTAACATTTCAAAGCCAGTTCTTTTGCAAAGGTAGATGAAGGTGGTCAGTCTTGCCCACCGCTTTCTCCCTTGCATTTCATTTCAACTTGTTTCAATCATTGATGTGAACTCACTACCCTTTGCTCCTTTCAAGTGTGAGCATCTTCAGTAGCGTTTGTTTTCTCTTCTCAGCTTCAAACAAAGAGGGAAAACCGATAAAAAATGTTCCATCTAACCTGAGACTACTTCTCTTCATCTTCACCATTCAGACCGAACCGGTCCGCTTGTGCAGGCGCCACGCTCATCTCCCCACAAGTTCTAGAGACATTGCTGCGCGACCGTCACATGACGGCACTGCTCCAGCCGTTCCGCCTTGCTCTTCTACGCCTGGCTTCGCAGGTGGGCTGGCCGGCCTGACACTGTCCTTTTCCAATACGCCTTCTCCTGGGAAGAAATCGGCATTTAGATCTTTCCTACCCGCAAAGGTGCTCGTTTCACAGCTGCACTATCTTCGCACTTGAATTGTATAAGCCCTTGTGTTTCTCAACATCATCTCGTGCCGTTTTAGGCCGACTTCGGGTTCTGGCAGGTGGGCTGTTCGAGAAGCCTCTCAGCTTCTTGTTTTCGGGTACTCGCTTCGGTTACGGCTAGCATCGCATCATGCTGTCCTTTGACAGACCCCCCTTTCCACAAGCAGCTTTCGATCTACGGCTGGCTTCGGAAGTGGGCTGGCCGCCCGCGCCTAGTTCCCCTGTTTCCTGTTCAGTGTTTCGAGACCCATCTTAGGTTTTTCTCAGAAGGAGATTCTTGGAATACGCCTTTTCTTAGATGGCAGCCCAGGTCAACCTCAGCAATCTCTTTCAGAACTCTCTTCCTCCAGAGGTTTTTGCTGAAGCTCCAAATCTGCTGGGACTAGGGAAGCGCCGCGTGCGCAGCTGATGACGGCCGGTGGCCACAAGCGGACCCTGCCCGTTGCTTCCCATGAAACCTTTCCTGAGAAAGCTCGCCCCTAAACGATTGCGCTTGGCAGCCTCATACTGCGCGACCTTGGATCCAATTCCCGAAACCACCTTTCTATGCAGGAAGCGGCGCAGCTGATGGCGGCAGGCGACTACGAGGCGGCTCTGCCGGTTGCGGTCAATGCCGTGAAGCAAGGGCAAGAGGTGTACAAGCCCGCCGCCTCAATTCAGCTCTTCCCACTTTATCTTCTGGCAGCTCAGGTGAGGGGTGTGGAAACGCTCACATCCGGGCCCCCAAGTCAAAGATTCAGGTGATCTGTGTGACTGGGCTTGTATTGACCCGCTCAGATTCGCTGCCTCGATCCATTTTTTCCTCCTCCTCAACCTTCCAGCCGCCCAAGCAAGTCTCGGCTGCGCTCCTTTCTTGGCTATTTAGTTTTGGATTGATCATGATCGAGCAGACGGTCCTGTCGAGATGTCGATCCGACTTCTATCAAGGCGTCCATGGCGAGAATGACTGCTCATTTGGCATCCATCGACGATGCAGATTCTGGCCTCAGCAGAACGCCCACACTTGCACCGCCAAGAGATACCCATTGCGATCGGATTCTCCAAAGACGGCTTCATCGGGCATCCCAACAAAGTTGACTCTGAAGCGGGCGTACCAGTGCAAACGTTTGCTACGAAAGCTTTGCTAAAGAAACTTTGAGTTCTCTCGTGCAGGCAAACCTGGGCCTCAAACGCGCGCGGCAGTGTGAGGAGTTTCTGGGCCTGGCTTCGTGGCTCGCGCTCAAAGAACCGGGGCTCACAACCAACGTCATGCAGAGCCAGCTGAGCAGACTGTTCGGTCAGCTATACGCTATGGAGGTACGCTTCGCTGTATCCTCGCTCCGTGTTTCGTCCAAAACACCACTCGATCCGCAGGGCTCGATCCGCAGGCGTCCTCGAGGGCAAACGGATCACAGTTTTCATGCTCTGTTTGCCATTGAACGAACCAGTCCATCTTGGAAATGATCCAGGAGACTAATCATTCGCGAAAGAAACAAGAGAGCAAATCTGGCCTTCGAGAAGAACACGTTCAAACAGGCCGAGACCGGGAATGGCCAGGGCAGACCTGCCCTTGATCACACGGTCAGCACAAAGACGGGTATGATTCTGCTTCGGGGCATCCGTTGTCTAACATAACGGGCTTCGTTTTTGCAGGAGAAAGGCACGGAAGCCATCCAGTCTTTCGCGGAGGACATATACTTTTGCTCCCTGGAGCACGGCCCCCGGGACGTGCGCACCACGCTCGGCTACTACAACATCGCCAAGATCTTCGAGTCCCAAGTGAGTACCAAATGATCGAGGTTTGTAAGTGGTGGGGCAACCACTGGGAGAGAGAAGGGCTTTTGCCCTACTATCAATCTAGTCATTGGACAATTTGAGCACTTCAAGATTACCGTGGAAGCCTTTTGAAGGGTAACCAGTTTGGTTCAACAAAGGGTGGGTGAGCAACGGGATGCAGCGTCCTGACCGCGTCTGCTGCACGCTGGTCCAATGGGCGGGGCAGAGAAGAACGTTTGGCTCGTTTCGAGGACGAAGAAAGGAGGTTCTCAATCTGCAACAAAGTGTGACGTCGGCTTCTGACGTCTGCCATGAGTAAAAGCGTGTCGTGGGTCGTTTTGCAAGCACAGCAATCTGAATCTGGCAATCTGAGAATCTTGGGATCTGAAAACATCTCTTTCCGCTGCAATTGATCTTTTGGAGGGCCATAAGACAGTATTTCTACTCTGATTGATCCGCTTGGACGGCGACCGCTTTACGTCGAAGAGGCCGCCGGGGAGCTGGTTCGAGATGGCAGCTCCGATATGTGACGTTGAGGTTTTGTGCCTTTTGTGGGCTCGGGTCCAATGATATTCTAACGGAGGATCGTACCTTACAAGAAATCTGTGATCACTAGGACGCGGAAGCAGACGCTTTACGAGGAGTTGTATTAAAGCACAGTCTGGGCAAAAGTCGTTCTTTTGCCCGCAAGATTTAGAGGATCTCTTCTTTGTCCTGGCCATAATTGTTCTCTTTGACGAAGCGTGCTGTGCATCGGGGACTCGCGCAGTTGCAGAAACAACGTCTCTGACGGGTCAATCTTTCCGTCGCTTTCTCTGATCGAGAAGCTAATTCTTGTCAAAGTCGAACTTATGAGTCCACATCCACCACCGAGAGAGGGACTCACGAACTTTCCGACTCTAAAAAGTCGTATTAGAAATTACGAGGTCTGGGTGGAGACTCATCTGCGTGGAAGAGGTCTTGACGCTTGATAGAGCGTAGTCAACGCCCTCCTTTCACCGCTAAGCCGTTTGACTTGCCAGGGCCTTTAGGGGCCAAGCCTCTCCAACAATCTGATTCGGAGGGTGCAGGCTTCCTCTCCAATTCGTCTACAAACAAGGATGTTTCGGTAGAGTAGCATTTGCGAAGGCAGAGTCAATTTTAATGAGATCACCACGTATGGTTTTTGTAGGACGATAAAGCGAAGGCCCTCGCATACCTGGGCCAGGTCATCACCATCTGGCTCGACACCGCGCTCCGGCTTCAACAGAACGGAACGGGAACGGAAACCGCTCAACGGAAGTCGACCGGAAACGGAAGGACCAGCCCGGACGCTCAAACGGAAACGCTTCCGCTCGGCAAAGCCCAGTTGAGCGAAGTCGTGGGCATGCTAGACGATGCGTGCAATCTTCGAGAAGAAGCGCACGGCGCAAACAGCGGTGCGGTTGCCGAAGCGTGCTTTGCTGTCGGCCTTGTTCGGAGCCTGGTGGGCGATGTCCAAGCTGCGGCGAGGGATCTAGAGAGAGCGGGTTCGATATACGGGGCCCTCCGAGAGCCAGATCTGGAGCAGCGGGTGCGCAGCGCGATGATAAGACTCTTCTCAGTTACGCCAGAGACGGGGAGATGATATTGCATCCCAAAGGCGGCAATCTGAAGCTACCTATGAGTGTTGAGCACGATGTCATAAGATCATGATGAACTGGATCATCGCCCACTACTTAAATGAGCCACTGGACGCTCGCATGTTTGAACGTCTCCAGGCTTAATTTGACGAGATCAACGGGTCCCTGATGCAAGTCTCGAAGTTCATGAACTGATGAACAACATGAGTGTTTGTGCCTGTTTCGAACATGTCGAATGATGATTTGATATGCGGCTCCTATTGTTGTGCAGCAAATCAACATGGCGGGCTGTCTGAACATCCTCTAACTATGGTTATACCAGTTGTGAGGTCCCTTGAGTCGACAGGATCAACACCCATACCAGTTATAGGTATGTCCGTATAGTTATTCACAAAGCGCCGCGAGTCTGTCTTTCGCCAGGTCCAGGAGATTGTCACCTTCCGGGCATAACCATGGGCCGCTCATGCATGAACTTGAAGGAATGAAGCACAAGATGCCCCGCTCAACGATTCTCACAGTACGGTACTCGTTAACCTGTCGGAGGTTCTCGCTGTCAGCGAGCCACTCATGAACGACTTGAACATTTGATTCACCGTGCTGAATACGGAACCGGAATTGCGTCATCGTAGACTGCGGCGGAACCGGAATGCAAGCTCACTTCTTGCCTTCTAATTTGCAGCTGCTGCATACATACATATTAATATACTTCTTATTAGTATACTTCTTAGGCCGTAGCATGAGGCTGTGCAAACCCCGTGCAAACGTGTAGGTACCAGGCTGACAAACCACCAAAATTTGGGGGGGTCGCTAATTGCAATGTTGAATGCAACTATTTGGGGCGCAGGCAAGCAGCAGGAAGGGCCTGCAACGTCCATCAACATCCTGCCCGACGCCGTGCTTGTTCAAATCTTCTCTCAGGCGCCCTCTCTCAAGGACCTGTGCTCCTTTCAACAAGTGTGCAAGAGCTGGCGTGCGCTCACCACCCAGATTGAGTGCCTCCATTTTTAAGCAGCCAAAGGCGTGCAAGCGCACAAAGGTTACTTCTTTACTGACTTCGGTGCCAGCGCTCAAGAACTTTTACTGGGAGTCGGCAGTAGAGCCTGAGCTTGCAGAATTGGCGCAGCTCCTCAGGAATCTGCAGTCGCTTCTATTGAGGAAGCTGTCTCAGAAGGCGCTGAGGAAGACAGACTGGGAGCTTGTGCGGCTTGTGAAGCTGCGAGTGAGCTTCTTGAAAGTGGGTTTGCATGATGTCAGCAGCCTCCTCAAGTGTTGCCCCGCATTGGAAGAGCTCTGCGTCGATTCTTTTGAGGCCGATGGTGACTGCGGGGACAAACTGGTTGTGGCATCGAAGTCACTGACTAAGTTGGAGGTTGTCAAGGTTTGCCTAAGCTCCCGGCTCCATGTTGAGGTCAGGGCGCCTGAACTGCGGGAGTTATGCCTTGGTTCGACGCATCGGACCACGATTGAGAGCATTCACCTTGAGGAGCACCGGCTTGAGAAGGTTGCTGTATCTGCGGATGGCACAAAGTTGACTTATGCAGACGCCTCCTCGCTTGACAACATCCACCAACTTGTGGTGTGGGCGCAATCACATGTCTTTATAGATTGGGAGGCTGTCTTTGCGAAAATAATAGATTGCTTCCCATTATTAAGCAGTCTCTCCTTCCAAGCACATGGGAACCTGGAGGAGTGGTGCCATCGGAAGAAACCTGTGTCCGTTGAGAGATTCTGCGCTACAGACCTAAGCGGTCTGAAAAGCCTCACTTTGGAAGCCATCATGCTCCAGGGTTTGGAAGCAATTCCCACACCCTCTAGTATTCTTCAGAAGCCCAGGTTTCCTAGCCTTGTCACAATTGAGTGCGGCCTCCCGCATGCAATGACCGAGAGTTGCTTTGACACGTTGTACTGGTTCTTGGAAATGCCCCATCTCTGAAAATTCTAGTTGTGAAAGGAAGGAGGAACATGATTGCCAAGGCACCATTAAATCAAAGGAAGCATCCTGAGGTTCTTGTCACCTTTAAGTAAGGGGCGAAGGGGAGTAGGAAAAATTCGGTCACCTGTCTTGGAAAACTGCTTTTGTGGACGCTGTCTGCACATACTTTTGCGAGTCTCGATTCAGTCTCGTGTGTTAGGAAGCTCCAATGATGGAAACAATATTAGAGCTCTGAATTTCCATCATGTATGCATCGGTTTGCGATATAGGAAGAGAGACCTAGGACAATCATGACGAGTTCTGCTGACCTTTGGCAATTGGTGTGGGATGGTTCATGGAGCTGATGTTGGCGCTTCCATGCCCCCGAGCTTGAGCTTAATCCTCGAGTCAAGTGTAAAAGCCTGGCATGAATAGCGCTCTGCTTCATGACATCGAGCTAGAGATGAGCGATAATTGAGACACGGTGGCTGTACATATCTCATTCATTAATTTGAAGGCGATCACGGCGGCCCCCGAGTCCAAGTTTTCCATGGAGAACTAGCGTTATCAAGCGTTTTTGATAGTGATTGATTTTAAGTTATTAGGGACACAAACTGAGCATGCCCCTAAAAAGATAGCTCTATGCCAGGAATTGTATAGGTGTACGTATGCAACTGCACACGTCTGCCTTGAGTTGCTATTTCATGATATAGAATTAAAGACACTCTTGCAACCCGTCTAGGTACCTATATATATACTGCAGAATTGGATCGGCTAGTCGACATACGAATCAATCCGTGAAAATCTCTCGATTCAACATGTATGTACTCGCACCGCCATGCATGTTACCTCTGCAAAAGTGTGTCTGATCTTACAAAAGCCTGTGCATGAACGTACCGCACAAGACTATAAGCAGATACGGGCCAGTCAAGGACGTACTAGGCATAAAACATGACCGAATCCTGCATGGCAACTTCCAACTTACACGTGCGTGACATGCGTGGTCTACGCAATATGCCACCAATCAGTAAGGGTGCCAAATTAAATATTCAGACATTGTGATCAGACAGCTTTCGAATGCATGAAACAAACCCTTCTACAGAAGCACGTTGAGCATTATGTGCAAACATTTCAAAATTACAACGATCATGGTATGTCCATCCCCCAGAATTACACACGATGCTTAAAAGCGACAAACACCCATTGCTAATGTGAATACCTGGGCGAATACGCTTGTCCTGATTAACTCGGGAGATCCCTTCAGTTCCCTTCCTTCAGTTCCATTCCAGTGCGACGGCCTGACCCTTGATTTCCTGATATACGGTATTGTGTGCTACTTGGGAGAACTTTCGTTGGCACAATTAGAAACCAAGTCCCGCCAACATTCAGGTCCATTATAAGGACAACTTGGCAATGAAGTGGAGCTTGTACTTTCACTTTCAAGCGGAGCTTATCTACAAAGAAACCTCTTATCGCTTTCTCAGTCGCAGTCTACTTCTGCCACCACAATGCCACATTCTTCTGCCGATGAATCTTCTTTTGGAGCTGCAGCAGACCGTAAAGAAGCGCTTCGGCGGTGGGTGGACACCCCGGGACATAGATGTCAACAGGCACAATCCTGTCGCACCCCCGCACGACCGAGTATGAGTAGTGGTAGTAACCGCCGCCGTTGGCACAGCTTCCCATAGATACGACCCACCGCGGCTCGGGCATCTGATCATACACCCTGTAAGAAAGGTAGCGCTGTTCAGTCATCAAGGATTTCAGCAAGCTTTTCGCTTCTACTAAACGCACACAGCATTCGAAAATAACCCTTCGTTGCTGAAAATGGGCGTAAGGATTTGCCTGTGTAAGCTACAAAGCAGACGCCATTCCTTTCTTGCGATATCAGACAGCAATCTTACTGGTGACTTGGAAACCGTGCAACCAGCTGTGTCCAGTTATTGGGCCTGCGACCACTATGGATGTGGAAAGTGCTGGGAACTACAATCAACCCCTCCAACCAACCCACTGACACACCCTCAAACGCGGCCTGGTCTAAGTCAGCCACTGAGCCAGTCGTTTTTCAATTGCGATTAGAAACTGACTGATGCAATCTGGGCAGTAATCAATCGAAACAATCGCTTGAGTGACCCTGTTTTAGCACAAACTAGGCGATAAAAAGTGGAGGTTACGCAAAGCTTGCCAAAAGCAGCCCCAAGCGACAAACAACCCCACCGACCAAACTTACATAGCTCAAAAACTGCACAAACAGTACAATCGAAAACTTTACGGGGTGATACTAAGCCCTAACAGCAAACACATACATGAACAGAAGCAGAAAAAAGTAGTTTGTGACCGCCAAAAAGAACTCGTTTAATAAGCAGCCGACTTGCATGCGACTGTGTCAATCTAGGAGCATTTTGATTCTAGAAACCAATAAATTTGCTCAAGAGGCTAAAAACCTCTACAGCAGTCCTCGACTACAACCTTGCCTTCCGAAACGGACCCTACATACATACTAGACGCATTTTTAGAGCTTTGAACTGCTATCTATGAGTGGCAACACTAGCCTGACACGTTTGGCCTTGGTCTCTTTAAAGTCGTGGCCATTACCCCAAAAGATCATGGGCGTTTGATGCTACTGGTGCATACTGACATGCCTAACCATTTCATGCAATATGCAGTGAAAATTGGCTTCTGCTATTATGTGCTCTTCAAACACACAGAAGCGCAGAGCCTAGTCAAAGCAACATAGCTAAAAGAGTCAATCAAGGCCAGATTGTCGCCTGTGTAAAGTTTCGAGTATCAGAAGTACTCAAGCAGGTACTTACTTGCGAAGTGCGGGAGCCATCTTATTTGTGAGCGTTCCTGCCACAATCATCACGTCAGACTGCCGGGGGCTCGGCCTGAAGATGATCCCAAACCTGTCCAGATCATAGCGCGCCGCTCCTGTGTGCATCATCTCAACAGCACAGCACGCAAGCCCAAAGGTCATCGGCCACATGGACCCCTTTCTGGCCCAGTTTACAAGATGGTCGACTTTTGTGATCACATACTCGCCAGCGGATGAGGCCCCCTGCTTCGCCAACCCCGTGGCAGCCGTGGCGGCCTTGGCGGCGGTGGCCATGAGGAACTCCCGTCTATCACTTACACCCTTACTAGCTTCTTGCGTGTGCAAAGCAAACCTTTTTGTGCTTCAACAACCTGAGAAGATCCCCACAATGAATGAAGCCCGATTTGGAGGAACAAGCAATAGAGTGAGCACGAATATCAGCACCCTTCTTAGGCTCAACAGGCACCAATCCAAAATGCAAAAGCGAACCTCTTCCTGTTTCTAGAAGAGCTTTCCCAAGCCAGAGCTTTGCTTTCTGCCAGGCGTCTGCACAACTTGAAGAACTGAGGTCAGACTTGAGTGAATCTGACAACTTGGATTCGGCCCTGGTCTAGTTTGCAGAAGCTCGTCAGCAGACATACTGTGTTTGCTTCGCGACCGTACGTTGCCGTTCAGTACCAATCGGACGGTGCAAAGTTGTTGTAACTAGAGCGGCTGCTTCTGTAACGGGTATGTAGCCAGTATAAATTTTGCGAACCTCCATCCGGAAAGTCTCAACGAGGAAAATTCTCAGGGAGGTGAACGACTGTGGAACAAGTGTGGAACAACTGCTGTCTGCGATTCGTGAAAAACTGCAGCAATTGGCGCAGCGATTGTGCTTGCCATGAGGCCTGGCATGAGGGCATCAGTAATATCGCTTCTGTCCTCTTCTAGGCTGCCCCAAACTGTGTTGATCAGACCGCATGCACGCGCAAGGGTGGAAAAGTGCGCAATTAGTCATGCAAGTTCGCCAGAGTTTCTCAGACAGGCGAGGCCCCTTGATGGGACCTGACCACACGAAGTGGCAGCCCTACAATCGAGTTTGATCCCATGTAGGCTGGATAAGGAAAAGGACGGGCAAAAAGGGAAGGGTGAAGGGGCAGAAGTGAAGGTAAGTAGGGGTTGTCCAGGGTGGAAGGTTCCCATTTGCCCAATGCTGACATTAGGCCAGCAGAAATGATTGGTTGGCAGTGTTACGCGCTTGTACTCGAGTATCCTTGAAAACATCGACCTGTCAGCAGTGGCCACTGCCTCTTGAGGTGACTGACTGCAGTTGCTGACCTGGATTCATTGGATCACTTTGAGGATGCCCCCAACTTCCATCTCTGAAAAAGATGGCTCGGTTGATTGCATTGGCTGATGTAGCTTTCAATGTGTCTTCGATGCCCCTGCTGCTTTACTTGAGAGGTCTGCACAAGGGTCACTTTAAGAAGATGAATTTCGGCTTAATCACTTACATCCTGTTACTCAAATCTACTATGATGTTGACCAGGTTTTGGAGCTCTACACAAGGGGCACCATCTCTAGGCATTCCCTTCCTTAGTTCCTTATCTATGCTGGCCAAGTCTCCATGCTTAAGCTTACTGGCCAAGTGCCAGACACCTTCCCACTCCCAAAGCACCACATGGTGCTCCTTATCCCTTGCAATCTCCTCCACAAGAGTTACTTCTTTGGACCGCCCTTGCCCTGCTTTGGCCACCATGGCCGAGAGACTTCTCACCAGAAGCTCGTCCAACCTCGTTTTCTTCCCCCCCGTTGAGAACAGATGGTCTCTCTTTGCAGGGATAACCCGCCTGCAGCGCCTGCTCTTCACATCCCTGTGGTTTCTCGGCTGCATTCCATTGGCGGTCAGCGATTGGTCCAGCTTCGCAAGTGGCGAACAGCTCCAGAGCTTGTCACAACATACGGAACGTTCCAGCTCCTGTAGGTGTGAATCCATCCAGAAGTACTGGGTACTACACTTGTTTCTGCTTTTTCCGCCAATTGAAGTGTGGTATCTGCTTGCTAGCTGAGGTAGATTGTCGAAGGAGGGCTTTAAGCACGTGGTTTCGCGGCAGTCCTTGTTACAAGATTCCCTGCTCTAGTATTGCATTAGGGATTGGTGGACCGCTTTCATTTTCGGCGCCGCAATTTACTAGCATACAGGCCACTTACATTGCAAGGGCGTTAGAGACCTTAGGACTCCTCAATTGAGGGAGTGGCCTTGTTGCCAGGAGTAGATCTCTGGGGGACATACACATAGATCGTACGCATCTGCGTGCATTGGACCAGCAACTGACTTTGTTGAGTGGAGAGGTGAAGCTCTTGCCACGCCACAAGGAGCTCACCTGTCAAGTCGCTTTCCCGACAAGCCTCCTGGTATCTTAGTATCAAATCTCAAGCCTCTCTTAATCGGGCGCAGAGTTCTGCGATCGCTGATGTCCCTTACAAAGTTTCTCAACTAGCTACCAAGGTAACATCCTTTCAGCTAGGGGTATAATACGGTTGTTAGAGGTGCTCTCAGATTCCATTCAAGCAGACACATGAGAGCTTGTGAAGGAGACAACAAGAAACCTTGGATTCCCTGCAGATATTCCGACCCGTGCCTTCCTGCGGTCTGACCAAGATGAGGGGGTTTGTCCTCAAGACCCCTGGGAAGAGGGCGGCAACTCCTGGTCGCACAAGGGGGGCGAAGGCGCCAGTGGCGGAGTACGATTGTCCTCCCACCCCTCGGCAAGCAAGGGATGCTGCCGCAGAACAGGAGTTTGCGCAGAGGGGGGTCAGAACCGTGCTGGCAATCAAGCCCCTAGAGGCAGAAAGTGGTGTCACAAGAGCAGAGTGAGTGGCAGGACAGGCGGTTGCACCGCTGATGGTGCTTGGATACAATTTGTCTGTGTGTGGATGGTAAATCTGACCCTCAAGTTGTTCCTCACATATTTCCGCTGAGGATGAGGGAATCGTCTGCAGATCCTGACAAACTTCAAAGATACACTTTCCCTTCATCAGAGCCAAATGAATGAAGATTGCTTGAAAGCTTGCATTTGAATTCGTGAATTTCTGGTCCATCTCTTGGATTCTAGTAACGGGTTGAAATTGTGGAGATGACAGTTCAAGCATATGAGAACAAGAATCGTTGAAACACAAGAGCAAAGAAGGTGAAGGACAGCAAAGTCGATTCTAAGTTCCCGAAGGCCTTTCTACTGAGCTTTGGAGAGTATTTGTTCCCTTTTTTGCCATTCATTCCTTGCTTTCAACCCCTTGTCTGCCCCTTTCTCCATTTCTTCCTGTTTCTCCTCCACTATTATCCTATGGTCCTATGGCAGAACGGCTATAGCAGTCTCTTCTCTGTTCGAGAACCCGCTCAGAACGGTATTTCGATACATAGAGCTCACCTACATGACTCAACATTTTAGTAAGAAGCACCCCTTTCTCTGGATTCCCTACCTTGGGTACAGTCCTGGCCCATCCAGTCCGGCTATCACTGTCCTTACCATGCATTAGTCCTTCCGTTCTTCGTTCATTGAAAGAAAGAGGTCTTTCCTCACAGTCCGCAAATCTTTCCTGCAAAGAAAGCAGTTGGAAGTCTGCCGAGAGAGGGGGCTCTGTAAGACTTTGAATCATGCCACAACGAAAGCAGCCTCAAACCTGAGACGACCGAACCTGAACTAGCTACGCCTGGCAAGGCAATCAGACGTCCAGAATTGTAGTTTTTCCGATGAGCAGTGCAAAGTTGACAACGGAAAAAAGGAGAGAAGACCCGCCACACCCATACCTGATACTCATCAATCTACTTTCCAAGTACCCGCAGTTCCGCATCTCAAGCGCTTACATTTCATAAAATGCCCAAACGACAGGTACCCAATACTGACGTTCGACCCGTCCGCCCGCGCCCTGGTCACCACCGCGCCCCCTGAGGCAGTGCCCGGTGATATTACCCCCGAGCACTCCTTCGACTCGAGGTACTTTGACCACGTATACCAGGGGCCAACCCTTCGGGTGGACCTCAAAAAGGAGCTTCAACCATTTGTGGACTGTGTGGTGGGGGGCAGGAGCGCGGCGGTTGTTGCTTACGGTGAGGATTATAAGAGTTGGATGTATTTTCGAGAAAGAGATGCAAGCTTCTGACGAAAGGGGGCGTTAAGTGTACGGAAGTCGTTGGAACCGGAAGTGAGTGTTATTCAGATAGCATGCTTGGATGATTTGTAGCAATCGATCACAGGCAACGAAGGATCCTCTGATTGTTGTCTGAGTGTGCTTTCCGATGAGAGCACATTGGAGATAACTCTGACGATGTTACATCAAACCGACCGGGAAATCTAGGCTACACTCGGGGACCGATCCATTATTCTCATCGTTCTGTTTTACCAAGCGCGATAAAGGTCAGAACCACTTTAAGGATCAACCCAAAAACTCAAACCCATTGTTGGCTGGGACGCCTGCAGGTCAGACGGGCTCCGGGAAAACGTTCCTTATGGAGGGCGAGCCATCTGCCAAGGATCGAGCAGCTTGGGGTCTTGTGCCGCACGCCATCTACAAAGTGCTGCAAGCGGTGCAGCGGAGCAGCGGCAAGGTCGGTCCTGCTCTCAAGCTGCTCGGTTTCTTGTCTCTACCAAAGCACGTTGAACTTTGGCATCTTCGAGGATCGTCGACTAATTGTGACACGCATTGTGATGGCTTCATCAGACGCATTGCATTTACTGCTGGAAGGCATCATAGTGTTCATTATCGCTATTCTACGACCATTTTTCATCGACCTTGGCAGACCGGATGATTTCCGATGTTTTGCCGAACCTGAACGGGTTTATCCTCGCGATATATCATGAACGGGGTATCCTTACGTTATATCCTTTCATCTTGCATGAAAAGATTTTTCAAGTTGGCAGACACGCGTCTCGCCTCCTTGTTCGGGGATTGTCCACTTGCCGCCCAGAGGCGTACGCGATACAAAGTTCAGTCCTGGCAAGCGCGGGGAATGATGATTGATTTTTGGTCCGCCCTGCAAGATTCCTTGCTCTTGCTGTCTCAACTAGAGGTTTATACGACATCAGGCTCGGTCTTTCAACAAATCCTAATACACGCGCTCAACGATTAAGGTAAAAATAATCGCTGGTCTTTCCCTCATTCTACCTCGTAAGTTTCTGGTGTGTCACTTTTTTACTCCCAGATTTGTCCGTGCAGAAGTTCCTGGTGTCGCTGTCGTACCTGGAAGTCTACAACGAGATTGTGCGCGATTTGCTCGCGCCCGCCGCGCCCAGGAAAGGCGAGCCCGGCCCCAGCCTGCAGCTGAAGCTTAACGCAGACGGCTACTACGACGTTCCGGTGAGCTCTCAAAAGACTGGGTTTGCCCAAGTGCTTGAAGGTCTATGAGTTACGCCGTTTCTCTTGACCCCTCAGTCTTTCTGAATATGGGGAGAGCAGACTTTGCGAGACATCGTGTCGAGAGAAAGCCGAGACTCTCCGCATGAATACGCATGATATGCTTCCGCGAACAAGACCAGTTGCCTCGTTGGTACGACTTGACCATTCACGAAAATCCTCAACACCCCCGCTTTGCATGCAGTCCATCTCGGTCGCGTGCACTTTTGCTGTTAATCGACGATCCCTTTGCAGGACGCAACGGTCACTCCCGTCTCTGACGTCACCCAAGCCCTGGCCCTCCTGCGCACCGGCGCCGCCCGCCGTGCCTGCGGCGCGACCCACATGAATGCGCGCTCCTCGCGCTCCTTCGCTGACGTCATCCTGACGGTGGAGAGCATCGAGGGCGGCGGCGGCGTGTGCTGCGGGCGGCTGCACCTCGTGGACCTGGCGGGGAGCGAGCGGCAGGCGCAGACGGGCGCGCAGGGGGGGCGCCTGAAAGAGGTGAGGGGAGGGGGTGTTTCCTGGTCCATGAAGAAGGGTCTGTACGTGGCAGGTCTGCTATGAGAAGTGGGGTAATCACGTGCTACCGGAGATTCTGTTCCATTTTCCAGATTTCCATAAAAAGTTGGATATTTGTCGAGGCACGTTTTGCGGGGGCCGCCTCCTCAAAAGAACTGAGATACATGAATTGATCCTTTGATTACGTACACCCCTCATTTAAGTGCTCTGGTCGAGTGGCTATGCACGAGGAAGCTGGATAACCCTCAGTCGAAATTTTGGTTCGTTTACGATTGTTGTAGTTTCGCTTCCTCCAGTTGGAACAATGGTTTATCCCTTATCAGTTTCAGTCATCTCGAGGCCTTCACAGCGCCTTAAGCAGGTGACTGGATACTGTGAATCCATCTCGACTTGGATGTTCTGTTCCAAACCTGGTAATCGTTGAATTCAGAAGAACACGACCGAGGCTCTCCAAATACTTTCTCGAGACGTAGTGAACATTTCGCTTTCTTGCTGCAGTCGTCGTCCATCAACCTGGCCCTGCTGGCCCTGCGCAAGGTGGTCCACGCGCGCAGCGCCGCGCAGCCGACGCTCGCGCCGTACACCGACAGCAAAGTCACTAAGATCCTCAAGGTGGGTGAGCGTCACCAGTGGTGGGTTAAGAACGGTGCTCACGAGTGAATGATAGAGGATCCTCGGTCGAGCGAACGGTCGAGCTCCGACGAATGGATAGCCGCAACGTGTTGTTACTTGATTAGAGATCTCAGGATTGATCTGAGCTTTATCTGAAGAAGCAACATAAAATGCCGGCTGTAATGAACAACTAGAGAAATGTTGTTCAGAATATCCTCGTGGAGAAATGAGATGCAGGGCTACAAGAGACGCTTCGTTTCACAGCTTCCTCCTTGAAGCGCCCTTTGAATGGCGATTGCTTGACAGCTTACTGGATTTCTCAAGGTGATGCTCATTTTTGGAGCGACTCATCCCGTTTTTTCCCCGTAGGACGCCCTTTCCGGCGACGCCGCCCTGCTGGTGGTGTGCTGTTTGAGCGCCTCCCCGGTCAACTACCAGGACTCCCTGGGGACTCTCAAGTTCGCCGCCAGCTGCCGCAGCCTCACGGCCAAGCCCACCGTCCGGAGGGTCCGTACCGTAGACAGGTGCGTCCATTACGGACATGGACGCTCGGGCCTTGCTGAAAAGTTTTGTCCTCGACTTGTTGTCATTTTGAATCTTTCTTATTTTCTGAGGTCTTGGTTTTGGAGAGGTGCTTCTCACCGGAAGCCGGCACGGGAAGCAAGTTCTTGCGGCGTAGTTGAGGTCTGAGCAGATTCGAGAAAACTATGGCGCGAACTTGGTTCCCTGCACGAGTCCAAAAGAAAGGTGGTGATTGTGTATCTGAAACCCCCTATTCATACTCTAAAAAAGCAGATTGGCCCTTGACTGTGCAGCCGGATCACGGGGCTGTCCGTTGCGGTGGAGCGAGTCCGTGCAGCGGAACAGGCGGCGGCAGCGGAACGGATGATCCGGCTTGAGAGCAGGGCGGTCGCGCAAGAGCTGGAGCTGCAGGTGACGAGTCGCCCTCTCATATTTCGTCAGCTTTAAAGTGGGAGTCGGTGTTTGCCTGACGCCACCCGCTAGCTTCGCGAATCCAACGGTTGAATTTCTGCATGACAATCTGGTGGGACTTGACGTGTGCAATTGGGGTTGTCGATAAGTGGCCGACTTCCTCTGAAAGACCCCGTTCTCTTCTTTCCTTCTACTTGTAGCTCAATCCGACTGAAACGAAGGTACAGTGCCTTTCGTGGGTTTGACTCCTTTCTAAGGTCCACTTCATGCGTCCGGGCTCAGGTTCTCAAAAGAGTCCCGCGCAAAGGAGACGCTGACAAACCCCTCCTCTTCCTGCCAGGTTGCAGAAGCCCGGCTGTGTGAGGCGCGCGGCCAGCTGGCCGCGGGCGCGAACCTGGCGCTCGCTGCGCGCGCTGCGTGCGAGGAACTGCTGCTGCACTGCGCGGCCGCGGTCGACGAGCTGGTCGCGGGGCAGGGCGCCGCGTCGGAGGCGGCCGCGGGGCTCCTGGCGAGGCACGTGCTGCCGCAGGTGGGCTCCTGCTCCTTAAAACTTAAAGAGGGCGTCGCAGGACCGGTCCTCCTGACGTCACATGGCGACTGTAGAGCTTGCCCCTCCGCGCTTGTGCTGCCAGCAGTGGGGCGGTATTAGTCCCCAAGCTCTATCTTGACCGGTGCTGACGTTTCGGGCCGCCCCGGTCATACGCCCTGTTTAAGACCTTCGGTCGACGAGTCCGTATTATAGCGAACGCGTGCGGGATTGCGTCCATTTAGGTGGAGATCCTACGAGGATTCCGCGTTTGGGGGTGCTTTGGGTTGCTGAATCTGGTTTTGAACTCCCTCGACCTTGAAGCTTCTCCATTACTTCAAGCCACCTATGCAGCATTTCAATCTCTTGTCAGCTGGGATGCTTCGTGGTGACTCTGACGTGTAGGAGCAGATTAGGCATTTTGACAACGGACGTTTCGACAGGGAGACAACGACGGCAGCAAAAATGCTTCATGGCTCCTCTCGCACCCGATCACCAGGCTGAAAGCACACTTACTTTTTCAATGTAGCGCGATTGTTCTTGACGCAGCGTTGGAGCACGCTCCTGCGCAGCTCATCATAGACAACTTTCACGCGATCAGTTTTGCCTGAGAAACCTCAGTTTGACCTCCCCGGTAGCCTTCCGCGCAGCTCCGTTTCTGCAGATTGCGGCTCCAACGACATCAATCCTCTCGACTTGACGTCATTCTTTTTTGCCCACAGTCGGAAGTTTCGCCCGAGTCGCCACTCAAAGTGACGTCAATCTACCGTTGAAGTCGAAGTTGGACTTCTGCTAGGGGAGCCCGCAGATGATCGCTCACGTGGCCCCTCCGTGCTCTTCCGTTTCTGCAAGTCGCTGCTCAATCCGACGTCATTGTCTTGCCTGACCATTCCTGAAGGCGACGTCACTCCTATTCTCGCAGCTGGACTTCTGCCTGGGCAGCCCCCAGATGACAGCCCACGTGGCTCCTTCCGCGCTGCTCCGCTTTTGCAAGTCGCTGCTTCAGGTCAACTTCGCGGCTGCCCACAGCGCGGCCGCGCCACTCGCGTCGCTCTTTGACCGCTTGATACCGCCAAAGCTGACGTCACCCCTGCCCAGACGCCCGATGACGACGTCACCCTCGTCCCGCCGTGCGAAAGAGAACCCGCTCTCGCCGCAAAGTGCCGACTTTGGGCCTTTGACAGAGGGCTCCGGAAGGGGTGTTCTAGGGGGGTGTGAGGGACTGCTAGCGCGCACGTGGCCCGGGTTGCTGACGTACTGCGCGAAGCTGGTCCTAGCGGAAGCCTCGGGGGATCCCCCTCTGCCGCCCTTCGTTCTCGGCAACATGGAGAAAGCTCTGCGGGGCATCGGGCGGGTTCTAGCGGACGAGGAAGTCAAGCGGGTTTCCGGGCCCGGGGAGAACGGTTCCGAGGCGCGGGAAGCTCTGGAGGTGTCAGAGCAGGTTTTGGCCGCTCTGAGCGGGGCGGAGAACAGAGCGCTAGGAGCCAGGTTTTCGAACATCTTCCGAGCAATCATAAGAGATGGTACGCAGATTCGACGGCAACCGCTTCTCGACCTGGGCAGCCCGGTTGGGTTAGGCAAACCGAGCAGTCCTGGGAGCTGGCTAACCCCGTCTCGAGCCTGGGTGAGGGCAGAGCCTCCACGGGGGAAGGGTTCGCCTGTTCTAAAAGCAGCGCTATCAGGGGGCGGCCACTTGCTTGTCCGCGAGATGTCAATTCGTTCCGGCGGAACGTCCCCCGAGAGTGCGTCCGAGACGGAACCGACCGCTGTGAACGGAGCTAATCCGACGAGGGAGCCGGGCGAAGGAAAGGTGCTTACGTCAGCAGGTACGCAAGGATTGCGACCGGTCAAGACTGCTCAGGGCACTCCAGATTGGGTCGCGAACGATCGCGGGCACGCTGGGAGAGCTGGGGCTAGGGGGACTGCTTTGGAAGTGGAGAGCGATATCTTATTGGGGGGTGACGCAGACGGGAGCCCGGGCAGTTGGCTGACCCCCGGGTGCAAAAAGACGGGTGCTTTTGCGAGGAGTTCAAGGCTTCGGGCGGGTGAGGAGCGGAGCTGCTCCGAGGAAGACGCACATACAAGATCGCAGGGAGGAAAGACACGTGTGGCAGAGGAGTGGAGCAATGGTGGCAACGTTGCGAAGGCCAAGGGGGAGGCTCCGGATAAGGAAATGGTGTCAGATTGCAAGGTCGCATTCAAAACTCGAAAGAAGGCTAACAACGCCGAAGGCGGGCAGGCGGAGAATCAAGCTTCGGCGGAACCGGAATCGGCGTCTGCACAGGAGACCAGTAACGAAAAGCACGTAACGGAAGCGAAGAAGACGGAGGAGACGAGCGGAAAAGGAGGGGCTAGAAGTGGCGGCAAAAGCTATCCCCGGGCGCTCATTGCCGGGGAGTGGCACACCCCCGAGTATATGAAGCCGAAAGGGACGGTCGCCCGCTATGCGAAGACGTGCGAGCGCGCAAGCGTGGGTTTGCGGACGCCCGACGACGCGGCCGCGGCGTCCAAAGCGATGGCGTCCGTGAAGAAGGTGCTGTTTGCGGAGGTCGGGGACAGGACACGTGGCAGCCGCCCGTTGGAAGCTCGAAGGAGTTCAGATTCCGGGGGGGTCTCGGGGCCGGACCCAGATCGGCGGAAACAGTGCGAAAGCGTTGGGATTCCGGTGCCGAGCACTGACAAAAGCGGTGGATCGCCGATTTTGCGAGCGCCTGGGTCTGTAGAGAAGCGGCGTTTGGCGACCGTTCTGGTCGGGGAAGTGGAACCGAGGAAGGTGCTGTCGCCTCTGAAGCAGTCCGGAGCCTGGCCGACGGTCGCGCGGAAAGCCAGCCCGTTTGGCGCTCAATATCTTGGGAAAGGTGGGGCATCGTCTCTCAAGCTGAGTCAGAGCCTTGCTTCGACAAAGCTTTGCATTAGAATCTCTCTTTACCCGCAATTTGCTGGGCACTCTGCTCGTTGCGTCTGGCTTGCTTCGAGTCTCTGATCGGACGTGCTTCATACATTTAAAATCTTCTGTGGAGTTCCTGAGTCCCAACGAAGTGTAAGAGTGCGGAATCTTTTCTCGCTTGTGGAAATCAAGCACTTGATAACAGGTTGAGTTGTCCGAGGTAGAGTCACGTTCTCGTGACGAATTGCTCTCCAGCTGTGCAATGATAACCTGCAATATTTCTCGCCATCTCCTGCGTGTATCTTGCCATTTCGCCTGCCTTCCTTACAGAATCGTTTGCGAACTAGTGCTAGCTAACGAAAGTTCCTTTTAAATGCAGAGAACGCCCCGGCGAACCTCCAGCCCACCGCTCCATTGCCACCCACGTCAGCGCTCAAGCCAGGTGCGCTGACGTCACCCCGGCCATCCTTACTCAAGCAGGCCCTGCTCCGGTCCCCTTCGACTTCCGGACGTGCCTTCGGACCGCTCGGACCGCTTCCGACGTCCGCAGCGAGGCCCCCGCGAGTCGCTCTCATCAAAGAGGATGCGCAGCGGGTCGGAAGCGCTGCCGTCCACGTCAGCACTCCGTATGAACGGAACGGCGGAGCTGGAGGGCGGAATGAGAGCGGAATTGCGTTTGCGCAGCTGCGGGGTCAGCTGCAGTCGCTTCTTGCGAGCGGAGAGAAGCGGCGCCCGGAGATGCAATCGAATGAGATTGTGAACTCTGCCGGAGCACAGTCAGCGAAAACGGAGTCAAGTCGAATGGAGTCAAAGACCCCGCTTGTTACGAGGACCGAGAGGGCGACGTCCTTCCTGTCTCCGGCACTGCTTTGGACCCCCAGCCAAGGGCCCTCCCCGTCATTAGCCAACCTTCGAGAACGGCTTGCTGGAATGGCGCGACAGTAGAGGAGACCGATTGGAGAACGATTTGTGTGCTTTTTCGCCAGCGTTTGGCGGACAGGGATTTGTAACATAGCGAAGCTCCGATCGACAAGTCACGATTGACGGAGCTGCCCAACGAAACTTATCCTCTTCAACGACAAGCTCAAGTGAGCTGTTGATTGTTTCCAATCTGCTTGTGTTTGTAACCCTGTAGTGATGACAGATCCCTAGCAGTCAAGTTCTTGTACACTGATGACAACTAGGTGCTCATATCTCTACTACCTCTAGCCCGTCTCGATGAACCTAAGGTTTCGATTGGATTCTTCACCACGCTGGTGTGACTCAACGCTGACCTGGGATCGCCATGGATTTCCCCTGATAGAGTCTCCAAGGAGCACCTGAGAATTGAGCCGATCGGTCCCGAGCATACATGGCAGGCAAACCACGAATTTTCCTCCAACCACTCATCGTTGCATCATGACGGATGACTCGATGAGTTGATTGTGTACTGCATCGACACGAAGCCACTCACAAAGTTCTTTGAGTCGATCTCAGTTTGTCCTGACATTGCCAGATAGGACATCATGAGATGCGAAATGCATCCGCGGCCTGTCTAGCTGTCACTCAAATGCGGCATGCTACTCCACGTGCACCTTTTTCTGTGTGGTCTTGAGTACGTGTAAGCAAATCCTGTCAGAGCAAGTCATTCCTTCCAAGCTTCGCTATGTCCGACTGATGCCCGACTGATGCCCGATCGCTCATGCATGGCCCGCGTGGCAGAGCTTTGGGCCGCAGCGCGCTGCCAGAGCTGCTTACTACTTCCTGTGCAAGCGCGCGCGTGCGCGACTTTGTTAGGCTGGCATGAGCCTGAGGATGAAAATTGAAATGCTGTACACACCAGTTGGCACACAGCATTGTGAGCCTTGCAGCGTAATTGTGGCTCATTTCGTGTTGTAGCAAGGGCCAGGAGACGTTCAGCGTTTTGAAATGCTAGAATACAGAGAAGATTCGGAAGCCATCAGCTTGAACCCAATGACGCGGAAGAAGAAACAAGGATATGGAGACGCGGCATACTGGGAGCACAGGTGCAGCTCAGCTCAAAATGCAGAAAGAATTCTCATGTGCTGAGATGTTTCTTGGCCAGATTTTCAATCGAGCTGGGTGATACTTGCATTCTCACCGTCAGTCCTTGGAGTAAGTCAGATGACCGATGAAATGTGCTTTTCAATCAATTGATGCTTTTAAAATGAGCTGCTTTTTATGGTGGAACAAAGTTTTGCAGGGCAATGGCCTCTGAGAAGTAGTTTCCCGACTATGCAGGTATCAACATGATGTTGTGCCCTTTGAGTGGTACCAAAAGTACGATGGTCTCAGGGACCTCCTCAAGAAGTATATACACGCAACAGCAGACATCCTGATGCTGGGTTGTGGGAACTCTGGTGAGGGGGCTTTTAAGCACACAGTGCCGCACGACCAAACTTCACTGCACAACCAATCTTCTTCTGTTCTGCTTGATTTACTACTTAATACCACCATTGGCGCAATAGATATTTTCAGCCTGTGGAACAGCCATCGTTTGATGTTTTGGATCTTTTGATAGACAGCTGAGGAGCATCAACAACAGCCAACCAGTTTTGTGTGCACCCTTTCTTAGCTGTTCTTGCAGTCAGAGTTTCCTGGCAAAAATGTTCTTCTGCAACACTGTCTCATAAGCTCTCCTAGGCCTCTATCCTGATAAGCATTGTCTCTGTCTTTGCAGCTTTGAGCGAGGACATGGCGAAGGTGAGTCCATTGCAGCGATCTTTACACTATTGAGACTGCCCTGCGCTTTGAAGAACTGTAGCGCCCTATCAGAAGCACAAGACATAAAGCTGCGCTGTATGAAGCTCAACGATCCAGATGCTTCTTGATACATGGTGCATGAGTGACAAGGTAGATGGAGCAATGATATGGCGAATTGCTTTCACAAAGGGCTCACCGAGTTCCAGTCTTGAATGCAGGACGGCTATTATGACATCACCAATGTGGACATCTCTCCTACAGTCATCAAGGCCATGAAGATGAAGCACTTGGATCTCCCACAGCTAAAATGTATGCTTCCATTCCAGGCTGCTGAGCGACTCTGAAAGCAAAGGAATCAACTTGACAAAGCTGCAGAACCAGACCTGGTCGTGCCGACAGAGTTTGGGATCCGCTGCAAACCGCATGATGACAGCGTTTGCAAAAATTTCTGCACATATCCCTAGCTTTTTCCTGTGGGATGCTGGTCCTGCCAATGATGACAAAGTCTCCTCCAGTATATTTTCAGGTTGTATTACAATTTGAAGAGAACGTGAACATGTTGCAAATCTAATCGTTTCTTTGACTTCAAGTACAGGGGTTTGCGCGGACGCTCGAAGTATGACCATATTCAAGAGCGGCTCACTTGATGCTGTCATTGACAAGGGTAAGTAGATTCCATTGACCAAGGAGGCAGGTTCAACCACAGCCTATCACAGTGCGAAATACTGTACTCAGACATGCATACCTCAAGTTGCTTTTGAAACACTCGACACCACTGGAAAAGCCTCCCAAATATTCAGTCAGGTTTGACAGCTTAAGACCCTCGTTGTACACAATCGGCCCTGGCCAGGCCCAAAGGAAGTAGCCGTTGGAAAGAGAAAGTAAGAGCCTCGAAGAATTGAGTTCAGAGGCTGTTGCTTGTGCTGTGTGCAGGGACTCTCGATGCCTTGATGGTAAGTGGTCAGCAGACAAGCTGCTTGGACTTCGCAATTGTGGCTTCCATGCGGTATTATGAATGTTGACAGGAAGACCATGAAGGCTGGAGTAGATAATTGGCTGTCATGGAGTTGTCTATCCTGTGGAGACAGGTCTCGAGTTTTCGGAATTTCCTCTGATTCCGAAGCGCGGACCTGGCAATAGAAGCTCAGGCGCCAAGTGGCAGTACCCGTCTCGAAGCTCGAAAGCTGCTTACAAGCTTACTCGAGTCTCGATTTGTTAGTGTGTGTACTTTCCTTCGAATACCACCTTCAAACGAAGTCAACTGCTGCTTGACGCTTTGAGATCCCGTTTGCAGTGCGGCGACGAGGCGACAGAAAACGTCAACAGCATGGTCTCTGAGGTCTTCCGGTAGGGGACTTTCTTCGTCTACTTTTTCCCCTTAAAGGAAGCTCGATGTTCAATATTGGCTTGTCTGTATATACTCTGGATACTCTAGCCCTGTCAAGTATTGAATTGGACGCCTTCCCGACCGGCACGGAAACATCGTGTGGGGATCTGAGCTGCGACAGGAAGGCATTCGTCAAACTTGCACCGTTGCCAAGTCCCTTTGCTCTCTTCCGCTTGGATGCAAAAAGCGACTTGTACAAGAGAAGTCTTTTGGGACTGAGCTGAGTGGTTTTCCGGTGCACTTCGACCGTGAAATTGCTTGTTGCTTACCTGAAACCCATGCCTTTCATCGCAGGTTACTACGACCTGGCGGGGTTTACCTCATGGTACGTCTTTATCCCGCTGCTTTGAGCTGCTGTGACGGTCGCTCGGATCGTTGCATTCGAAGCTTTCCGTCCTGGCTAAATACTCACCGACTGTGATCCAATCCTTCCGTTAACCAAATCTCCTTTCTGATGTCGAGAGTCCTTGTTTTGCCTCATCCCACCATGGACAGGTTACGCTGTCAGTCTTTCCCCAAAGTCTCTGCTACCCACAGCTCAGCCTTAGCGGCTCGATGGCAGCTACCAACGGTGATTGCTTTTATCGGCGCTCGTACATTCTTGTGAAATCTGGTCCAGATAACAAGTCCCTTGATGGATGGTCTCCGCAAAAGTTGCTGATCACGTCCCAAAATCGGGGGCGCAGGTGTCGTATGGAGAACCAACAACGCGCATGCCGTATCTGGGTCCGTCTCGACGAGCATGGTCGACCAGCCTTCACCTCTTACGTAAGTCCATATTTTCGCGCTCGCTGTCAGCTCGCAGGCGCAGCTAAAGAGCCTTCTGAGATGTTGAAGAACGCCTCCGTGAATCTTCAATGCACTCCTTTTATTAAGGAACGGATAGCTCGTTCCAGAGGTGCCAGCCAGGCCCGTCCGTTTCATCTTACGCGTAGTCTCCGATCTTTAACCCTCTGCTTGCAAGGCTTTGAGTTGGAGTTTGATTCTGTCCGGCACATCTTGCAAGTATGTCGGTGGTTGCGTCAACCACTTTCAGGAGATTGCGCGAGGGAAACGGATACGGGGCAGCCGAACAGAGGAAAAGCTTCAAGATTTGATCCGCCTCCATCTCTCCATGTTTATCTCCCTTTTGCTGTGATGGGTGCAAATTGACAATGCGCTGACCAGAGATTCTGTCTCCGCTTTCAGCACGGCCGACTGCCGCTCAGGAGAAGTACTCCTGGGTGCGTACGCTGGAACCTGTTCCGGTCGGAGAGGACGGAATCCTGCCGCCGCACCTCCATGGCAAGGACGCGGACTTCCATTACGTCTATGCGTGCGTAAAGGTAGGCCCGAGTTGCGGATCTCCGGTTATCCATCACCTTCTGTACGTGGTCAGCAGAACACAGTGCGTGTCTGAAGGCCGTAAACGAGTTTTGTATTTCTTCAGATCAGCGTGCAGCGATGGTGATGCTTATATTCCCTTAAACTGGCATTTGTCAACTCCAGAGCGAATAGCCGATATGCGTTGCACAAATATAGCATCCTTGGTGTGCTAAAGGAAGAGAATCAAGAGGAGACCTTGCACTTCATGCAGGAGAAACTTAACGTCTTGCTCGATGGGCAGTGACCTTGAGGCTATGCGAGAACGCCCTGTGCTTGTAAAAGTTAGTGCCTTGCACGGGGTAGGACAAGCTTCTGATTTGGCAGAGGAGTCGTCATAACTGCATGCTAGGTAGACTAGAATAGACGGCAATGACCTATGTAAAGTATGCGAGGTTAAAAGTTTACGAACGGCCGCGGTGCTTCGCCTCTCGAACCCAAATCTAACTATCAAAACAAGTGCAACCATATGCAAGTTGCCAGCATGTAATGCAGATAATCGAATCTATTCTAACTGGAGCAGCATACCATATCTTTACCAAGCGCGGCACGTTGGGCCCCAAGTCGCTTATGCAGCGGAATTGCATAAATCCGGAACAGAGCGGAAAACGGAAATGCTGGTGAAACCCTCCGAAGTTAGTTGCTGAGCTTTTCCATGTGCCAAACTCGGGTGACGGAGTAGCGCTGAGGCGCATGCGCGTACTAGCTCAAATGAATACGTAGGTGACCGGACCACTGTCCCTGCAATTTGGAGTCCACCCTAATCGGGAATGCATCTGCAAATTGTACATACAACATGACTGGAACGGTCAACTTTTCAAGAAAGCTAGATCACGTTGTATTTGACGAGACTATTTTCTATTGTATACTTTCTGCGGCACATGCGCTGCTCGAACGTACATTCTTTTACGCGCCTGTGCAGGTCGATCTCGCATAGCGTTCTTCATCCAGAAGCATCTTACGGACTCTACCTCCCAGGCTTGTTTCCATTTGTGAAAGTCGCAAAAAGTTGGTCGCAGGATGAGGCACTCGGGCGGCTGGTTCTTATGATCGAAGCTCAGAAACTGAAACGAACTTCTTTGATTGGCCTCCTGAGTCTTCCAACTAAAGAAGCACTGACAACAGTCGTTCCCAGTCGCGAGCGTTACATTGCATGACTTGCAAGACCGCTGCAGCACAAAGGAGCCCATAGCTACGAACCGTCGATGATCATCTTTATAGATGGTCAGGATCGGCCGATGCCTGCAAACAGTTCTGTATAAACCCTGCGGCCGCGTTTCGGCCGCGACTCCGGCAGAAGCGGGGCCGGAATCTCATTGCCGGCGCCGGCGCCGGGTGGGGCGTTGCTTCAGATCAGCTGTGGCATCAAGGTGCATGTGGCTGTACGGAAGCCTGGCAAGGGATCCCGCACTTCCTTGCCAAGTTGCACATGCAAGAGTCATTCCGCTAGGCTAAGGATCGGTTGTCACGCTTCGACGTTGGTGGCGCCACATCTCCTTTCCAGGCTAGCTTGTCCCAGCTCGTTTGCAGCGCGTCAAGGAACCTCCTTGCCAACAAAAGATGGCGTCCAGTCTGACGATTTTGAGGACCTGGAAAATCACCACCCAGCTCCGGCGAGTCGATTGCACATCAACACGGTCTTCGTCATGGGGTCCAGGAGAAAGGTGCTTTTGTGATGCTTTGCTTAAATTTCAATGTTGAATGACATGAGAACTAGCTCTTCCTGATGATCAAGGAGGAGCAGTTGAAGCTCCTGCGATAAGTGCAGAACATCCTGTCAGTTGAGAGCACCGCTGCCGTTGGATTGCGTTGCATTCAAACAGTATTTCTTCGTATTTGGGCAGGAGGAGGTGGCTGGTATGTAGCCTCATGAATGTCAGTAGCTTTTGAGCAGAGTCAGCATGTATGTGGTGGCAGAATTTGTTGAACCTTGCGTTAAAAGTGCACCCGCTGTTTTGGCAGTCACCAGCGAGGAGGAATGATTTTGCGACTTGGAAGTGACTTGGTACGTGCTGCTTGCAGTATGGCCAGGCTGATTGCTTCAAAGGTGCCGGTAAGGCATCTGACTCCTGACTATAAGGTAAGAAGTCTCTCAAGATTGGGGCCAGCAAGAAAGCAGAAGTTCCTTTGCAGGCGCTTCAAAGCTTTTGTTGGGGGTTTAGTTGGCTGTTCGCTGTAAGTACTTTCTTGGTTGGGGGGTAATGTCAGCAGGGTCCTGGCCGCTCCCCAAGAAAGGATTTTTCTTTTTGCAGCATTTTTTCATGTCCTTGTTTCAATGATCATTGCGAGGATGGGCATGCCTCTTCTGCTTATATAGCAGGAAGGGCGGATCGTCAAGGGTTCAATGTTACGCACAAAATTCTTACTAAGCAGACTTATTCTCCTCCCTATTCACCATTCGCATACGTCTTTGTAGCCTCGTTGTTCGTTCACTCTCTGAATTGTTGAGCAAACGATGTTGCTGCGATGAAGGGTACCTTTGCTTGAGAAGGTAATGTCTTGTTACGTGTATTCAGATCTCAATTGAACAACGACTCAGGTGCGTGGGAAGATCTTGGGTCTTTCTTGATGGTAGAGAGTCTGTACACTGTACTGTCCCTGCAGTTACCAAAGAAGGCGGCCAGGTTGCGTCAGCGTCACGTGCAAAGTCTGCAAGAGAAGGGTTGCCATAACGACGTTGCACCTGCACTCGCGCAGAGTGCAACTGAGGAGGCTGTGGATGACAATTTTTCACGAGAGGTCATTGAGGGAAAGTTCCGCTCAACAAGTGACATGATCAGGGACGACTTTACGGAGCTCCGATGTGAGTTGCGGTCAATCAATGATAGCATCATAAGTGCGGAAGCAGAGCTCAAAGCTAGGATAGCGAATCGCCCCACGTACATGCAAGTAGTGGTGGTGTGGGCAATCATGTTAGGGCTCTCAACGGCCGTAATTAAGCTCCTACCATAAGAGCATGCAAACAGATTGAATACCAGAGATCCAATGTTTATAGAATGAAAACTTAGTGTCAAAGAGACATGTAGATGACATATTTGTACAGGTGAGCTGACAGTATGCTAGCCTGGCAGAATGCACTACAGATATATCAAGATTCATACGTCACTGTGCACATTATAAGGTGAGATCAACGATCGAAGTCCGGTTGAAAACTTGACGTGCATGATAAGCTCTATACCTTATAGGGGCAATTGCGTTGCCGCTCGATGCAAGAGCTCTAGCTCACTGCCTCGCGACTTCACTCAAGCTATCATCTGTACGTGAAGGATTCGAATTATGAAGGATCCCAGTTCCACTTTAGTGTATAGTCCCACATAACTGTATCGAGCTGATACGACGGTGCCAGCTAAAGGGCAGCTTGCATGATCGCCCACATCGATTGCATATATGATGTTCATTGCAATTGACGTTTGAAATCAACTGAGCTCGATTTGTTGGTATATGATCGAGGTCCAACTCGATTAACATAACGCTTCGATGATTGTCCATCCCCTACTGAACGTAGCATATGACTTGCATATCCTAGTCCGACGAATGCGGCAAGATGTACCCATAAAAGGTAAGCAGCACCGATACAACCCCCCACAATGAAAGTCGATTCAAAAGGAGTGGATTGTGCATGCTTTCGACGGACTGGGCTCGGGCATGCCATCTTGGAACTGGGCACGGCCCCAAGCTAGATAACTTTCTGAGGGGCAACCGGTATGCGAATAAAACGGCGTTTCCGCTCATGCTCAGCAAGGCATTCGAAGCAATCGTGCTAGGCTTATGACGCAAGGCAGCAACTTTCCACTACGTCAACTGGGCGATAGTGTACTCAGTTTTGGAAACGCCCCCGTCTTGCCCAGCACCATGATCTTGTTTCGGTGATGCAAGTAGCCCTTGATCGCCCCTCTGTATATCAGGTTTGCTAGAAGACACTCAACCTGCAGTATTAGAAGCTGACGGTCGATAACAATCTTGTTCTGGATTGATGAAAGACAAATCAAGAGGATAAGTTTCGACTTGCAAGCAAGTGCACGTCTCTCTAGCCGGTATTGGATGAGCAGGAAGACCAAACGGACAACAGAAAAGTTTACCAAGTCCGCTTGAGTTTGATGCATGGCTATCATGTAGAGCACACCGCTGATTGGCACGTGCCACATTGTGTGGCAAAAGGCCCCGACCACGTGGCACAATTTCACTGGTTACCGGGCCTCCGCAGAGACGGAGGACGTAAACGGAAGCTGACCTCATCGTCGTCCATTTCGTCCCCTAACGACTTGAGAGCCGTCCGTATGAGCGACAGCTTCATCTGGTGCCACGTGTCAGGCTGTCGTTGAGCCTGGATGGAGGCGATCCGCTTGATCAACGTCCGGTACACGTAGGCACGCAACCGTTCGAGGGTCAGGTATACGCCCGACTTAAGGAACCTGTAAAAGATATCGCGCGGATTCAGCGCTGGTTTTTGGACTCGTCGTTCTCAAAACCTGAGACGACGGAACTATAATGATTACTGAGGGCGCAGGACACAGGCGAAGTAGATTGCTCAACGAAAGAGCGTGACAGAAAGGCGTCGATACCAGGAGGAAAACGACAGAAGCGAGACACAGTGGGAGGAGACGCATCGGACGTGGGCAGACAGCGTAAAAGAAGGCGTAGTAGAAGGAAGAAAAGAAAAGGGGGGAGAGACTTCAAAAGGGAAAAAAACACCTCGAAAAGGCAGAGGAGAGCAACGCAGAGCAAATACAGAGTACGATTTGTTCAGATCTGAGCGGACATACAACCGGCAACAGGAAGAGGGGTAGTCGCGACCGTTGCGCATGAACTGCGAGGAGCCTCACCTGACCTCATTGGTTTCTAGGGCGCGTTCAAACAGCTGGATGTTCCCCGTTCGTACGGCCACGACGAAGTCCTCGTACTGCAGCACGAGGCACCAGAATGTAAGGATTCCGTTACCGTTTCAGTACTTTTGGGTTACAAGAGACAAATGCTTCCGTTGCTTACTCAACTGTGCTTCCCTTGGAGCGCAAGATCCGCCTAGATATGTAATGGTTGATTAGAAGCGGGACAACGATTCAGAAAACTCGTAGTCTCCTTACTAAACGAACCGCTGCGGATTCGCATAAGGATCGGCTCGTGATTCCAATGGAGTCGGGTTTCGGTTGCTTTTGGGACTTCAAAACCGGTCGAGAATTTCGGAAGCGATTGGTGGCGCTGTAGCAGACCGTAACAAAAGACAAGTGAGGGCGCCAGGATGTGAGAAGCTGCTTGTAAAACCGACACAAGAACCGGAAGCGCAGAAGGAGCGACACAGAACGATTCGCCGGCTGGAATGACTACAAGAGGAAGCAGCGAAAGCAAGCGCTTGCGGCCTCCGGTGTCTGTCATTGGTTACTTTCTTATTGGGTGCTGACTGGAAACGCCCGTAGCTGCGAATGGGATCACATCAGAAAAAAGAAAAGCGCCAGATGTGACAGACGCGCTCGTTCTCACAAATGCAACCCGTTCTTCCTCACAAGACATAGCCGGTCAACTAATGTTCTTCTTCGCAACCTCTCTGGAGTACGAGTTAAAAAGCTGAGACGAATTCGCCAACAATGAACATTCGACGATAAACGTTCGCCAAACTTGCTGCGTACCTCTGTGAGGTTGTGTCGTCGAACAAGGTCCAGGTTTGGCAGGCTCCCCAGCGTGAGCTTGACGGGAATGAGGTACTTGAGAATCCGCCGCTGGTTCCGCGCGTGGTTTCGGTGACAGTGCTCGAACGCGAACGACAACTGCTGATTCGCCTGGCGCAGAAAGTTTGTGGATGTCAGTTTTCACGGGTTCCAGAAGGGTTTACGTATGGAAACCGGGGGTTTGGCTTTGATACCATAAAGAGATGGAAGTCAATAGAAAAGTGCAGATACGGCTGAAAAGAACGCTGTGTGACGTGAGCAGTCGAGGGTATCACACGCAGTGGCGCCGTTTCGTCGAAGATGCAGGGCTTGCTTTTGAGACTCGAGTGCTCGACTGCAGAGCACAGCTACTGACATATTTGGGGGTGATATTGTGTCACGTCAGCATTTCAGGGTCTGAACAATGATTGGGCGTTTTGAAGCCCAGGGAGTTGAGAGGGAACTTTCGGAATCCGAGTACTGGGATATGAACGAAAGGTGCTAATCCACCTGACCGGAGAACAGGTGCATCGTAGTTGTATGAGGCCTCAGGATACTTACTGTGAATTTGGAGAAAAACGCTGCTAGTATATTGTTGAAACAGAAATTATTCTGCCGAACTCAATATTGGTCGTCCAAGAAGAGTTCTCGTGGATCCTTAAGCTGCTCGTTCTCCCGTTGGAAAAGTTCAGGCTTTATTCAAGGATGATTTTTGTGCTCTTTCCGGTCACTGCTGACTCGAAATATTGGCCACAGAAAGAATGAGAAAGTGTATAAACAGAGAGCCAAGTGAGCGAAGGAGAGAAAAAGCAGGCCGCGGACGTCCGGAGGCTCACCCGAACGAAGTCGTCATCAAAGACCGCCAAACGACCGGTGTAGAAGCAGTAAGTCACCTGCACGGATAAGAACGGCTCAGGAGATTGCCCTCTGGTTCTTGCGATACTCGAGCGGTGAGGTAAGAACAACCTCGCCCTTGTTATCCCTAAAGCTGAACTGGTGAATCATCGCGGTTAACTGAATCTCACCTCTCGAGAATAAGGTGAGTCCTGTGGCGTCTGCATCCCCTCAACAGGACTGGCCTTTGAAATGACACTGACTTCAAAGGGCGCAAAAATGGGCAAACACAACAACAATAGCAGCGAACTAAGCGATTGAACGCTTGAAGCATAGAAGCAGCAGGAAGCATAGAAGCAGCAGGCTGCGGCAAGCTTCTACTTTGATTCGCCGCAGCGTGCATCTCACGGGTTGCGCTTCCACAATGGCGGAGGAGTCCGTCGAAGAAGGGTTCCCAAATGAACTCAAATGAAGGTCTGTGGAAAAAGTCAATCAGGACCGTAACAAAATGAATCTGCGGACAAAATGGATGTCTTTAGATAAGAGCTCGTTTTGATCCTGAAATGAAGGAGGGAGGGAAAGAAGAGGAACGGGAACAATCGGACAAAAAGAGGAACGGGAACGATCAGACAAAGTCTAAGGAGCCTCACCCTCTCTCCCGCAGGGAAGGTGCTAAAGTCAGTTCCGACAGCGGGCGCCCGTGGCTCGATGACGTTGATCAGGTTGCGGCATAGCTTAATGGTGTTCAACTGCAAACAGAGACTTTGTTTCGTGTAAAGGGTTTCGACGCATTTCAACAGCAGGAATGCTCTGATCTGACACAGTACCAAGTCGGTTCGTTCATTCTACTGACAGTGGACGGAAGCCATCCGATCGATTCCGTTCAGGAGGGAGTAGACCCCAACGAATCGAAGTCTCTTTACACCTGTTGCTGTTTGAGGGACCACTGGAACCTGCAAAAGCTTCTCCGCTTCTAAAGAACGCGATTGATGACTACGACGTATGTTTGCTCCACCTTGAACCCCATCTCGGAATGCGCTTAATCGCTCCCGGAAGCAGATGAGCCGACACAGGTGTCCTGATTGATGTACGAGTCCATACAAAAAGGGCTTCAAAGTCCAGATCCGGTGCAAAACCGGACCCAATAAATCCAAAACGGACAGCCAACCACAGCGCTCAAATGGCTCTCCGTTGTACAAGAGGCACGACCTTCTCACCTGGCAGGATCAGGAGCTCCATCGCAGCGGGGACTGACGAGGTCAACGCTCCATGTGCAGCTTCTGTAACGTGCCCACTACCTACTCTGAAGGAGATTCGGATCAGACGAGGAAAACACGATTGTCATTCTAGTCGACGTGAAGAACCGTTTGATGCCAGACGCTCACCCTAAAGTAGATCCGGAAGAGGAGGTTGACTATGAACAGCATGCCGGGCCGCTTGACCTTGGAACCAAAGGCAGGGAAAGCCCCGTTGAGCCGCCGGCCCACGTCGTACTGCTTACCCTCCTCGCTGCCCTCCAAGCCTAGCTCTTGGTCAGCCTGCAAAAAGACAACATCGAACCCGCTTTCAGAGGTCGTATGGCAGATTGTTGGGACAGTTTCATGGCTTCACATTCATGACAACAAGATTCTAGGGTAGGCGAGATCCGGAAGCATGGGTTCGAGAAGCTGAAGTCAGACGCTTGGTTTGAGTGTTGATCTCCCCAGTCTACTCTGTAACGAGAGGCCCTTCAAGTCCGCAAGAGAGTATCGAGTGTTTTCAAAGCCATGTGAGATGCTATGTTTTATGGTTAGAGCAGCAGCCAGACTGGTGGCCCCACCTTTTCTGCGAGTATCTTCATGTCCTTGGACAGCATGTGCACCGCCCGCATGTTCCATGGCGTTTCCGAATTTCGAAAGTCGTGCAGGAAACCCCTGTGTGTCAGGAACTCATTGTAAATCAAGCAACGACAAACTGATTCTTGTTTCACAGTTTGTCGCGTTGGAGACAGTCATGAAAGCCACACATAATCGCTTGATGGAGCAGGCTTTCTTTCTAGCCATGGTGCAATCGAAGTTGAATAGAGGTCTTCACCATTCGTGGGCAGATTACGGAGCCCCTGATTGGATATAATAACAGGAAGCAGTCTCTTGAAAGGATGCCCCATGATAGTCTCAACTTCCATGCGTGCATGTCCTCTCACCAGTCTGAGAGATCTGGCTTGAATGAATCTACCCTCAACTTTATTTGTCTAAGGATTGCAGAGATCACTCACAGGAAAGTGGTGACAAGACATCCGTACGCCTCTGCAAAGTGGTTGTTGTCGTATGCTTGCGCCGCCTTGACCAGGTTGGCGAGGATGTCGTTCCAAGGAGGGGCCAGGAAGCTCACCTCTGAGTTCACATTGAGCTGCTCAGAAGGACGAAGCTTTATCAGCTCCAAAAGGAGTGCCAAGAACACGCTTTGTCACTATGCCCTTCGCAGCGACACATTTTGCTGGTCTTGAGAACTATCTAACTTTAGATGAGGCAAGAGGTGAAAAATCAATGGTTCACTTTTGTGATCCATTATATGGCCTTCTAGGACATGAAACAGATTTCAAACTGGCAAAGACCAAGTTCAGCACTTCTGCTTCTCATGACGATGATGATAAGACCTACGCTCAAGGGGTTGACAGGCGTTGCATTGGACTGCAGGTGCACCGAAATCCAGATCTGAGAGCTCCAGCTTTTCTCCAATTGCGGGAGAAAAAGCATTAGACTTGCGGCCACCATTACACTGAGAATGTACCAATGGTCCAGGCACCGGCAGCAGATACATAAGAAGATTCAAGAAGACTATATCTTACCCGAGGGTTTGCTCTGAATGCCTGCGCTATCCGCTGCCTGTTGTCAGCGGATGTGATGGACAGCAGTGACGCAAGCGTGGCACCCTCCTTGTACTCAATCGCGTCCCTAACTTGTTCCAAATAATCCCTCAATTTCCACGACATGATGTCCGCTTCTACGTCGTACTGCTCTTAGGCACCTTTGAGAACTCGTCTGTTTCTTCTAAAGAAGTGTCTGATTGTATCCTTTTGTCCTTCTTTCCTTTGTTTCTCAAGCAGGCCAAAAAGTGTTCAAAGCCAAATGATGGCTCCGTTTTCTGCTTCTGCTTTGAAGAAAGTGTTATCGTCTTTCCCTTCCTCTAGTGGCGCCGCTGATTCTGATGTTATGGCACTATACCCAAGCTTGGAGGCCTGCTTTTAATATGCTGCCAGCTTCCGGCTTTTCCCATAGTCTCGCTCCTCATTCAATGCACCACCCCACGAGTTTGTGAAAGCAATTCAGACTTTAGCTGCCAAATGGTGGTACGCCACCTCAAGCTAATGCTGTCAAAGGCCTGCAACACAGGATTGCGAGTAGCCAGCACATGAGGACGCTCCTTTGAAGACTCTGAGCGCCCTTGAAATCTCAGTAGAGTATCTGTTGGAATGTCAAATGGGTCGGCTTTGCACTGCATGGGCGCCTCCTTGCTTGTATATCACTTGCAGGCAACTTGCTGATCAAGAAGTCAACCCATATATGTATTTAATGCAAGTCTGAGCCTTCTTGAAACCGAGCTGATTTTTCAAATGAGAGCGCTTCTTCTGATCAAGAGTCCAGCAAGAGGCGCTGTGAAGACTGGCTGCTCATAAGTGCAATACCAATGGCAAGCGGTAGCAGCGCAGGGCCGACAGCAGAGCCCCTTCGCTCATTGGAAGAACTGCAGAGCTGGACGGTTGAAAATTTGTCACTCGATGCGCTACAGAATGTTGCACAAGTTGCTCTCCTAGAAACAGAAGAAGACATTGCAAGCAGACGGCACTTGAGGGCAAGAAGAAGTGCGTCTGACGCTGTGACTCTCAACACTGAAGCATCTCCGGAAAAAGGTGTGTGTCTTTGACATCATCTGGCAAACTTTTAAAAAAGCCCCTTATACCGGATGGGAGACCTTCGCATTTTCAATGAGTTTCAGGCCACTAGTCAATGCCACCATCAGCGGTCCTCACAAATGTTGAGCAACATTGAGAGCCCTTGGCTCCACATGACTCAGGGAACATTCTCTAAAGTCAGTACGTGAGCTGGCAGAGGGCAAAGCATGCAGACCCTCCAGCTCGCAAGAGCAGTGCTCGATTTGCGTCCACTCTGGTTTATGACAAGTTGGTGAATAGTGGTAGCAAGCTTCATGTGTGCCATCTTAGAAGGGCATCCATATCCACGGGCGCTCGTCATTGTGCCCGTTGCATGAGCAAAACTTGGGCAAATGATTGCCATCTAAGCTTCTAAGCATTGCGCCCTGGCCATCTTCTTCTCGGCCCGATGATCCCCGGTGCTCCATCAAGAGACTGGACTCTTCAAGGTCCTTAATCAGCATCCCTACGTCCACTGGCTCCAGCCGCTGGTTGCCTCGATCAACGCTTCTGTTACGGACTGCATCTGTCACGATCCCACATTATATGACCCTCTCCGTACCAGCCCCCAGTGCATCATCCCCCTTTTCATCATGTCATTACATCTCCAACAATCCGGTAACATCTGACCCTTCCCTTTTCTGCTTTCCCCCCCAGTGCACCGTCCTCGGCTACTGGTCTGCCATGACCTTCAGGGGGGCTATGAAGACGACAAGTTGCTTCAAGGGGGAAGCAATTCAAATGCGTACCGCATCTGGCATTGGCGCCTCATCGACGTGTTTGTTTACTTCAGCCATCACTTGGTGACTATACCCCCAGCGGGGTGGACTGATGCGGCCCATCGACATGACGTCAAGGTGATGCGCTGTCTTTGCCTAGATACCTTGGGACTAAGTTGTAGCTATATGTTGACACCTCTTTTGATAGAGAGAATAGAGTTTTTCAGATCTGTGGAGGTTTCTCCATGAGTCGCTTTCCTGCCAAAAGAAGGACTTGGTTCAAGAAAGCTTTGCTGGTTCTCCTCTCGCCTAGGAAATCTAGGTCTCGTCACCACCTGGACTAAAGAGATTTACTACAACAGGTCTTTGTTTGGGCATTGGTCCATCTAATCCGATATGCCAAGATCAACTGTCCATCTCCAGATCAAGTCCCAAATCAAACATAGGCCCCCAGTTCTCAAGCAAGAGCCCTTCGTTCCCTTGCAGGTCCTTGGCACCTTCATAACTGAGTGGGATGCCGGAGCCGCCATTTGCCGCGAAATCCTGTCAACTGTCGAGAGCGCTCGCCATGTAGCTGATCAGCTTGTCGCCATTGCTATGCATCACAAGTTTGATGGCTGGCTGCTCAACATTGAGAATAAAGTTGATTTGGGACAGATTCCGACTTTGGTGGAGTTTGTGCGCTACCTGACCGAAACGATGCACGCAGCACATCCTTTGGGGGAGGTGATCTGGTGAGCAAGGGCCCTGAAGTCGGGCTCTGAAGTTTTGAAGAGAAGAGAAATGGAGATTGGCGGACTGTCGTTGTTGTCTTCTCGTCACTCTTTTTCGACGGGGCTCAGAGAACTCTGATTTGGTTTCCTAGCTCGTGATTGGCTTGACGATCCAACTGAGTGCTCAAAAGACCTTCCTGTGCCCAGGCTGCAAGAAGGAGCAAAAAGGCGATTTCAAAGAGAATTTGTAAACTTATCATGGCTTCTTGAAAATTTTCAACGGTTCAACACGTTTTAGACCACGTCAGAGGACAGAAAGACACAGAATCGCACAATAGCTGCAGAAGGTCTCTAGTTAGTCGAAAGGGCCGCTGTAATTTGGATAAGGCAGAGTTATGTCTAAACACAAAGCCTGAACGGCCATTCGCAACGGCGAGCTTCTCATAAGAAAAGTCAGACAATATCTGATGCCCAAACGAGAGCTTCAGCAAGATCATAGGAGCGGCCCGGGTTATGCTTGAGGGCTGAACTTCTTAGAGGAGCGGTACAAGCAAGAGAATGGTTTCCTCTGATGTCGACTCAGACCGCATTTCTCTACGTCATTGTAAATATTGCGGTATGTTCCACATGCACTTTTGCCACTTGAGCTCTCTCAGAGCAAGATAGCAAAGTCAAAAGATTGTTACAAGCTTCACGTCAATTCTACCCGTATCTTTTGCAGGTACCACAGAATCACGACAGAAGGCGAGCTCGAGTGGCAGGACGCCCTTACGCCGCTCAACGCGCCTTTCTTTGCGGCGGCCTACGGGCCCTTCGTCAACTACACCTGGAAAGCGGGGTCCCCGAAAGCCCTCAGAAATGGGAATCTGCTCTTTGGACGTCAACTGAAATCGTGCTTCTCGCAGGTATGACAGTGTAACGACCAAAGGGGAGCTAAAGCGGCAGGACGCCCTTACCCCGCTCAACGCGCCTTCCTTTTTGGCGGCCGATGGACTCTTCGTGAACCACACCTAGAAACCGAGGTCCTCGGGAGCCTTGAAAATAACGGGATCTACTATTTTTATGTCAACCGGATTCGTGCTTTTCGCAGGTACGACAAGGTTACGACCGAAGGCAAGCTGGAGTGGCAGGACTCTCTCACCCCGCTTAATGCGCCTTTCTTTGCGGCTACCGACAGGCTGTTTGTCAAGTATACTTACAAAGCGGGGGTCCCAGGAAGCCTTGAAAATTTGGATCCTGCTCCTCTGACGTCAACTAGATTCGTGCTTCTTGCAGGTACGACAGCGTCACTACCAAAGGCGAGCTCAAGTGGCAGGACTCTCTTACTCCGCTCAACGCTCCTTTCTTTGCGGCGGCCGACGGGCTCTTCGTGAACTACACCTGGAAAGCGGGGACGCCAGAAGCGTGCGCGCTCGCAGCCAACCGCCGCGCGCCAGATGTCTACATGGGAGTCGATGTCTTCGGGCGGGGGACCTTTGGCGGGGGCGGATATCATGTAAGTGACGTGCAGGCGCAATCACTTTCTTTTGAGGTCTTCGATTGCTTGGAACGGCTGCCTTTTATTACTTCTTTGCGCAAAATTGTTGGCGCCAGGCCATTTCAGCAGGCGCAGCGCTCGGTCGCCAAACCCCGAAACCACAAAACCTTCGAATCCTGCTTTCTTGGTTCTTTCGCAATACTATTTTTTTTGAACGTGCACGACCGAGAGTTGGAGTTGGATTCAAGCTCTACACGCTGAATGTCCTCGTCTTCCAGCTTTCAGTCCCTCAAGCATTTTGTTCCCTTTCTCTCCCGGCAGAGCAGACAAAGCCCTCGCGGCAGCGCGCATCACCGGAGTGTTTGGCTGCCCTCTTCGCCCCGGCGTAGGCGATTGAGAATTTGCCTCGATACTTTCTGCGAAACGTTATATTGTCGGACACTGAGATTCTGAAAGGACGTATTTTTTGACCAAGTTCTTTCTCTTCGCAAGGCAGACACAGCCCTCGCGGCAGCGCGCAGCGCCGGCGTGTCAGCTGCGCTCTTCGCCCCGGCGTGGGTGATCGAGAACCCGCACGAGGCCGGGCCCAATTTTGAGGAGGCGCAGGAGAAATTCTGGGGGCTGGTGCAGCGGTGCTGGCCCGCCGCGCACCCCGCGGTGACTAGGCTTCCGTTTGAGTCGGACTTTAACCAGGTGAGTTGCGGCAAGATGCTTTTTGGCGCTGAAGTAAGTCTTTGGTTGCTTGTCTTTGTGGACACTGAAGGGCTCGAGATTGAAATTGCCCGCAGCGCTCCTTGAAACGATCCGAGAATCAGCGAGGACCTTCGGTCGAGGACCAGAAGCAGCGTCGATTCCTGATTAGTCAACGGTAATCCTGCGACCTTTTTTCGCACCGACTATGCACCAAGTCAGCTCCATCAACCGACTGCACGGCTGTTTCGCTGGATGAATCACTGTCACTTCCAGCTATTGCAAAGAATTGCCTGCTTTGAACGACACATCTCTGCCCGAGTGTCCGTATCACATCCTTATGACATTCGCACCCCTCCAGTCGCCCTTTTCTAATGAATACTGGTCAACACTTGACGCGAGCTTCTGCAGAAAATGGGCCAGATTCAGCGCTCCGACGCTGCCTGGTGTCCGAGCAATTGTTCACATACTGAATGCATGTCCCCTGCTTTCATGAGTCGTCGAATCAAACGCTGACATTCCGGCCATAGTCCGCAGGCGGTAGGCCGCTCTCTGCGCTCGGACGGTGCCCTCGTGTCCGACCGTCCGTGGAACAACATGGCCCGGCAGAGCGTCCAACCGCTGCACCATGCCGCGCAAATTCGGTCTGCAAAGAAGCGGACAACTTTGGAGGCGGGAGTAAGGTGAGAGACTACGCATCATGAGTGTACGGCTTTAGTACCGAATTGTGCCTCAATCTACTTGTCACAGAGCGCCGCCTCTTGTAAGAACAAGCTCATCTGAGAGGGAACGCTTGTGACGGCGAGAGTGTGAGGCGCCTTGTTGCCGAAACCTTTTTGAGCTACTTGGCAACGAACCAATCACAAAGCGCCTCCTTCGCAATGGGTATCTGACGACAAGCTTCATTGGAGTGGATGCGAGAGCTCTCCGACTTGCTTAAAAGGGGGACAAGCTTACTGCAAAAGAAAGTGGAAACCCCTTGTTCGGTGACGGCGATCAAACCCGCTGATGCGCGCTAACGTTTATTTTTCTCAGCTTCGAGAGCGCGTTCAACGGCGGCTCTTCGTACGAAGTCCGAGGCCGGCTCGAGAAGGGCGACTTTGCAGCGGTGCGGCTGTTTGATTGCAGCCTGGAGCTCAATCCGTCCAAAAGCCTGACCATCTCGTTCACGGTAAGACCCGAAAGACATATATGTTGTTATTAGGGGTTGTCGAAATGTCAGATGCGGGTGTTGAAGCGGGACTGCGTGATTCACTGACTTTGATAGAAGGCGTCAGGGCACCAGAACCCTATTGATGTATTTGTGTGCCACAACCGTTCAGAACCTGCTACAAAAGTTATACGTATGCAATTTTGTAGTCTTAGAGGTCTGTGACGGTTACTTGCCTAGAATCTGCTTCAGGGTCCACCATTTGGTCAGAGCACGATTGGCAGACAGTAGTGAATCGAGGCGGAGATCCCAGATAGCATATCTGCAGTTGCTCTGCCTTTCATCGCAACGAACGTGTTCACCAAATTCGAAATGGACGAATGAGTCTGACGTCTTCATATGAGTCTTCATATTGGTTCTGCCGTCCAATCTCGTTGATGTGAGTGCTGTATCCCGCCTTGTAACGGGCTGCAAACCGCCCTCAAAAAGGCCTTAAAAGACCACACCTAGGAAGCAGGTGCGTTTTTTCGTCCGCACATCAGCGGGCATTGTTCCGGTTCCCTGGCGTTGCTTCCTCACGTCTTGCCGGCACAAGCTGACTCGGCATTCCCTTTTCCGCTCTTCAGGTGTCGGCGCTGCCGGACAGCCACGTGGCACTTCTTCTCCGCATCCGCTCAGCGGACAACAAAACCCTGACAATAGTCTGTAGCAGCGCCTCGGCGATTCCGGCCGGCGAATTGAAATACGAGATGACGGGAAGAAGCAACGTTCAGGGAACGGCCTCCGGGGAAACTAGAGCAGCGGGAAACGATGCCTCGGGGACACGCTCCGGGCAGTCCGTAGGGATTGCTCAAAACAGCATGAAACCGGGGGGCATGGCCGAGCAGAGCAGCACAGATCGAAGAGGAATGCAACTGGAGGCCGAGGATCGGGGGGGCTCTGCCGAGCACTTTGAACGCTCCAATTCTCTCAGACGTCAGGAGCCAGGTGAGAGTAGGGCAGAAATGTCAGTTGTCAACTCAGACGGTGGGCAGTTCTTCGGTGGTCGAGAAGAGAGCGCGAGTTTACAAAGCGGGGAGTTGCATTCCATCAGCTGGGCGAGCTTTCGAAGCTTAGAGTCGCAGACAAACGGCTGGCAAACGTTCGTTTTCCATGCGGAAGCAGGGTTAACGGGGCGATTGACCAATATTGGGGTTGTCTGCAACGTGGGCGGGTTGCTGGACGAAAGCGACCTGGAAAGCGTGTGGGAGACGATGAAAGAGCATACGGAAGATCTGTGGGTTTTGCGAGAACGAGAGGAGCAGAACCGGTGGGGACCGGTCGAAAACGAGCAGAAACCTACCGTTGCTATGGATGAAAGAACAGCAGACGATGCGACCGACCAACAAAACAATGGGAAGAAGGAAACCGGCAGTACGCGGGGGACTGTGACGAATCAGACCAGCGAGTCCTTGCAGCCGGAAATAAAGGAGCCAAGTATGGGCTCAGAACTAGGTCGGAGAATGCTGAGGGGCTCGGCCCGAAACGTTGAGAGCCATGAGGAAAGAGCATCTCATGTGGACGGAAGACCCGCCGAAGATCATGCTGCCAGGGATGACAACAACGGCTTTCGAGTCCGACTCGGCCACGTTGCATTACAGTACTTGAGTAACTAGCCTGGGACGTGTACTTGTATAAGTGCCTTTGCCTTGAAGACGCTGAATGCTTTTTGGTCCCTGTAGACGCTTCTACTGACTCTGGACGATCGACGGCTTGTCTCCGTCGATAACTGATATACTGAAATATACGATACATTTGCGTACATTTCGTAAGTGCCTTTCGGTGCGGAGGCTATTTCTGGTCTCTGCACAGCGGGCCGCGGCATGATCATACATTCAATTGTGCTGGCCTATGCAGTCAACCTCCGACTTTCGTATAGAAATACGAACAGGCCCGGCCTTGCCATGCAAGCCCGAGCGACAGACGTTTGAAACTTCTTGCATGGTCCAACTTCATTCATGCAAAGCTCCGGTGGTCCAAGCTACAAAGTAGTGCATAGACTTATCATGCAATGTCATGCATCCCGCGCGGCCGCCCTCTGCTTTATCTGCCGACATCCGATCAGACCTAGATCGAGGAACAAAATCATTCATCGAACAGTGTTTGCAAACGCGCACGTTTACATGACGTACACAAATTACCATGCAAAGATATGAACAATACTCATATTTAATCCAAGGCATACTTTCCCGACAACATCAGACTCTCGCGATCGAGTGCATGTCGACAGGCTACATACTTATATAAGATCGTCGGCATCTATGATCGAAGTGCCAAGTTGGACACTATATCGATCAGTTGCAGTTGCATGCCATTCATGCCAGAACACATTCGATCGAAAGGCCCATATAGGTAGTGCGAACGTACCTCGATAATTGGCTCTGGATTGGAAAGCTGCTCTTTGCATGTTTAGCTACTGCTGGGTCTGCCGCCGCCATTGTATGTAACAGTCACGTTCCTACATAACGTATTCGGATGAACAATGATCGTCAATGCCCAAATCTGTAGCGCCCCGGGCCCACAATCGCTGTACGTTTGTACATTTTTGAGCACACGCATCACTCAGGCTTTTTTATAGTCATTGCAAACCCCGGCGGCCACCTCTTATCAACTTCCCCCTGGAAGAGTTCGTCAATACTTGACAGAGTTTTTGACTAATATCACGGAGCAACATGATCAAATTGCAGCCTATTGCTGTCATTCGAATCACTCATCTTGAGAGACTCAACTTAGCCCGCGGCCTTCTACTTCGCTTGTAGACTCCATTTACTGCACACTGATATGTGTGATGTTGAGCGTATGGATGTCCTTGAGCAAGGCGGCTTTAGATGCCCAAACCCTGACAACTTGGCTTTCAATGCTCCGCATCACAAGTTGGCATACCACGTTCCGAGATTATGTCTTCCTCACTGCGAGCTTTGCCACCGTCTGGTCGTGAATCTCTCCGAGGATCGGTGCTGGCAACTGCACGTATGCCCACTTCAGAAACCGTTCTCTGCTCTCGGACACATGCGCCTGTAAAGCAGAAAGACACAGTTGCATGAGAATGCTGCTGCTTCGTCACGATTCGTACTGCACGAATCCGCAATCAGTTGCTTGCAGTGAGCTTTTCTGGGTCAGTACTTGCATTGTAGAAAGACGTTCCTAGGAAGGCCGCAGCTCTTGAAGCATAGCGGTCCCGAATACAAAGTGCGCGGTTTTGACCGCTCCGTTTCCACGAACCCCTCAAGATCCGCACTTAGTTCGTTGTGCTGGCTGAGAAGCGGTTTTCTGAATACACGAATACACGAATATTGCGGAGTTTTTCAAATACAAGTTGTGCCGGGATTCAACTATTAAATTTCTGAAAACGAGAGACGGGCAGGATAATTTGATGCGAACGAAAGTTCTTTCTGTCTTGCCAGGCAACCGTGGCGGCTCGCACAAGGTTCTTGTAGCAATGTCTCAAAGCAGTCGCCTAAACCCCCTACGAAACTGAGACCAAATCGTAACGTGATTGTTCAACGGGAGTGACAGCCTGAGAATGCGCAGCTCCATCAAACGTATGGGAAAGGAATTAGCCATAGAAGTGCTGGGTCTGCATTGAAACAGCCAATATAGAGCGGTTCCGGAAAAACACGCCAAATAAGCTGAAGCTCACCTTCAGTTCAAACAGGCTTCGGTCCACAACGCTCGCCCGCAGATCTAATAGGCACATCGCCAAGTCCGCTGCCATTGTGGGGGTGAACTCTACCCGCAAACCACCCCCCGGTTCGGAAGCTGATCTCAACCCGGGATTGCACCGCAAATATCTCTCCCCGAACCTCCTCAGGATCCGCAACCGCTTATGGGGAAGGTTTGGCATGACAAACCCACCGTCGAATAATTCGAGCGCATCTTCAATATCCAGACCCGCAAAATCGAACGGTTCTAGGTAGGCTTGCAATATCTTGTCGCAGCGAGGGGTTCGATCTCCCAGGTAATCGCCTATCAGGCCCCGGTTGAGATCCGCTCCCTTGAGCAGAAATCGGGCGACAGCAGACTCCTCGTGGAAGACTTCGTTTTGCATGAGGAATGCGATGCCCTGCCGGGGCTTGGCGTTGAAGAGGGGAGCTGCCTCCTGTGGATGCGGAATACCTCAGGTGAGGGTGCAGGTTAGAGGGGGTTAGAGTGCGGAGGTAGGAATTGCCTTTCTGTAGCAAATAAGGGAGCAGAAATGAGCGCGCCGCCAAGCTATAGGAGGTGACTCACAGGTTAGTGGAAGCGGGTTTAGCGGTAAGGTTAGGGATCAGGATTTAGAGCGCAGTGTGGAGAGCAGCTCAACTGTTTTCTAGGCTAAAGCATGTGTCATTTGAGGATGAGTATGAGCCTTGCGGGAACAGGTTACAGGACACACAGACAGATATTGGGACTGTAGAAAGACCACCTGAACCGTAGTCATCCCTGTATTCTCAACTTGTTCAAGGGTGCTTCTGATAGTGCCTCTTCTAATTGCAGAATGGTCATCACTCCTACAAACATATCAATGTCAGTCAGCTGCAGCTTTTAGGGTCCTCAAGCTAGCGCCTCAATTTCCAGTCCCCCACCAAAGGCTTGAGTATAGCCTCACCTGACTTGCGACCGCGTGCCACCGTCGGCCGACCTGCCATGCCGACAGGAATGCCTCTGGTTCGCACTTTCGCAGAATGAGGGCCAGAAGCTCATCAGGGAGGGCAGAGAATGGGTTTTCCGCCTCCAACACCAGACTCAGTTCAGAGTCTGCTTTTCCAAGGGCGGATGTCTCCAGTCCAGGGTCACATTCGGCTCCAGTGCGACCAGAAGTCTCTGAGGGGGAGGATCCTGTGCCACTAGTGACATAGAGCTTACTCCATCTGTCTGCCAGCCAGCTCTTTGCAGCCGTCCAGAAGAAGGGCTCCATGGCTCTAAAGAGCTGAATCTATTCTGGTGAATCTAAGCTTCTCCTGAGTACAACCTTTGAACCTCCTTTGGACGCAATTCGCCAATATATAATTCAGAAGCCTGGTTGGATGCTCGTGGCTTCTCTCCTTCTCAGGTGGTCTAAAGCCAACTCAAGTGCTGCTCCATAGCTCGTGAATCCCCAAGGAGTCGAGAAGAGGCCGGCATGCCCAGAAGCTCAGCGGATGTCAAAGTGTCGTGAGCTGAAGGTCCAGGCATAGATCGATGCCAGCGCTCAAGCACCAAAGTACGTCTTCCCCAGTAGTACTTCAGCCTTTTCTGCGCCTCCCCACGCGCCTCTCACCTTCAATGCTGCACAAGCAGTGGCTTTAGAAGCAAAGGTGGACGAGCCAGTCTCCAGAGCTGCCAGGGTCCAATGAATGCGGGGCGCTGGTCGCGCTACCGGTCAGGGGGATCACTCCAACTTGACTGACTCTGACTCTGACTCTGAGTATGGTACGTACCGCGTGACCACTTGGCAGCATGACGTCGCACTAGAGCTGGCCTGTGCTGAGGACGTCAACAGTTCCTGCCATGGCGCATTATGGCTGCAGGCGGCCTGCAGGCTTTATTACACTGATCTGCTCCGCAGCACAAGCAATACACCAAGCAATTATACCAAGCCCTGGGCTGCTTGTTCCTATGGGCATCAACTCAAGTTGTGGAATGCACAGGCAATTGCACACCAAATGCTGACAACTTTCCTCATTGAAGTTCTTCTCGAGCTTGGGCCAGTGTAGCGCCACTCCTGTTAGGTAGGAGGTCTGTGGAACAGTTGAGAAAGTGGTCGCAGTGCTTACTCTGCATTCCTCGAATTTAGACTGCCACTTTTGGCGCCGGTGGGCAACTCAACGGATCAATAGCACCCCCCCGTAGGCCAGCTCTCTGCCTCCTTATGCGGCAGCTGACTTTACTGCATCCTCGTTATGTCATTCTCTCTGTTCAAGCAGAAGGGTGTTCGCACTCCCGAAGACATCGTGAGGCACGTGCGGGACGCTCTACGAGCCTCAGTGGAACACCATGATCAGTCGTCTGAAGCAGAAACGAAACTTCGTTATGAAAAGGTGCGGTTCTTGTGTTTGGCAGCATGGTTTTAGCATCAGCATGGCAGCATTGCTGTTCATTGATAGTCGATGGTTTACTTTCTTTGCCAAGCAATGAAAGGTGCGGCAGACCTGATCAATAGGCTCATGCGAGCATCGTTTGTAATGCATCACATCCGTCCAAGGACAAAACCCTCTTCTTTTCCAAACCTACACCTTGGGCTCTCCTCAGGAGCATAAGCAGATGATTCACTCGTGCCGTTACAGTAGGGGGTCTTATGAGTATGACGGTGTCCGCTTCTTCAAGTAGCTTGCACAGATAGCTGGATGCCTGATAGGCAAAAGCGTTGACCTCTGTAATAAAAGCATAGGGAATGCCATATCTTGGGCTACACTTCTGGTTATTGCAAACCTCATTCTTCCTGCATGCCAGGTATGGATTTGTTACAGTGGCCTCACGCAGCCAGACTGTTGTGGCTCAATCCCAGGCCACAGCCCCAGCCACACCACTTGTTTTCCCCAGAAGCTCACTGCACCTGTGCGCACTCACTCTTCTTCTTTGAAAGAAGACACCACACCCCCCAGCAGTTGTGTAACACCTGTCACAATCTGAGCGGACTTGGCATAATCTTTAAAGGACCAGAATCGGTGCTTTATCAGGCACGTTGCTGTGCAGGCGTGCGAGAGCCTGGAAGTCCTCAAGGCGGCTCTCGGCAGTGACAGCTCCGTAGAGGGGGCTCCCGATGCCGTAGCGGAGGCTGCGTGCCGGGAGGCGGTTCCCGAGGCTCTGATCGCAGCACTGCCGGGCCTAGACTTCCAGGTGGGCCCTTCTGCTCCGCACTGGCACCTGGCATCACTACCACACTATGGACATGCGCACTATGTTGTCACTTGTGTGAAAACACCCGTCGTACGTTTGGTCGCCCTCCCAAAAGTACTTCAAGGATCATACGTTTTGGTCGCCTCTCACCTCTTGCCTCTTCTTGAAAGTAGATCAAGGATACTCAAGCCAGTCATTTGGTTGCTTTCTTACCAGTATCTCAATCACAACCGTATGACATGTTCGTCGCCTTTCTAAAATCAATTGAAATACATGGCCTTTCTCCAGGTTGAAGACTGCGGGCGCGTATTCGCTCCATAGCAGCCAGAAATGTTATGATTTGTTGGTGTCAGCAAAATCACAAAACCATACTCTGTATGTCCAAACAATGTTATGCCACGCAAAGCAAAGGCAGGCGGCGGCGGCTGGAGTGTGCCAGCGGAGTAAGATGGCCTCTTGCGGGAAAAAGGTTGCCGGGGCGTGTTCTCGCAGCCACAGTGCTTCATTCTCTTGTGCTGGGAGCCGGTGGCCGATCGTTCATGTTGTTTGTGGACAAAGACGATGTCCACATTGAGCACTGGCCTGATTTGGACTTCAAGTGCTGCGGGGACTTGAGGGGGGTGTGGTGAATAGGAATGTGCTCAGCTCGTGTTCTACGGCCTGTGTAGGGACGCAAGCTGGCGGCTGCGGTCTTTGCCGGTCTACTGCGACAACCAGCCCCGCCCGTCTACCTGGAGCAGCACCCCCTCCTGATGGACCAACTCATCGCAGGGTCAGCACCAACGCTTTTGGGACTTAACCATGGCTGGCTGTGCCCGGGTTAGCAGCTGATCAGGCTGCGCAGATCCTGGTTACTGTCTCTGGTTAAGCACAGTATATGATCCCCATGGCCGCCCTCCTTCCCAGCTTTGAATATGGGCAGCCTGGGAGGGAGTGAGTACATGGGGTCACTCTGCGCTAAACGCCGCTTGGCTTGCAGCCCCCGCCCCTCCCCTAACCCTGTGTTCAACCCTCCTCTAACTTTCTTCTTGAACCCTCCTCTAACCTCCTGCTTAACGCTCTGATTTGTCGGTGCAGGTATGCGCAGCCGCCGATCGCCCTCTTCTGCGGCAGCATGCTCCGGGACTGTGCGCGACACGCCGGCGTCACGCGGTGCGTCCGTTTCCCTCCTGCCTTGCCTTTATCAATTTCTAGCGTAGTTGTGATAAGTGCAGGATATATTAAGCATCTGATTCCTACGTGCCCTGCTTCTATGAATTTCTACCGGTTGTATTTAAGTGGAAGATAAGATAACCCTGGGACGGGTGCAGTTAGTACGGGGGTTTAGGGTGGGCATGGTTGCGGAGCGGGTCGGCGTTTCGGGTGTTAGCTTCTTTCTTATCAATTATAACTTGGGCTTATGTTAACCAACCTAAAAACCTACCTTACTTCTCCTGGCCCCGCACTTGCTCAGTCCGGCTCTAAAACGCACTGGAACGAACCGGTTCCCTTTCTCAGCTGTGGGCCGTTTTGGTGGCGATGCTTCTGATTAGCGCTGGATTTAGGAGGCGCTTATACCTTAAGCGGTTCCAGTACGCATTTCACAGAGGGCGTCTCTCTCCGTGTGTGCAGCGAGGTTCTGAGCCTGCCGTCCTTCTTCCGCTTCTTCGAGTATGCCCAGGCCCCGTCTTTCGAGGTATCATGCGATGCTTTCACAACCTTCAAGGTAAGCCTTCCTTGGCAAACTGATGGATTTGCGGACATTTGAAGAAAAATGGCTCCCACTAGATTCCGAACCAGGAATACTAGATCTCAACTATTAGAATCCCAATACGACAGGAGAACGGACAGCCAGAGTTAAGCCGAATTTGCTTCTTTTAACACCCGTCCGCAAGTATGCACCGGCTACTCTCAACGAAGCGCTGGTAACATGAAGCATGTGAAGATGTAGATTCCCAATAAGGATAGAATAACCACAGCAACAACAACAACGGTAGGGGGCCAAACTGACGCAAAGTCGCATGTTTGTGCCACGGCACCTCCGACGTTTTACCCCCTCCAACCGCGTCATTTTGTGATGTCGAAGGCGTCTGATAATGCTGTACACTACGCCCTTATGCATGCTTAGGTTTGCTAAGCTGAGTTGGAGGCGGCTACCGCTAAGACTTGTGCCAAGGCAACCCGGGCACGAGCTCAAGTTGCAACCGCTGGACTTGGCTCGGGCGTCTGCCAGAAGAGCCTATGCGGTTTGGTCTCCTGGGTGGGTGCTGCTGGTGGCTCCTATTGACACGTTCCGGCTCCGCTGTTGACCCGTCCTAACCCTCCTAATTCGTTTGCCCCGCCCTTGACCCACACTAATCCCCCCTAACCCTGCCTAACCCTCCCTAACCCCTCCCTAACCCGTTGGCCCCGCCCCTTGACCCACCCTAATCCGCCCTAACCCGTTCGCCCCGCCCCTTGACCCACTCTAAACCGCCTTAAGCGGCCCTAACCCGTTGGCCCCGCCCCTTGACCCACCCTAATCCGCCTTAACCCGCCTCAACCCGTCGGCCACGCCCGTGACCGGTTCCGGCCCCGCCCTAACCCGCTGTTGCCCAACGCGCAGGAGCTCCTGACGCGCCACCCTGACGTCACCACGCCCTTCCTGGTCGCACACTACACACAGGTAGGTGAGGCCCCCACAACCGCAACCAGTCCCCCTTTCCATCAATTCGCAGACAGTTAAGCCAGACCTCGATTGTTGCCGGCTCGTCTTACCTACGTCCTTGTCTTCCCCACTTGTAGGCTTGCCTGTACTGGTTCGCGAATAGGAACATCTGGTACTTTGCGGACTCTCAAAAATGTTTCAGGATGTGGTGGGCAGGTAAGCAGGCTGCGCCGAGGCGGTCTTCTGGATTCCAACTGGCACTCTTAGATCGATTGCAATCACGTCTTTAGTCGCACTTATTCGATTCCAAGTGCTACAGATCATCTTCATGCAGATCTACGATCCAACAAGCTGACTCCAAAGTCGCCACACGTCGCATGCGTTTGTATATCGCCTTGGTCGCCTCTCTAAGTTGCGCTGCCCCTCCTTCACCTTCTCGTTCCCTGCTACGTGCAGTTTTTTGAGCAGTACCGCGGCTTGCTGACGTCAGACAACTACGTCACCAAGCGCCAATCGCTCAAGGTGCGCCCACCAGACACTTGCACGGCGCCAGACCCTTATCCAGACGGCCGGTCTCTTCTAAGCAAAGCATGCACAGCCGTCCGGCAATTTATGCTTGGATCTTAATTCCTGCTACCGTCGTGCCGTATGAGTTCTCGTCCTCTCGTGAATCTCACTCGCTGGCGTGGCAGTCGGAAAGGTTTGCATCGAAATCAGAAAAGGTATGAACAGCTAAGAAAGGAAGAAGGTTGTACTGGGACGCGTAGGGTTGCTAAGAGGGGTCAGGGGTGCGGAGCAGGTAAATGCTCTGACTCGGGCTCCGAGTGCTAGTCGGGGCTTGTTATCTGCTCGGCTCTTGACGATAATTGCTGTTTAGGCCGCAGCTGCTCTCTGTTGCTTCTGCTGACGTCGGCCCCTTAAGCTGCTGTGCCTTGAAACCTAAAGCGCTAAAATTTCATAACCCTGAACCCTAAACCTTTATACCCTGTACCCTTGAACCGCAGTTCCTGGGCGAGTTGCTGCTGGCGCGCGCGCACGTGGCGGTGCTGGTGCGCTACATTGCGGACGTGCACAATCTGCGGCTCCTCATGCTGCTCCTTAAGGTCAGCCCCCGCTGCCAACGGGCCGTCGTTTACCACATCCGAAAGAGCGAACCAAAATTCAGAGACTGTTCCACTCACAAAATCAGTCAGTCAAACCTGCCGGTGTGATAATTGCCTTTATCTTGACGTTGACCGCATCCGGCCCGCTTTGTGATTGCAGTAACGCCGCAGGCGCAGTCACTCGCTCTTCGAATCTTATCAATGATAAATCCAATATGCAATTGCTGCAAGTCGTCACCGCACGCTGTTCGCTTTCACTAGACTGATACGTTACTGCGTTCAAATCCAAGTTGCCTGCATCTCATTTCCAAAATTCGCCAGTTGCGAGGGCAGTGCGTCAGCGCCCGAGGCTATAGGGCCACCTCTGCTTTGCAAGTACAGCCGCATTCGCATCGCTCATGAGATCGCCCGTGTTGCTGCAGGATCCGAGTAAAAGCATCCAGTTTGAAGCGTTCCACGTCTTCAAGGTCGGACCTCCCCGCCCCTGCGGGCCCCTGCTCTTGAGACTCTGAAGCAACATGCTTTCTGTATCGTCATCCCCCCTCAGCTCATTGCGCTCCCCATAGGGTTTGCCCCTCTGTATCCTTTCTTTAGCCCCAAACCCGAAGCCCTGAAATACCAAAACCCTGGATTTCTAAGACCCTAAAGGCGGCTGCGCCAGTTTCGTGCCTCCTTGTGGCCTTTGGCATGTTATCGCCTTCTTTTGTGATTCTACTGTTGACCGTTGTGCTATAGGCACGACGGTCAGCGTTGCAGTCGGGTGCTTTTCTGGGGCCCTCACCGTTGATCATACGAGTTATCTCCCTTAGCCCTTTGACAGTCGGCACCGTCAAAACGCATGCATTTTGTTTCGGTTCATGCCCTGAAAAGCCCGCTCTTGTGCCGGTGTAGTATCTTTACGGCTAACGCGCAATCTTCGACTAAAAGGTGATGCGCGCGCTCGTGCGCAGGTGTTTGTGGCGGCCCCGCATAAGGAGCCGCCCGTGCTGGCGCTGCTGTGTAAAAATAAGGCCCGCCTGCTGACCTACCTTCACGACTTCCAGAATGACAAAGGTAAGGCCGCTCTACATCCGGGAGCCGCATACTTCAATGGTGTGGCTTGCGAGTAGGAGTTGCGGTGCGAGGTCGCTTCTCCGGTGCCTACGAAGTTGTTTTTGAGCATTTGCGGAACGGAGCGGGAATGATGTTTGCTACAGCTCTTTGTGTCAGAAATGGCCACTGCAATCTCGAAGTTCAAGTTCTGGATCGCAATCTTAGCCGTCGGATGCCTTTCCAACATCAATCTAAATTGCCCAAGATCAGATAGAATGCCCGAGCCTTGGAAACCCGACGGCAGGTTCGATGCGAAGAGCTGTGGTGCTTTTGCGTGCGCGCAGAGGACGAGCAATTCGAAGAAGAGAAAGCGCTCCTCGTGAAGGAGGTTCAACAGTTGCCCGAGCCGGGCCCAAAAATAACCAACGAGCGCAACGCAGCGGTCGATTGAGAGCAGGGGTAGGCAATCGCGGGGTCGAGCGAGTGCCTTGTGACCCTCGGAGGAAAGTGGTCACTGAGGGAAACATGTTGCTAAGAACGTACATTGGAACGCCTTGAAAAGGTCAAGCGTGACATTTGCCGAGATTGTGACATGTTAATTTGCACATATGATGGAGTGCACAAGACTTTATTGAATTCTTTACACTAAGCCGTACAGTGCAATGGTTACAATTTGAACTACGGGCGAATATCCATCCAGATCGACGTAAGCGAACATTGGTTATATTGCAAGCCGCGGATAGGCAGCCATCTCTGCATAAATCATCGCGGACTCGGAAATCGTTTAGTGCAATGCCTGGCATCGCGTAATTGTTTGGTGCAAAACCGTGTAAATCTGAATCCAACCTCTCGCCAATTGCATGAAACCTGTACCGCCGGTGAGTTGAGTTGGTTGGGACCGTTCTTCTAAATTATCCTGAATTTCTTCGATCCATATATCGTAGTCCTACTTGCCATGTACCGCACATGTATGGGCCTGCCGTGGAGGTTTGGGGCCGGGCTCAGCAACCGTACTAATTGTGCATGTAGTCCAGCAATTACAGACTCAAGCTGTGCGTGAGAATCTAGAAAGTGTTTTCGAGCCAGCACTCTCGCCGGTCACGCGTGTCAGAAGCAGGGGCTGGCCGGTCCGCGCGGGCCGAAGCTAGAATCAGCATGTTTGAAGAGAGCTTTTGGATGAATCCATGGAGAAACAGCTCCAATAAAGACTAGGAAACCATGCTGTGCCCCTAGCTATAGCTCATTTTGGGATCTTTAATTCAAATACGCGCCGCCTCGTTTTACATTAGTCGGACTTACATTGACACTGTCAAACATCGATCTGGTCAGATTCGTTAACCGCACTGTTCGGTCGAGCAACTGCAACTTGACCGCACATTGGATTCCGACCTCACTGTTGGAAGCAGGACCAGGCCCCCCCCAAGAATGCCCAACAGGCTGCCGACATGGCAGGTTCAAACTTCCCTCCAAAATGCTCCAGAAGCCACATTTGAAACAAGTTTTGCCAAGCAGCCTTGAATGCAGCGCAAGGACAGAAGACTAGGGAGTTCGAGATAGGTAGTAGATAGTAGTCTTTCATTCCTCCAAGCAGACTTCATTCTGGCATTCCTCAAGCTCGCAGCCCGTGAGATTCTTGGCACTCCCAGGCGCAACAAGTCTGGTCGACTGGAAGTTGTGGGGAGGCTGCAATGGGGCAGCCAAAAGATCAGCTGGTGCTTCAACTTGGCCTGATGCTTGTGATCCTTCTGACAAGGAGCACCCAGTTTCCAGCAAAGCATCGCCATACCGTCTCCTTATTAGCCAGCAGATTCCTCTCAGCCTCTGAAAACGAGGATGAGGAAGAGTTGAGCATTGTGGCCTACACATGTTCAAGCTTGTGGCCTTATCCGGAAGGTATTCCACCACAAAGAGTGGCGACTGATCTTGGTTGGTACATCAAGCCCAGGAACGTAGACTTTTGGGAGCATTTCAAGGTGGACTCCTTGGGGGATGAGCAAAGATGGGGAGACATGGTGAGAGTGTCCAGAGGCACCTTTGATTACATCGTCGAGATGTTGACCCCCGCTCTAGAGACAAACGTCCCTCTTCCATTTAGGAACATCCCCAATCGAGTGTTTGCTGTAGACAGGCAGGTTGCCATCGTTCTGCACCGCTTGGCCACTGGAAGCTCTGTTCCCAGCATCATGGAAATGTTTGGCGTCAGCGAGGCCTCAGTGTACCTGGCTGTTAAAAGAGTGAGCTTGGCGGTTTGGCAAATTTTGCGACCACTCCATTTGAACTGGCCCTTGACTGGGAGCGCACGGCAGGCTGAGGTCATCCAGGGGTTTAAATCTAGGAAGGGGCTGCCCCACTGCTGTGGTGCCATTGACTGCACGCACATTCTCATTGAGCTCCCTGACAATGAAGCTTCAACCTGCTGGTTTGATCGAGACCATAATTACAGCATGATAATGCAAGCAGTTGTAGATGCTGAAGGCAGATTCCTGGACATTTGTGTGGGGTGGCCAGGAAGCGTTAATGACGCTAGAGTTCTCACAAACTCTGAGCTGTATGACAAGGTCACGAGCGGGGAGTGGCTGAATTCTGAGCCACTGGTAGTAGCAGGGAATCATATCCCCTTGTACCTGGTTGGGGACGCAGGATATCCTCACTATCCCTGGTTGCAAGTCCCTTACCCTGGAACCAGACTTTCTGACGTTAAAGACCGGTACAACTACTTTCAGTCTTCCACACGTATCATTGTGGAGATAGCTTTTGGAAGATTGAAAGGCATTTGGAGAATTTTGATGAGAAAGATCTACCGGCCTAACGTAGCATTCCTTCCAATTGTCGTGGGAGCATGTGCAGTCTTGCACAATATTATGCTAGATCGAGGAGACTACGTTGACGATCATTTGATCCCTCTGCCCGAAGAGAACCCAGAAGGGGGCTGCCCACGCAACCGCCGGAGCAACATTGATGCAGGGGTAGCACGGGATGCATTGGCGGACTATTGCTTTATGCATTTGTAAGGCACAAATCCCTACCAAACCTGGTGTTTCACAACACCACCACAATTCTGGAACGTTTTCAGCTTGACTTGTGGTGGTCTGAGCTTTTTAGCACATGCACATTTTGCATTCAAGTCATATTTGGACCTTGCATTACTGATCCAGATCACAATTGGTGAGGTGTTGCAAGTTTGCAGCTCATCTGTCATTTGAGCTTCTTGCAAGTATAGATCACATCCGGTTCGATATCTGGAGAGTTACACTAACATTTGCAAGGATTGAGCTCAGATTCAAGTTGAGCTGCTCATTCTTGTCTCTGAAGACGTCAGGAGTCTGCAAAGAACAAATGCACTGCCATTAAGTAGAGACGCTAGTGCGATTCGAATAATGCTGAAGCTCAATGTCAATGAAATATCCAGTACAATGACAGATTAGCAACAATATTTGGTGCAAGCTCGGAGACAACCTCTTTAAAAGGAGGGTGTTGAGAAACACCTGAATGACGTGGGCTTGATTGAATACAATGTTAAGACAAAACATAAATGGTAGTTCTGTTCTTCCAACTACTTCTCAGCAATCTTAGCAAAAGCCTGTGCAATTAGTGATAAGGCATCCACCTGCTTTGTGTCTAGCTCAATTTTTTTCTTATCTATCTCTAGTTGCTCCTTTCTCAATGCCATGTCCATCTGCCACTGCTCCTTGCTGATCTCTAGCGTTGCTTCATGTCGCTTCTGCCTTCCCTCCTCGCTGGCCTGCATCTGGACCTCCAGCGCCTCCCCGTTACTCTTCAAGGTATTGGCAAGCTCCTTTCTCTGCTCCCCCCACTTTCCCTTCCGCTTCAAACCTCGCTCATTCTCTTCCCCAAAAGGAGAGCCCTCGGGTCTGGCTGCTCCAAACATCCAGGCTTCATCTTTCGGAGCAGGATCCTCATCGTCTTCCCTTTTCTCCCCACGCTCACCCTCGGAACTGGACTCCAGAACCGTTGGGGGTGTCATGCTTGCCTTCCCAGCTGTTGCATCTAGCACAAGATTGTAGACTTGCTGGTCTACATTAGCTGGAAGCGCCACCTCTCGCTTCTCAGTCTGGTTCATTTGGAAGTACCCCGGCTTCCCTGACGGCCTCCGCGTCTCGTAAGACTTGACCTTCTTCACCTCAGACAGCAGGCTGTCCCATTTATTTAGACAAGCAAGCCCCGACCTACGAACCCCTTCCGCAAAGCAGCAATCCTCAACCTCTTTCCATTTCTCATTGCGCGAACGAGTCTTTGCCCTAGGCCCTGAGCTGGACACCATGTCAGACTTGATCTTGGCAGCAATCAGGATTCTGACCTCATGCTGAGACCACCTGGTTGCCTGGTCATACTCCCTCCCAGAATCAGCGGCCCCCTTCTTCTTGGATCCTTTGCTTCTGCCAGTGGCGGCAGGCTGCTGAGATGCAGCAGGCTGCTGAGATTCAGTGGGGGCTTCAACAGCGATTGGATCAGCAGGATTTGCATGCCTGGCAGGAGTTGCCAACTCAACGTCTGGGAATCCTCCTTCAAGCTTCTCCTCATTGCCCGCATGACATTCTCCATGTACCTCCACGTCTGCTTAGAAAGGCTCTCCGAGATCAGCTGGCCCTTCGCCGTAGGAGTTGCCAAAGTCAGGCTGGGGACGAATGCCAATCCCATAACCTTGCTGACCTGGGGCTTCTTGGAAGCGAGCAAACTGTGCTTGCAAATTCAAATAAAGCTGGTATTGCTCAGCAAGAATTTGTGGATCGTACGAACCACCTTCGCCCCCAGGCTCGCCCATGCTCCGCCACTTGTCTTGCTGCACTTGTGAAAGGTGTAGTTTGAGCGATGCTGCAAGAAAGATGGTTGTTCTATGAATGTGGCAGCTGTTTGCACTCCTGCCAGGAAGCTCTACCGTCCCAGTCTGTGCTCGCAGCCCAGTGATGCCTGCATGCAGCACAACCCTGTGTTACGAGGTTGGCGCGAAATGCCTGTGCGATGCCGCTCTGTGCACCGTTCGATGAAAGGTGCACATCCAAATGCATGCCACGGGGCAAATTTGAGGGGCCACGTCTTCAAAGAGCAGGGCCTGTTGGGCCCGAACTTGCCTCGGCGAGGCAAGTTCGGGCGGACAGTACACGGTCGGAATCTGACAGCGGAACCATGTGAAATTCGGCCTCGGCAGGGGGGCAAAGCCAAGTAACCGTACTGTCGAACATCACTTCGGTCGACATTCAATGTGCGGTACGGTTGCAGTTGCTCTTTCGATGTAACAGTGTTAATGTAAGTCTCCTCTTAGTCGGATCTTTGCAGACTGTAGCTTTCGTTGGATTGTTCAGCCTATATGTGATAAACTCATACACGCGATGTGCAGAGACAGCTAATGGATTTATCGGCCACTTTGAAGATGTGCAAAAACTATCTACCAATTTATTCACGACATAATATGAAACGAGCTGTTGTGCATATGCAAGCATTCAAACAAATCAGTTTTCAACATCATACAAATCTTCGTGTATGGTAAGAATGTGACACGTAATCATGTTCAAGAACGTTTACAATTTATCTCCGGGGTCTGACCCTTTCAGGCCAACTGACCAAAACCCACAAAAGGAAACCTCTTAAGACGTGGAATCTACATCCATCTGGTTGATCCATGAAGGACTTATGCCACCTATGATACACTCTCATTGACTTCAGTAATAAGGTAAAGCATGAAGTGTGCAAAATTAGAGCACGTTCTTGTGCGCGCCAAGGCCGGTGGTTCCAGTATGGGCAGCACTGGTGTCAGTGTGCTTGTTGTGGTGGCCGGGCATGATCTTTGAAGCAGCAGCGCCAACTGCGAAACGAAAATAGAGTATTCTTAGTAGACAGAAAATGTGTTTGTGGACGGTACTACAACCGTTGTGAGCAGAGGCGGACGTACACATTGGAAAGTCGAAAAAGACACATCCCTTTGAAAACATAATGTATGCGCAATCAAAAGATGTGAAGAATTCACTTCTCTTTTTGAAAGAAGCACACTTCAATTCTGGAGGAATCGAATTGACAAGGACCAAGAAATGCTCCTTTATTCATCGAGGAGCAGTGAGGGTTGCAGAAGTACTTGGAGAAGTGAGGGTCGGTTAAATATTCCCTAAGAACGTACAGACCAATTCCCACCCGCAATTCCCACACGCAATATCCATGGATTCCAACCTATCCGTATCCAGCTCCTCAGCAGCTGGTCCCCATTCGCTTCACTTTACAGAAGCGAACTGGTGAGGTAAATTTGGAAGCATACGTTTTCGAACAAGAAGATAACAGGTCAGAAGAGAGATCAGAAATGCAACTCACGCATCCCAACAGCTCCAGATCCAGGAAGGTGACCCGCATGCTCTTGACCCTCATAAGCGGCTGCAATAATCAGGAGCATAGTCAGTCAGTTGTGTCTCTGAATCTGCAGAATCCACAAACCCTAGCAAGGAACGAGACAAAAGAGGGGGTCAAACCAGAAGAAACAAAGGAGGAGGTATCCAAATCCTTAACATTGGCAGCCTTCACAATGTTCTCCGATTCCTGCCCATTGCAGCCTTCACAACACTTCTCCAGTAAATATTACAGGATAGAGATTGGACCAGCTTGTTGAACAAACACTCACCAGCGCTGGAAGCAGGGTCAACCCCAAACTTGGCCTGGTGGGGGCCGACACCCTGGTGGCCAATGCCCTGGTGGCCAATGCCCTCATGACCAATGCCCTGGTGGCCAATGCCCTCATGACCAATGCCCTGGTGGCCAATGCCCTCGTGACCAATGCCCTGGTGGCCAATGCCCTGGTGACCAATGCCCTGGTGACCTGAAAACGAAGAAATGCTGGCAGAGCCTTAGACAGATGGAGCTTGTTTTGAAGATTGTGGTTCCTGTTTGACTTACCCAGAATATTCAGGAAGAGGTTGCAGAGGCAAAAGTGCATCTTTCTTCTTGGACTCTGAGCTTGCAAACAACTTGTGTCTTTGTCAGATGGAGAGTTTGCCATCTTTTTCGATTGTTCCCGATGAACAAGGCACTGCAAATGGTCGTTACTGTCTCCACGCATGCAGACAAGCTCATTTCTGAGTATGTTGGCAATCTTGTTATTGACATCCTGTCTTCTACATTCTCAAATCAAAAGGAAAGGCAATTCTATTGCAGATTACGGAGCGCGGGGAGCCAGCTTTACAAGCAAGGATGGAGAGCATGTGGCTGACCCTAGGACGAACATAGGTGTTTTCCCAGCTGAGAAATTTTGCATACAACAGGGATTCCTCAAAGGAAGGTCCTCAGTGGCCACCTTCAACCAGACAACTTATCCTCTCTTGTGACTTGCTCAGAAAATTAAGCTGCTGCGAACATATCCCAAACAACAGATTGTTGGCAGTCTGGATACGGTTTCTCTTCTCAGCTTTGCTCCAACTTTGGTAGAATGCAAAGCTCATCAGCTGCCTCCTCTCACCGGCCTCAGAGAAGACGGGGCGGGCTCCAGAACCTGCAGTGGTTCCCATGGTCGGGGTTCCTCCCATTTGGTTGCCCATGAGCTGCTCCTCATTCCCCATTGTGGTGGGAGTGGTGTGAGTCACACCAGTTGTTGGCACCTCGTAGCGGCCAATCACTCCAGCCTGACGCAGGAACAGGGTAGGAACACTGTCAGCACAATATTGTTTGGCACAATCTAGTGTCAAGAGAAATTGGTTGAACAAGACGAGGCGTGTGCAATTGAACATTTTCGACTTCAGCTCAAGCCTGGTAGCCTCAAGCACTCAACGTTTCAGCGTGCAGATTTGCAACTGGGAATTGACGTACAATTACACTTGGGAGAGCCAAAGCGAAAAAGACTTGATCAGAAGCGGCTCTACACCTTGAATATGACCACCAAGCAGTACAACTTAATTTGGTCACGTCCGGAGAGCACCTTCTGCAAAGGCACTGGCGTTTTGACAATGTTGCCAGTTCTCTTCATTCCAGTTTGAGAGCAGACTAGGCAAGCAAAACCTTGTACACTCTGGCAGATTGCACTGACAATATAACTGACTGAAGCTCGCATTCTCACCTCATTGTGGTTGTGAGTACCGCTGGTGTGGGTATAATTAGGCACGTGAGTACCGGTGTGGGTACCAGGCACGTGAGTACCAGTGTGGGTACCAGCGGTGTGTGTACCGGTGTGGGTACCAGTGGTGTGGCTGTCTCCCTTGCCCATCATCTCCTTGATGGCAGCCACAGGGTGCGTCAGCTTCTCCTTGGTGGTCATGTGGGACGCCATTGTTTCTTGCAAAAGGTGCTTGAACGTTGGAAGAAGGATTTGCGATTCAATGCGAAAGTTTGCAGGGAGGTTTGCAGTTTGAAATTGAATGCTCTTGCGGCGTTCTTGCTTGAATTTATGCTCAAAGATGGTGAGATTTGAAGTCTGCAGGCTCAATGACACTGATGTTGATCAGTACTCAGTACTGTGGTCTGTGTGTGTTTGCCTTCCTCGTCGCGTCTCCTTCCCAAAGAGGATCCCGCGAAAACCTACAGCTGTCGGATATCCGCCACGTTGGAAAAAGTGCCAAGTAGGATTCGGCACTGGACAGGGAATCTGGTTACGCACTGATGTTGACATCAACAGACGGCCTGTGCAGCCGACACTTGGCAGTTCGACTCAACCTGTCGCACGGCGCCAGGTGCCAGTTGTGATTTCCATTACCGCCAACCACCATTAACGCGGACTGACTCGTAAGTCGTCTGCCGGATTTGTTCCAGCCCTCGACAGCTCGCGCTCTAGTTACAGCCGCAGCCAAAAAGTTCCTAGGCCAAAACCATGAATTAGGGCCCCCATTTCAATTTTCAGCTGGAGGACTTGATTTCTCCACATTGGCGCAATTCCAGCAAGCTATGGGCGAAGACGAGGGCCTTGCGTTGCAAAATGAGCTCCGAGAGCAGATCGAAGAGCAAAGGGCGAGCCTTCGGATGGTTAAAGACGCCAATGATGCTGTTCCCAGTGACGAATTGTCACAGGTGCGTACGCAAATCTGGCAAAAGTTGCATGAGATTGTCTGGATCTTCATCTATCATTTCGCAGGATGCTCACTGAGCTGAGCGGACTGTGAGTTATGTGGAACGTCGCAGCCAATGTGCCAATCAGAACTCTGTTTTCCAGTGCCACCTCTCCAATCTAAGTCAGCCTTTGTCATGGTGGTGTGTACATTGCCTGTGCATGAAAACTAGGCTGTTCCAAAAGTTCTTCTTCTCAAACGTTAGGCTGTGCATCAAATATCAGGTTGGGGAAGAACTTCCATGTCTGTTTCAAGCCTGGCTAAGCTGAAAGATCTATAGTGTCAGCGGTCCAGAGCACTCCTCACTTGGTGAAGGGACCGACCCCAAGAACGTTCGCGCTTGCTGACAGCCGCTGTTGCCTGCAGATGTTGGCGGACCTGGTGGCGTCTATTCACACCATGGAGAGCAGCCTGGCCCAGCTCTCAGCGACCACCGGTGCGAATACGGTCCTCCACACCGCTGCTCCCAACCCCGGGACATTCCCCGAAAGTCAAGGCAATCAACACGATCAAAATGCATTTTGGGAACTGAACGTAGATCGCAGTATGAGATCTGCAGCAGCTAGGAAAGTCATCGACCTTGAAGCACCGAATAAACCTGAAGCACCATTAGAGTTTGATAGTTGTCGAGAAAAAGCGGCACCGGAAGAAGCGGGGTTCTCAGGAAGAGAGATAGTTGAGTGGGCTGGGTTCAAGTTAGGCAATCGGTGCCGGTTTAGGGGGCAGGACAGGCGATGGCACAATGGGGTTATCTTGGAGTTTAGACACCCACAGTCGGTGAACGGGTCTCCGTCCAGGCGCTCGACGGTGGGGGCGCTCGTTGCGTATCTCACTCCAACGACGGTGCAAACGAAGCTGTGCTCGTTCTTTGCGCAACGGCGGTGTCGCTTTGGGGATGATTGCCGGTGAGCTGTTGTTAGATCTTCAAACAGTTGGGAGCTAAATTCAAAAAGATTCTCGGTTCTAAAAATAAAAAATCGAAAACGGGAATATAACCAGGCCCGCTCCATCGTTTCACAGGTTGCCAGATCTATTCGTTCGTTTAGTCTCCAGAAGGTTGCCATTGAGTGGGTGTGATTCGATTGAGGCTCAATAATGCGGCCTCCAATGGCCTCAGCTTCCACTTTGCCCAAAGTAGGCAAGGTTGATTCAAGTGCACGTCAACCTTGGTTTTTGCCGGGTCCATCTTGGGCTTTGTATACTGGCGTTCCCCCTTCCCCCTCCGGTTTGATTGCGAGCCCCCAGGGGGTCTTTCCTCCAACTTGCCAAAAAGGACGTTTGAAAAGGACCTTTACAGAGTCCGTGTGCGTGCATGTAGTCAAGCCTGCAGAATTCAAGCTTGACAACCAACCGGTTCGATGTCTGATTGAGTTCCAACCGCTCTGATAGATTCTCCGACAGTCACCAATCCAAAGCGTCTGATCATCTACGGGTGATGCAACTTTCAAACCGCCTCAAATCGACCTCTTTCCAGGAGCTTTCACGGCTTCAGTGTGCGGGCTCATAGGCTGAGACCATACCAACCGCCAGACCCGGGCACTTTGTTGCCAGGAGAACGGGTGTTGGCTTTACGAAACGACACAGGACTGTGGGAGCCTGCAGAAATCGAGAAGATTGAAGGGGCTGGCGAAACCGTGGGGCTACAGGTTAGTTCTGGTCGCAGGCTTGCTGTTGTGGAAAAGTATTCTGGCAACTTGACACTGGAGACGCGAAAGGATCATCGTTGATAGAGGTCGAGAAGATTGACGAGCTTTTGCTGCAGCGTATTTTGATGAGCTCGGGGATCGCACTTCGCTCCGGAGGTAGGTTAGGAGGCGCAAAGAGAGTTAGGGCGTTGAATGTGAGGTGTTCTGTTACCGGATCAGGGGATTGTTTGTCGAGATCCGTCTTTTTGGCAATGGAGGAGCCACTACAGTAATCTTTCTTCTGAGACACTCATGTCTCAAGAGTTCATGAAGTCACCGTCGTTCCCCGGATTCCCCCCTTCTCAAGGATGTGTCAAACAAAGCCTTGCCTTGGTCCGGACTGTCGTATCAGCCCCGTACTATGTTTTTCATTTGTTCGGTTGACATTGCGGCTTGTCGAGATATAGTGAAGCCGTGTCAATCAATTCACTTCAAATACCGAAACTCAGAATCGCGTTCCCGCTTCTTCTTTGCCAATACAACGTCACCAATTTCGGGCGCAGCATTGCTGAGACGTCGCCCATGATCTCTTGGTACGGAACTTCGCACATCCTCAGGAGCAAGAACAGCTAAAAAGAAGGGCAAGGTCTTACCTACACTTTTCTGCCCTGCACAGATTGCTTTCGTCCGTGATGGCAAACGTGCAAGCGCCGGATTCGAAGCCATCGAAAGTCCGTCCGTCCCTACTCCGGAAGGCGCGTCCAGCGACAGCGACTCGGAAGCAGGCGTTTCTGGGAGCGCCGGAGACGCTGACCTCAGCGGGGACGAGGAAGAGAGCCCCCGGGGGGGCCTTGGCGACAGCGAGACGTCAGCAGGTGCGGACCAAGAGGCTAGATGATATCACTTTTTATTGGCTCGCGCAGTCACTCCCAAATAAAAAGTTGTGCAGCTCGGCTCTTCTCTTTGTTCTCATCAAGTGCGAGGAGGCCAAATCTTCCATATCCTTGTTGACCGAAGATTGCCCAATTCAAACGAGTTTCAGATAAGCCGTCAGCATTTTTCTCCTCTCAAAATGAAAATGTTCACAGTGAAATCACGGCCTTCGGATAATGAAGCCTTCGCTTCCCTTTCCAGGGGTGACGTCACGTGGGGTGGACTGCCGGGCCGACGCCGCCCTGATGACGTCAGCGGGGATTCAGGGTGAGGTTCGGTTGCTGGCGGGGTGGGAGGAACACACTCGGGGGGTGGCCAGCAAAATGATGGCGAGCATGGGGTTTGTGGCCGGGCGCGGGTTAGGTCGGGATAACCAGGGGATGGTTAACCCGCTGCCGGTGAAAGTGCTGCCGAAAAACGCGTCGTTGGACTTTGTTGGGGGGGAGCAGAACGGGGAGAAGGAGGGGGGGAGGAAGAAGAGCCGCGGCGGGGAGAAGAGGTAAGAAGGTTCTGAGCTTTCCGAGCTTTTTAATCGGCACCATCTTGTGGAGCATCCTGCCAGGTCGGCAAGGAAACCCTTGTAGATCATCTTTGGATGAATCGTTGGATAACCCTTTCTTAGAGCACAAGTCGCGGCGTCGATCCTTCAACAATGGAAAAAGCCTGTCAAACAACGAGTAGCCTGGTCGGATTTTTGCCTTCCGGCAAAACGGCTTTTCTTTTGAAGCCTGGTCTGTGTGACACACTGGTCGGGATTTGCCGCTGGGGGGCTTCAGGGAGGCGTCAGCGGCGGACAGATTTGCACAGCAGCTGTCTTGGGAGCCCAGCTGCACAATATGAAAGTGGTGGTTCGACATAAGTAGCTTCTTGTGACACTGATATTCACAAGTCGCGGGGAGCAGATTTCATCCGAGAAACCCCCGATGGACGCCAGCTCTTGCCCCACCTCATGATGCTTTTGATTTAGTATTTGGGCAACATCGAAACCAAGCCTTTCGATACATTTTCGCAATGGAGAAAGTTTCTCCACCTCGCTTGACTGAAACGTGTTCGCGATCCGTCCGCTCATTCCGCCCATGTTTTGTCGCAGCCGGAAACGGAAGGCCGCGCAGGCCGCCAGGGTTGCGCGCGCAGAGGACGGCTCGGAGGACGACATGTTCAGCTTGATCAACAAACAGCTGGCGGCGCCTCCCGCTGCGGCGTTGGGGAAGACGGCCGAGCACACGCGGAAGGTGCGGGCCCTTTTTTAATGAGGAATCGCTGTCGACTTCACGGGAACACTATCTTCTTGCTGGGTTGTTTGGAAAAATGATTGTCGAGTCGTGCGAATGTTTTTTGATCGATGAGTGATTTGGAGGGACAACTGTCACTTTGAGAGGACAATGGCTGACGTGCATCTCCACATGGGCGTAGCATCTGTAGGTGAGGGCGTCAGTTTTTCCCCTTAAATCAGGCAAGTTTTGTGTTTCTTTTCGCAGGATTCTTACGTTCGTTAGCTTCAAAAGCATTTCAACAGCCCGTTCGAGATGATCCGCTTCCTCTCGCAGGACCCTGTCTAGCGGTGATTCGCCCCTGTTTTGTTTGGCCATGTCTCTCTTTCCTAACTTGATTTCGTTAAGAAAGCTCACTGCAGCAATGGGTGCGGCCCATGCAGGTGAAAAGCGGTTCTTCTGCCGGTAGCGATCGGCAGAAGCTACTGGCCCAGGGGGAAGATGTGAGCGCCGTTCCGCCCCCCTCGCGAAACTTTCTGACTTCTATCGAGGTGTTGTGTTGCACGGCCTGTCCGCAGTATAGCTTTACTGCTTCTGTAGGTCTCATGGTTCCGGAAAATCCTATCAGTAGTAGTCATGTAAATAAATGTCTTGAAGAAAGCAGTCGATGCTCTATTCTTCGTTGCATGACCTTGCCTTACTGGCCGAATGCACATAGCCCTAACCTTTGACTGTTCTTGCTGTTCCGGTCCCCGGATGTAGACTTACACAAATTGTTCAAATTGTTTATGTGGAGTTGACAAACCTCGATTATGCGACTGAGCTTTAAGGGCTTCTCGGCCCAGTCGGACGCCGAAGGAAGCGGTTCCTGCTTAGCTGATTGGACTGGAGCCTGATCTGGCCTCAAAATATGAGAACGGTCGGAGAAAAGCCTTTTGCTTTTCGTGTTCGGCTGACGAGAGCCCCTTCCTTAGCGCTCTGATACCCGCCCAAGTCTCTGCGCAGAGCGATTCCGCCCTTTGTTGGCAATTGGGTTCCGGTTCCGCTGGACAACCTTGCTCGTTCCGTCCCTCGCAGGTCGAGGAGCTGCGGAAGCGGATCGCCAAGCTGCAGGAGATGGCGGACCGGAACCGGAAAGACCGGACGGTGTCTGCGGCCGTCCAACGGAAGGTCCGCCCACGCCCCCTTAAGCCCTCAGTTTGCCCGTCGGTTTCGATACGAGCCTTCCGGTGTCCGTTCCTGGTCCCCTCCGGAAACTTCCGGCCGTTGTCCAAATCTTTCTCTGTCAAGGCCCATCCGTCCCTTGTGAAAATGCATCCCTTTCCTCTCCGTTTTGTCCAAGGACACCTGTTCCTCTTCAAACCCTTCCGGTCCTTGCCTAAATCCGTCCGCTCTTTGTGACGTGTCCGAATCTTTCCGTCCGATCTGCGTCAATCATCTATCCGCCTCCTTTCAAAGAATGCCGGTTATTTATATCCGCTCCAGTCGAACGCGTCCAAATTGCGTCCGCTTCCTGTCAAACCCGTTCGCTCGTCTCGCTATTTCGTCTCGCTTCGACACCTGGTTGCCTCCGTCCGAACGGCGTGAAGCCAACTTTTCGTCTGGCGTTCATCGGGCGATCGGACCGCTCAGAACTTGCTCAGAACTTTCTGGGAAGAACTGGTTGGCAAGCTTTTCTGGACCCGACAGCTGATTTGAAATCCAGGAATGGATGTTTCGAACAGGTTGATGATCTTCTTGTAAGAGTAAAGTCTGACAAGGAATCGAGGCACGGATTTCTGCACTAACGAACCTTTAGGCGGTAGTTCTTCGCCGCTTGTGAAATTCTTTCTGTCCAGCTTTTCGCTCTTGACAATGTTTCGTTGTGCTAGCCCGCGTCATCCCAGGAACTGTCGATCAGGATGCGGGGAACATCCTATGAGTCAAGCTGGTGAAGAAGAGAAGAAAATGACGTCGAATGTTGAGTAACAATTGGATCGAAGTTTCCAAAAAAGAGGGGTGACGAGCCGAGGAGGAGGTTGGAAGACACATCCAAATCTGGGCGAAGTATAACCTTTTTTCTGTTACCGCCTTCTCGTCCACCTCTGTGAGGACTCCAGCTACGCTACCGCAGCCGGCAAATAGTCGCGTCTCCTTCGGAAGAGCAGAACTAAGATGACTGTGCCGTCTGTTTGTGCTGCAGTTGGAAGAGACCCGGAACGCGCTTGCGACTGCAGAGGCGGCACACGAGAGCGCACATCGAGAGATCCATGAAAAGGAGAGGCACAAGAAGCTGCTGAAATGGTGACAAGAATGCGGAAACAGGCCCGTCTTAGTCATGGAGCTTGGAAAGGGTGACATCTCAGAACCGATTCTTGTTCGTTCAAGCGTATGTTGATTTGGTATGGTTGTCGACAGTGGCAGTCTGATTCTGATGGCCGTAGCTGGTTAAGGCGGCAGATGCAGACCAGAATCCGGTCCATGGATGTGTTCATGGCTGTTTCGTCAGAAATTGGTGTACCAAAGTAATGCAGGCTGCTGCAACTGCTCGGCCTCGTCCAACTGGCCTGCTGCAAATGTATGTCATACTTGCTTTTACGAAGCTAGCAACACCCAGCGGCAAGAATGACATGATTACCGACGGTAGCTTATGCGCTGTGCACTATCTCAGTGAAGAAAATTTGAAGATGACTGTAAAGTGCCATCTGAAGCCACCTCGATGCACAATCACTAGCTTAATTTGAGCTGGGTTGCGTACCAACTGCGATCTTTGCAATTCTTTGTGCATGTGCAGAGTCCAACTCGATTGTGCTCTTCATTTAAGCTCTAATGTGCATCAGTGTGTCAACTAGTAAGGTTAGGCCCGCCCTCAATGGCCTATCATTGTAGAGCAGATTAACGGAAATTAATGTGCGCAGGAAGCATACGAATGTCACATACTAGAACGCTTTAGAAATCCATCATTCATTCATTTGTCAACTGCACAGTGCACATGCTTATGCTCCCGGAAGAGCTGCAGAGCGCATCAATCACAACATGGTGCACGAAGTTGGATGCACATGTTCAACCAGGGCACATATCTCATTAAGGACTAGCTTTTGACCCCATGCATCATGCAGGTTCCTTGCATCAGAATAAAAGCACAATGCAAACATATGATTAGGAACATGAGGCATACTACGAGGAACATGAAGAAGCGGCCAGTATGGCATGATAAGCTGGGTGATTTTGACACGAACGTGCTGACTACAAACTTTCTGCAACAGAACATGGGCAATAATCGCCATATACAAAGGCTCAAGACAACCTTGCACCATGTTGAAACAAGCATTTTGTTAGCAGACTTTGAATTACCCACCGGATAGACCAGATAAGACCAGATAATGGGCATGGGCTTGTCTGAAATGATAGCTCTGACAACTTCCACATGCTGGCACCGAAACTGAGGAGGAGCTATGAAAGGAGAAGCTGTGATGCGCAGAAAAAGAATCAACTTCGATCAGTTAGCTTCTTGCGAGCGATAGGGCCAGAAGCCCAGGATTCTCAAAATTTCACTTGCGTCCTGAGCTAGCCTGAAACCCCATGCGCGAGGTCAAAGAATGTCAAAATGTAAGTAGCAACTTCTTATCTACATGTCGAACCATGGAAGGTCCTGCAGTGCTGCTATGCTTCATGTTTCCATATCCTATCCTTCCAGTCTTCCAGTTTGTGTGGCAACTGCCCGTGAAAAAGCGCTTGGCCTTCCCTCCCCGCCTACGAGCCTTAATGTATGACTTATGTGACACAGTTTCTTCCGAACAGACGTATCCATCTCCAACCCCGGCCCCCCATCAATTCCAGATCGCCCCCTAATTTCTTACCATGGTTTCCCAGCAATTCAGACCGTCGAACTGCGGCGCAAACTGCAATTTACTCCGTCGACTGCTGGACGTGCTGCTGCTCCTCTGTTTCCTCTCAACACTCCCGCTTCTCCTTTGGCTCGTCTGCACACCCTCGGGACCCTCGCAAGATGACGCGCGCAGAAGGTGGAAGTAGTTTGATCCATCGCTCGTGCTAGGACTGCTCCCGGTCAGAAGTGCCGCCTCGTAGGAGCATGCTGCGACCAGGGCAGAGAGACCAACACTGCTCATACTCCAGGCTGCGAGGCGCGAAGCCATGACTGCTGCAAGAGGCATGGGGCTGAAACGACACCTGGGGAACGCTTGCGTTCGAAGAAGGACCTTTGAAGCACAAAAAGCTGAAGGAAATCTGCGCTTTGAAGAATTGGCAATTGGAATGAACTGCTGGAATGGCAGAAACTTGACCTCAACCTTGATAAGGGCGCCCTTCTGTCGAAAATCTTCTGGCCTTCAGTTAGAACTGCAACTCTGCCGCCCTTTCCAAGGAAACTGGCGTAGCTTTTGAACGCGGTCACCAGCTTTGAAAAGTCACTGCCCGCCCAAGTCAGCAATGACAATGTGCGATCCGAGTGTGCAAGCAGTCATCCGATGTCCTGATCGAGCTAGCAGTTACTGCAATCCCCCTTGGATCTACCCCGAGTTCCACTCCAAGATTCTTCCTCAGCGTTACGCACTTTTTTGGCGCCTGGAGTCCAAACCGGCTTTTGTTGTAAAACCCTTCCTACAAATTTTGGGCCAAAATGAAATAAAACAAAGGGTTAATGAGGACCTAGTTACTGAGCCGTGTTGGTTTTAGTGTAGCGAGAGGCGTAACGCCATGCCGCGTTCGTCAGTTGGTCGGAGTGTGAACAGCCGCCCGCCTCCACTGATCAGTGATCTGTGACAATTGCTCGGATTCGCACCGGACACGGTATCTCCCGTTGACCGTTCAAACTGCACAACGGTCGCGCCACCATCAGATTTTAGGGTCGTATCAGATGTAATGATTGGCCGTCGGCGTCGGTTGGACTCTCGAGGAGCATCGTGGCCGTTCACTCTTGAACTGCATACGTTGCTCAGCCATCCAGAGTTTGACGATTCGGGGGCCTTCTCGAATCTCGGGATACTTCGCAGCTTGACATCTGGCGGTGTGCTAGCCACCAGCTAGGGTCCCATGCTGATGTGGCAAAATGACGCGCCAGATGGCAGTTTGATGCAGCACCAACGTTCACTTTTCGGTGCGCTTTTGTTCTCCGAAACTTCCGACGCCGGCTTCAATGAATCAGCCACTTGGCCTGATCAGGGAACATGCACTGCCATTCATGCGGAGTGCCCGCAATGGAGCTGCAAGTCCGGTTCCATTGGCATACCATGCGACTTTGAGTTCCGCTGCATGTTCTACGTGCCTTGCAGGCGGTTGTGCATGGATGCTAGTCGGACATACCTTGATGAGGCGTGCCCCGTAATGCTTCTTATCCAGAAAGTCTATCGAACTCTCTCTTTCTCAATCTCATAGGCTGATGTAACTGAAAGAGTGCGATTGGTACTGCGAAACGGTAGTAAGTTACGCACACATGATGCTGCCTGTTCAGGGACTGTGCACACCATCATAAAAGCCATAAAATTAAGCTTTTTGATCTTCGTGCATTGGACATTTTGACATGCGGCTTGTGGTTGCTTGAAGCTTATCTATTAGGCCTGGCTGCCTTGCTTTTGTGTCTGGCATCATGAAAGCACACACGGATTATTTGTCTGACCGGAGATCTGCGGTTTTATGTGCGCGCATCACTGACTGAAATCAGGGTGGAAAGAGCATGGCTCAAAGCAATTCCTACGAGCATGACTCGATTCAAACATCAAACCCCGGTGCCGGCTTTTTTTGTTTGAAAGCCGGATGAAGAAGACCGCGATTCACAACAGGTTACAAGCTACAGGTCCTAGTCGTCAGTACCTCGACAGGTGGGAGTAAGCATCTTGGAAACGAGTTCTCTGCCCTGAATTGCATGCAAGTTTTAGCTATTTTGCCCTAACCCTCCAAAGCCACAACCATATGCTTTAGGATCGAAACGGCTTTGCATCGAAGAATACGCACACACAACTCATACAGGCATTTCAGATGTCATTTAAGCGTGTACTGATATCTACCGTTTGTACTCCAGACTCCCTCGAATACTGCACCCTCCCACCTGCATGATCATCGCATCAATCATGTCCCCATTCTCCAACCCGATCCCCCCCGGTGTGTCTTCTGGCTTTATTCTATCCCCGTCGATCAAGAACCTCACCGACTCGCGACTTACTGCCTTTTTGTCGCAATATGCATAGAACAATTTGCCGAATAGGGTCGAGGGCTTCACCTTGAATACTACCTCCGTACCATCTTGCCCCTTCACAGTCAGCTCGATTGAGGCCTGCTTCTCTTTCTTGGCTGGACCGTCTTCGTTCTTGGGGGGCTCGTTTCGTGGCGTCTCGTTTGAACCCCCGGACGTTTCTGAAGGTGCTGCCATTCCTGGCCAATTTGATCGTAACCACTCGTCCGCTGGTGCGTCAAGAAGCCTCCCCGGAAAGGCTCACCGAGGACTGTCTCCCAAGTTGCAGACCCTGAAGGAGAGATACCGGAGGGACCGTTTATTCGAAGTGGTGAGGCACGAAAGCAGCTTGAGTGACTGAGCGACTCAAAAGAAGGCGACCAGCGGTTATTGCCATCGCCCTTTCAACATTTCCCATTCCCTGTTGATGCAAGCCAGCAGCGTCACAGTTCTATTTTTGGATTTCTATTATAGAGGGCAGAGTCACCAGCTGTCCACCACGAAGGGCGCAGCGTCCAGACAAAAGATAACAGATCGCGAGAATATCAGCTGAACCAAAGCAGACATATCGCAAAGCAGGGAAAGCCGCTTACACCAGGCACAAATCTGGTATACGGAGAGTGCGTTGGATAAGAAAGACCTAAGCGGACACCAACCCGGAGTGAGGTGACACTCCTACGAAAAATATTTGCATCAAGAAGCGAAGGAAACGGGGTCGGCAGTGGGCCTGGCGAAGTAAACCCAACACAAGGAGAGGAACACCAATCGGCAGAGTCTCTGGAGGAAGAACCGTTTGACATCAACAGAAAGGAGGGTCGAAAGAGGACATGTTTGCCACAGTCTGCATAGAAACGAAAGTCCCCTCCACACGCCAACAACCTGGAACAAGCCTTGATCGCCTCTATGCTCCAGCTCTTTAGGGATGCAAGATGTAGTACACACAACACCGTCATTGAAGAAAGAAGCTATGAATCTGGTCGTCGGTGAAGAGGATACATGATAACCAGACGCCCCTCTTTAAACCAGCCAGGACCTTGGCCGCTCAGTCTTATAAAGCGAACAGGACAAGACGGTAAAGGATCTTGCATCCAGTTGGGTTCGACAAGCAGAGAGCATTTCGACTTACCTCATCGGCTGTCCACTTGCTGGGACGAATTCCTCTTCGACCTGCTGACGTCAGGACCAATGTCTTTAGAACCTGCAGAGTTGGATGCTCGAAGTTTGGTCTTCTAAGAACCCGTTTTTTTACCCCTTGTCAGAACGCGGTTCAACCGCTTCTCAGTCTAAGTTTCGAAAGCTTCTCGAAAATGGTTTTTAATCCCGCTTTCGACATGTCTTTCACCACTTTCCGACGCTAACGCCTGCCGTTTTGACTCGTGTAGCATGGATGGGACGTCTCAGGTAGGCGAGAAGCCGTCACATGTTCCCCAGAAAGGTAATAAAGATTACAGAACTCTGTTCGCAGCATGCTCAAAAAAAATGGCCGCTTGGTTGATGGCCCTTGGTTGAAATTTTGAAGGCACCACTGATAGCAATCTTCTGCAGGGGTCACATATGCAGCAGTCGTGATTCAACTTCAGGTACTATACTTAAGTCTTCTGACTTCATCTCTTTTTCATATTGAGTACTTTGTTCAAAAACTTTTCATGGCAAATTCGACTCACCTGAGTTTACGTAAGGCCCTCGGCCAACAGCATCAGGAGACAGAGGTCGATTGGAATCGCTCAGCGATGGAGTGCGCTTGCTGTAGGGTAGGATAAAATCCGTAAGCAAACACCGTCTAGTTCAAGATACTGGCCATTGAGCGCCACCACCTGATTTCGATCCCATGTTCTCTGTCTTTGCAAGGCTGAACTCAATCTTCGCAGAATGCAGCAAGTTTCTGTACCAGCCCAACCACCATGTTCTTATCACCGATCTTCTTTGCTCGTCCTTGTTCACAAAAGTCAATTGCTTTTTGGCCTTGCGAAAGTACGAACTTGCAAGAAATATCAGACAGAAGGGATTGAAGGACTTAGTATGTCCTTCAACAGCGATGAGCTGCAAGCTAACATATTGGGGATGCTTCCTGTTTTACATGAAAGCAACGACGACAGTTGCAGTCGAAATTCACGATGTTGGACCTGCTTGCAACTCAGATGTTGTCCTTATTAGCAAGCGGCACAGGGAACGACAATTGCTGTGCTGCGACTGTGATACTAAATATCTCACTGTCAACGCACGGCAGACCTTATACTTCAGGTCCGGCTGGTTGGTCTCGACAGCGGGACACCCTAAGCAACTTCCAATCAGAGGTAAAACATGTGACCGCCAATGAGTCTCCAATCCAATTGTTCTTGTACAATTAGTTCACAGCTTTGTACAATTAGTTCACAGCTTCGGACATTTTTTTTCCACAGCTGACTGCACATACTAAAAGTGACTGGCAAGAACTGACGACGTCTCGTTGCAAGCAGCAAAGGACTTTCAGCCAGATGCGACTTCGTCAGCAATACTGATTTGGGTGCACAATGTGTTCAAAACACTACATTGGTCTCAAGCACCCCGTACACATATGGTGACAGAGATCAACTGACCTCAGAAAGAAGGGCAGGGACATGCCACCCACGGCAAACAGAATGAGGCCTCCTGCTATTAGCCCGTTGCTTGCCCGGCGGCTGCTCATTGGGAGACGGGTGCACAAAGGAATACGCCCGAGAAGCCAATCGCCTTTCAAGCTCCTCTCCACACCACCACAACATAAACCCTGGCAGCTGCAGCAATGTGGTCTCCTTTTCTGAGCCTGGAGCGCCTCGAATTCCTGAGTTCGAGAGCTGTAGTTGAACTTGAACTTGAAGTCGGTTGGCGGGAGCTGTCCAGAGCTAGTAGCAGCCTGACGAACAGTAGGCTCGTTCCGGGCTGCGGTGGCACTTTACGGTGTACTGATTGGTCAAAAGAGCAGACGCTTTCGGACGCTGGGGAAGATCGGTACACGCAGTGGTTCCGGCCACCGGGCCACCCACGGGGGCTTCTGGGCCCTAGTGCTCGCGTTGTTGCCGGGCCCGGTAACTCGGGTCCGGTACCCCCGTGGCTGGGCTTTTGGCTTTTGCGGACAGCTCGAGCTGTACATATGGTCAGTGTCGCGATCGGACGAGGCCGGGCCCGGCTCGGTCGAAGTGTCCGAAACCACGTGGACATTTGATGAGACCATGCAGTTGCACTGGGGAACTCGAGACTCAGAGTTCAGCAAGCTTTCAAAGAGCTCATGAAACGACACGCACAGCTTGTCGCTTGGCATTGACAACATCTCATGCCATCGTCCTTGAAAATCTGAGAAACTTGTTCTTAGAGAGTGCAGAGGGGAGCAGCAGAGGACTACAGAAACGGAATAGCGGTTGACGGAATTAGTATTTGACAAGTCACACAGATGCCCGGTTTTAAGGAAAAAGCTGTTGCCCGGGAGGGTCCTTCGGGAGGGGAGGTGCAAATCATTCCGGGGTTTGATCCAACCGTGGACGCCGATGCGCCGGCAGACCGGCTCACTATTGCAGAGTTTGCAGAATGGAAGAGAAAAAAGGTTAGCCGTGAACTCTACACCATGTTATATTGGTACTTCAAGTTTCTTTTTACTTCCTAAAGTGAAATCTGGTGGTGTGCTGATGCCATGAAGAAAGTGAAGTCACAAAGGCAAATTCAGAGTTCTTGCGTGCGTGCAATTTCAGAAAAGCTCCGTCTCTCTCTAGGTCTCAATCCCCAAGTAGGCAACATGTTTCTGCAGGATATGCTGCAACATAAGAACAAGTACATATTCAGAAACTTGTTACCGTCAGAGTTGGTTTCCATTGCTGAGATCGCTTACCCTGACATTGTGCACCACTTCCTTCCACCAATTTCTTCCATCACCATTTGTAGATTATTTTAAGCAGCATTGTCAACCATCTCCTTCTTGCGATTGCTGCACCTAGGAGTACAAGCATGTCTGAGTGAGAGATCAGAGTACATCAATCTGCGGGTTTGGCTGGCCTGTATAACTCAATCTTCCTTCGATTAAAGAGCAAACGACTAAAGAGCAAATGCACTCTCTGAATCCATTCTTTCAGGACGAGGAGATAGCAGCAACAGCCCACGCTGCGGCAGAGAAGCGAAAACAGGATATAGCGGCAGGGCTTGTGCGAATGACAGGGAAAGAGCTCTATGCACACGAACCTTGGGTCTTTGATGAAGAATATATCCAAGCGAACGCAAGGTAGCACATGTTTCCTACCTTGTACCATAATAGTCCTGCTTTTCTCTCATTCACCAGTCGGCAGGCCCTCCATGCCAGCTTTGGTATTACAGTCGTTCAATCGGTTCAGCCTTCCATTGTAACTTGATTCTTGGCAGCAACTGAAATTTGAAAATTCAGCGGGGTGCGCGTGCTGCCTAACCTGATGTTAGAGTCAGAGCTTGCACAGAGCAAGAGTGACGGCTGTTCTGACAATCTTCCAATCGCAGACGGATTCGAATGATATCGACTTTCCTTAAATTAGATAGGGAAGGACAGGGATTGTTAGTCTTAGTCTGGTTGCCGCACGTTTGGCATCATCATTGATAAACACGATTCTTGGTATGCAATAAGCTGTGTCTAATTGTACCGTATGCATGGCATTATTTGACTAAAGCAAAAGTACGCTTGTGCGCTGGCACCACAGTGATGGTCAGATTCATACATACACCGTAGTCGAGCTCTGGATCAGAATTATCGTGCGCCAGGGGCCACATACGTATACATGAGCTGAATGTTCTGTGTGAGCCTGGATAACATATATCTGATTGCTTGAATGAAGCTTGGCCGCATGTGCGTAACATTCTGACAGTTGTGTGTAATTTTGCGGCCTTGGCATGGCATCTACATCTCGTGCAGTTAGCCCAGCCTGCCAATGATTGGCAGGCAAGGGCGTCAACAAGAGCACCACTAACCTCAGCTCGAAGTATTTATGCAACCAGATGGTCAAGTCTTTGGCAGACCACGGGCATGTGTTTATTGGCATCCCTGCTTCATCATCTTGATTCATATTATGGTACATATAACCTGCACGCTTAAACGGCTCCCTAACTAGTCAAGTCTATCCTCGCCATCAACAGTGCTTTTTACGATAGATTACTTCACTCCCTCGGAAGCTTCCCTGCGATTGCCAGAGCCCCCAAGCCTTCTCTAACCGCTTGCTTTTGTGATGCAGACTTCCATCCTGACATCTCAAGTCCAGCTTTCATCTCGTTTCGCTTTCTCTCCTAGCGGAGATGCCACGTGAGCCGTCCAACCCCGTTTGAACAAACTTCCAATCCCCAGCAACTCTTGGTCGTCCCCCCCATCCTGAAATGTCGATAGTCTTTCCTCAAAATCCGTCCCGGCTCTTCGCTACCTTCCGTTCTGGGGGGCCGCAACCCCCTCCGGCAACAGCCTTCGTCCTTGCCCCCTGCCACCCCCCCGGGCTCCTTTCCTGATTCCGTTCGGGGGGGCCGCTTCTTGCCGCACAGGCTGGTAGGATTGCGCGGGGTTCGGGGGCGGCAACCGGACTTGTTCCTGCAGAGGAGTGAGCGAGGTGTTCGAAAGGTCGGAGAAGATGGATGAGGACCCGTGTCACTCAAGTAGACTGAGAAGGACCCTAAGCTTCGCACCTGAATGCCCTTTCGTCTTCTGAAGACGGCTTGGATTGGTGCGATCAAGAACTCTCTCTACCACTGAGAGACAGAGTTATCAGGAACCAACAAAAGATTTCAATGATTACCAACTGAAAAATTCGGTTTCGACTCCCGTTGACAGTCGTACTGGTCCTGAACCACCAAGAAGTAATCTCTTCTTTGCCTGCCCTGCTGGCCACAACCGTTGGACCAACCCCTGCTAACGTTACTCGCCAGTCTGACGCCCACGCCTCACCAAAAGTGAGACAGACGTCGGCAAAGCTCGGTGACGTCACCCTACCTGCTGTGACGGGCCGGCAATGACGAACAACCTCTCCAGGCGCGGCAACGCCGTACGTTATTGGGCAGTGAGCGTCACACGAACAGCAGAAAGAGGACGCCGAAAACACCCGGCAAAACGGCTGTTGTCATCATACCTGCCACTGACATGCCCCAAAACTCCGATCTCATACAACGTGCATGAGAAAGACGGGCCGCTCTCTCGTGCAGCACCTCTGTGCATACTTTGAGCAAAGAACGTCTCACGGAAAAGCAGTCTCATGGAAACGCACGAGCGGACGCCGAAACCAGAAGATGCTCCGCAAATCCGCTGACGTCACCGTTACTACCCCTACCTGATGTGGCGCGCGAGGAGATGACGCTCCGCTCTTCAAATGCGGCACCACTGTGCATGTTCGGGGTACTGAGCGTCTCATTGAAACGCACCAGCCGACGCAAACACACAAGATGCCCGACATATTCGCTGACGTCACAAACACGACCCTACCTGTTGCGGCGCGCGAGGAGATGGCGCTCCGCTCTCCAGATGCGGCACCGCTGTGCCGTTGGCGCGGTCTCCCGCGGAAGGCCCTGCCGGCGGCGCGGCCGCCAACTCCTGGGGCTCGTCCGCCTCTGCGGCGCCGTCGGACGGCCGGTTTACGAGGCCCATCAGCTCCAGGATCGCGTCGTGATCCAGCATCTTGTACGGGGTGCTGCGGAAGTGGAGTGGGGGAAGTTTGAGCAGAGGGCGAGAAGAGAAGGTACAGCTCTTTGCGTCAAACCTGCCATCGGGTTTGAAACGCTCCGAGCATAGTTCCTGATCTTCGACCGTTCGATCAACGACAACGAATCCATCGGACGGCTCGATATCAGGGACCATGCTCGGAGAAAGTGGAACTCGACGTCAAGTTTGACGCGAACACCTGTAACTCGAACCCTCGGTCGCAAAGAAAGCGACATTGGCGATTTGGTGGCGTAAACTTTTCAGGGCCGGAAAGTTCTTATGGACGACCACGTGATCTCCTTAAGCTGAAGGTGTCGGGACGCCGTCAATCGAGGGAGCCCTAAAGTTGAAACTATGATTCTTAAACCTCAGATGATGGGTCGACGTGCGCTCATTTGTCGAAGTCAAAATACACAATCACCCTACGCTTCCTCACCGTACGCTTCCTAACCCTCATCCCAACCCAAACCCGAAATCCAACGGACGCTCACTCGTTGAAGTCGAAGTGCACCAGCTGCATGAGCAGATCGGAAAGATTCTGAAACACTATTACTATAAAGCTTCCTAACCCTCATCCAAACCCTACCCTAACACTAACACTAACCCTAACCCTACTCTAAACCTAACCTTCGAAATACGGGTCAAGATTCGCTCACTCGTTGAAATCGAAGTGCACCAGCTGCATGTCCTCCGAGATCTCAACCTCCACCGTCGCCTGCGGCTTCGTCTGCGGAAAGGGACGAATGACGTCAGGGTGACGTCAGCCGGGCCTGAAGCACGAGCGAGAATCGTACAGAGCCCTCCAAAGACTGGGCTTCGCAAAGGGAAGGCCGTCCAAGGCGAATCATAAGGGTTGAGCGGTGAATTTTTCGAAACGGTTACTCAAGGTACCTCTTCTATTTCTTGGCTACAGTTGCATACAGAACCTGAACGAAACACAAAACCGAAGAGGTCGCCCGCTCAGCAGAGAAGTATGCCAGGGTGTCAACGAAGATTTGACTCTTCGACTTCGCGTCTCCTGACGCTGGTTAAAGCTTAACCCACTTGATGCGAGTGAAGACTACCCCAACCTGACGCTTTTCTACCACAACCCGGACTTAACCCTCAATTCGGGCGCCCGACCATTACAAGACGACTCCAGATTTACGGCGACCCTTCACGCGTCGACTTCAACGTACTGCTTCTAGAGTCCAGCAAAAAGCAGTTGATTGTAGCGTGTTGTAACGGAGACACTCTTCCAAGAGCAGTAACAAACGAGGACGGTATTCATCAAGTGTAACGCTTGGGTCGCCCGAGGTGGTCGAACGTACCAAGATATACTGTTCTACATCGAAGGCGCAGAGATAGAAAGCTCTACGCTCATACAAAAAAGTAATACTTTTGACTGAACGAGCACGTTTGACATCAGTGCTTATTTTGCTTTTATTATTATTTGGGAGTGTCTAGCATTCTTTTTTGCAAACAAGTAATCGTCCAGAACAATTGCTCACCTTTATCAGGACGAACGGGAAGGCGATGCCCTCGCCGGGCCCCTCTCCCTGGCCGTGTAACCGCTGGTTCTGCATAACTAGATTCTCGTACGATCCAAACTGCTGGTGCAGGCTCCCTAGGTAGCGCTGCTTCTTGGCCATCTGCTCTTCCACGCGGGACTTCTCATCCTGCAGATGATGATATGATGACGATTGTAATGTCGTCATCATATGAAATGACATCATCATGGAATGCCATGATTGTAAGTGTCATTGCTAATAGACTGAACATGAACATCAACATCTTGGCCATCTGCTCTTCCGGGCGGGACTTCTCGTCCTGCGCGACGAAACAACATAAGATTAACGCTCAGAATGGATAAGTGCTACCGGAAAGTAACACGCGGCCGCTTGATACCCGCCGATCCATGCACAAAAGCGAGCCTCCGCGGTATCCTCTTGACGAGAAGCTTCTCCGCATTCGTTCTTGATCAAAGAGGGACCTGGAGGTCAATTCGAGATTTGGTGCGACCAATCCTCTGACACGACATTTTTCACTCGAACTTGATTGCTTTAGATAGTTGAAAGCAATCTGCAAGGACGGGACGGCTTCTTCGGACGCGTTGGTAATTCGTCCTCTTCAGGCTGCTCGTTGCTACCATCTAGGTCAAGCTATTACGAGGCAGTTAATCCCCACCTTGAGCATTCCAATGTCGGCTACTGCGGCGGACGGCAGCCCCCGCCAGTGGATCTCCTTCTTGTCCTTGACGATGATGTCCAAGGCCATCAGCACGTTGAGGGCGTCGTACACGCGCCGCCGGATGTTCTTCTCGTCGTACGACTGCGGACATGCGCGAGGGAATGAGTTCAGACGCGTCCGAAATGGTCGCAGACCGTGGGAAGAAGATGGATTGCAGGTTAGTCGGTGACTCCGGCTGCGAGAGTGTCTGAACGAAGCGGAGTCCGGTAAGAAGGAATACCGCAATACCTGCGGACGTTGCGGACGCTTTGCAGCTGATGATCGTCCGAAAATGCTGGACGTCCAAAAGGAGACAACGGTTGCAATAAAGGAAACGTCCGGCAGGGGGTATTCCGTCTGAGACTGGGGCGGCGAGGGGGAACCAAAGCATAAGGCCCAAATTTTAGGTACAGCTGTTTGCGTGAAACTTGCCACGGTCACCTCCAAGCCAAAACCCTCCTTAATTGATCTTGGACCGTCCGATCAACGAAAGCTGGCCAATCGGACGGGATTCAGATCGTGAGATTTGCGGGTTGGCAGCTTTTGAGGGCGGCAATTTCGCGCAGATTCTCATGTAAGACACGACAGGATCGCGAAGTCTGCAAGCAAGGGGGAAGCAGGACACTAGACCACTCGCTGTGGATGTTGTGTCCACAACCAGTGGTCCAGGTCGTCGTTTCTGTAACACCCTCATAGGTCCTGGATTCAGAAGAAAGAGGTTCCTAGGACTTGCCTGATCTGAAGGAGAGTTCATCGCCCCCGCTTCTGCAATCTCCCGAACCAACTCATCGGCAACCTGCGTATGGAAAAGCGATGCTAAATCGATCAGTGATATGGATGCTTCCACGAGATGATTGCCTCTGAACAACGCCGCGGATCTAGTTGGTGCTAAGAGCGCAAGCTTGCGTTGGGACAAACAGGTGGATGGTGCCAAATTGAGACGCATGGGAAACCACGAATTGGATCGTGTGCACAGCTTTTGACGGATAGGTCCAGATCTTTTCAGCCCGGTGCTACGACTAATCTCTTGAAAGTGTGCATCATCGCTAGAGTGAGGAATTTCCGAGTCCGTCAGACTCGGTCCGCTTTTTGCTGGTTACAATGGAAACGGACTTGGAAGCCCGTTCCAGACCAACTGAAGCAATAATCCTCAGGGTCCTATCGATGCTTACCTCGTTGTACGTCGTCCTTCCTTTCTCCTCTACCTTCTCGCAGACTGCATGGAGCAAGGGGATGAGACATCGTAAGTCGCTCGCTCGGGCATAGAGTTGGCGACTGACGGAAACTTGCGGAACAACATTCTAAGCAGTTTGAGGCGAAATCCTGACCCCCCGCGTTGAAACAAAGCGATCTGATCCCGTCTCGATCACAGAGGACCAAATCTTGAGTATGCGTATGCACGAGAAAAGCCCCTGAACGCAATCGCAAGTCCCCTTGGGGAATGCAGAAGAGAGTAATATAAAGTGGTTATGAAGTAGATAAGAATAACTTTGATCCGATAACAAAGCAATTTTAACGTGATCATGAAGTAATTATAATGTAACCAGTTTCCGGCGCTCGCGGTTGTAATTCCAAGGAAAGTCCGGCCGCTCGAAGCTTTTAGGTGGTCCGGATTCGCACCCGCGGAAACCCACCTTTCAAACTGAAGTGCCGCAACCCCTTGCTGGCCTTGTCGCCGCCCCTCGACCCGCCCCGCCGCGCACCCCGCCTACTGCATCAGAACACAATCGTAGTCGTCTTTGACAGGTACGAGAATGTTTTGAGCCGAGTTGTGGATTGAATTGAGAACGGAGATGGGAACGGAGAAAGGGGCAACATGCACGTAACCGAATTGGAGATGCCAGTTTGTGTTGATTGTGAACAATTCCGTGTCGAGAAGTAGCCTCTGGGTGCTTGAAACCGCTGCAAAGAGGTTCGTTTTCGCAAAATATGATTGAACTGCGGGCTTCGGTTTGTACGGTTGAAGGCGACAACGAGGAAGAGTGTAAGGCGATGTAGGTTCGAGCGCCAGGTGGCAAGCCCAACTCAGCAAGCCGACTGTCCTGGTCAGCGTCATGTCACTGAAGTAAGCTCATCTAGCGCTTGGTTTGGCGTAGCAATGTTAGGCGCAACTACAATGACGTTCCACGGAGTATAGTTCGAAAGCGGAGAGTACTACGAAAGCGTAGAGCACATTCAAAGCGGCAAGGACTCAGTATCTCATCTCCCTACTGTTCCATACTTTGAAGCGATCCTACCAATACGGAAACTTTTGTTTGTGGATGTACACCCGTCTGGTTCCTCCAAAGAGACTCACTCTGCAGCATCGGCCCCCTGCTGCTGATCCCTCGACACTATCTCCCGGAACGACATCCGGGGGGCTGGCGACGGGGCCACTCGTACCCCCCCGGGAGGAAGTGGTAGCCTGCCGTCCTGCTTCACCGGGCTGCCATACTCACGAGGGGGATACTGAGCATAGGCTGCGTCGGGGGGGGGTCCGAACATGGGGATGCTTCCGGGGGGCGCGTTTTGAGGGTTGCCCATGTAGTGAATGACAGGCCGGTTGCCGGAAGGCCCTGTAGGATTCGCGGCAATCTTGTATGTTTTCTCGTTTCCCATCGTTTGCAATTCTGGTTGAAAACCCGTCTTCATTCATTTTCATTACGATTTTTCCATTGCTGATGCTAATGTCCGTTTTCTTTAGTTTTCGCGTCTGCTCAAATTGTCATAGACATCCAAAGTCAAACCGTGCCTTTTGAGATGCGGGCATCTCGCTTTAAACTCCTAGGACACAGAAAAAAACACCTTTTGGTCATCCTTCGTACGATGAAAGTACCTTCTGAGGCTTTGGAAACTGTTGCAGAACGAGGACGAAAACGCCCTTCAAACCACTTACGCCGTCAAGCAACAAGCTTCCATTTCAAGTCACAATACCAACTTTCCCTGGCATTCCCAGGACAAAAGATGATTGACCCTTATCTGTTCCTAGGGGCCATAGCAACCTTCCCTTTCAATAGGAGCATCACCTTTCATATTCGGTCAAGCACCCAAAGAAGATGTGTCCCATATTTTGATGCCGAGCGGAGGTGAAAAGGCTAAGTGGCTTTCAGTAAGTGCGTGCACTTTTCAGAAGCGTCTATTGAGCCCAGACTGAGATTCCCGACAGACGATAGGTGCCCAATCATCTGAAAGCAAACAGGATTAGAAATACGGAAAGTAGACTTGTGGATAAAAGTGCGCTGCGTTTCTTTCTTCTTTGTGTGCATACAGGGGTCAACCGCTTTTGGTCAGCACAACCAACGTGCTAAGGATTCCAGAAGATTAAGGGGAGAAGGAAAAGAAGAAGAAGCAAAAGAAGAAGAAGAACTTCAAGAAGATCAAGATGAAGAAACAAAAGATCCTCACACTGGTGACTCTAGACCACAACAACAACATACTCAAAAGGCCTGTAGCTGTGTTTGAGAAGCGCATCGCCTCACTCTTCCGTGCACTTCCGGGGTCCTCCTTGATCAGCCCAAACCCCGCCGCCACCCCCTCTAGCCCCTGCTCATAGAATTCCCGCTGCAGATCTTGCAACATGCCGCCGCCACTTGGCGGCCCCCCATTGGGCCCCCCGCTCCTCGGCTGCGGTGGGTTGCTTCTTTTAGCTGGGCTCTCCATTCGACGAGGGGTTTGCGGCTGTTGCTGGTTTTGGGGACGTTGGGATTGCTGGTGCGGTTTTTGCGGGTGAGGGATCTGGGGAAGCGGTTGCGGGTCTTGTGGAGCGAGGAGCTGTGATTGGCTCATGGAGACTTGCGAGTCCTACGCCAGCTATGAGATGCTGATTGAGCTGCAGAAAAAGAACGCACTAGTTTCACACATTTACAACGTGGGGGCCTGAGACCATGCTGATCAGATTTGGACATGGCTGATCAAAAGGGTTTGGGCTCCAAGTAATCAGCAGATCAATACTCGGGTTGTAAGAACCTCGTACATCTTGAGATGTAGAAGGATCCTCAATGACTCCTCTTTTCCCCTTGAGGATAAAGAAGTTGACAGTATGTATGGTGCGTAGAAGCTAGGGAATGTACTGGTGCAGGACTTAAAAATAAACTTCGAGGCTTTGAAACAGAAAACTTTTGACGTAAAGACGACTCTCATTGAAAAGTACTGGAATCTCAACGGGATCTTCTGGACTGAGCTGACTCAGATGGGTTTGACCGGTTCATGAGGGCCCTCAGCATCCTGGTCACAGAGCGGGGACTGGTCGTGCGATCGCTAAGATAGAGAAACCGCTTTGAAGCTTAAGCATTTCAGCAATATGGGAAGACAATGGGCAGACGGAGTGCTACAGTCAACCACAAGAGCAGCTGGAAAGCACTGCAGAAGAGGAAGATAACATTCTAATAGCAGTTGAGACTTGGATTATTACATCGTGGGGTTTGAAGAAGAGCCTGCTCAGAGTAAGCTTACAAGCCCGGGTCTTTTAACGCTCAAACTCACTACCCTCCATCAGAAGAATTGCCGGCTGGTTCTACAGGCCCCCCTTCGCAACAAAGATCTGGAAGGTTTCGAGCATCACAAGTTCTGCAGAAATAGAGAACCCAGTCATTGATTCTACACCTTTGTTGATGTGGATACACCTCCTCTACTTTCTTATTGGTAGGTCCTTGAAAACCCAAGTGAAGGATCTGAACATGCAAGTATATGCAACATGTTTGAACAGAAAACAAAGTAATTGAATGGGCATGATCCTCACCTTCAGACTGTGTGAGAGCATATCCCGCGATGCAATTGCCGTGTCCTCTTCATCTCTTCTCGCGCACTGATGTGGACCTTCACCTTACATGGTGCCTGCTTCAGAAAGTCAGTTGGTATATCCTCGTCAATCTAAAGAGGAGACTCAACAGGTTTCTACGCCATAAGTGAAAATGTGACAGTTGCAATTGCCCGAACTTTAGTTCAGTTGCCGTTCCGAATCAAAGCGTCTAAGGCTGACCAGTGGCAACTTTCGTCCGACTTTCAGCAGAACTTCCTAGACGTCGAAGAAAAGGGGTTTGTCAAGGAAGATACCTCCTCACAATCTTCCACCCCTTCCCCCAGTCTGCCCTCCTCCTTTCCGAGTCTGCCCTTCCTTATCTGGCACTGCAGCTCTGCTCGCATTGTCCTATCCTGACGCAAGTTTGAGAACTGGTACGGTGGACAATCCCTTTGTCGCATCGGCAGCGAACTGGTTCTCGATGGGGATCACGCTTCACCGAATTCAGAATTTCCCCTCCAATTTTGATGCGATCAGAAACCTATTACCGCTGCACGCCATTATCGCGCGTGATTGGAGGCGGGCAGCTGGTAAAGCGGTCGGAACTCCAAGCGTTTGTATACGCACCCCTAGTTCCCAGCGGCCATTTCTTTCTTCACAGGTCCTTCCTGCAGGCTTCATTCTGTCATTCTCATTGTTGTTGCTTTGTAGGGCGGCAGAACCTGTGCAGGAAACGTGAAAGAAGGCACAGTAATTTGGAAGCACCAGGAAAAAGGTCTGCCTTTGTTTCGATACTCTCCGCTGTGGTCACTTTGAATATATAGAGCACTTAGAACAAGACAGGGGCGCATCCTGAGCCGCAACTTTGGTCTTTTGTTCAGCGGGATGGCGCCCTCAAGGGATCCCTTCCAGCGTCTGCCAGAGCCTGTCCTTGCTCTCGTTCTCTCACGCCTCTCCAATGCCAGGGACATTGCGAACGCAGCCTGCTGCTGCAGCAAATGGGCAGAAACCGTTTGGGGGGCCATCACGAGCCTCTCTGTGAAGAGCGGGGACTTTGAAACAATCACTGAGTTTGAGTTAGTGGTAACCCGCATGGTCACCAAGGCGAGGCAGCTGGAGAAGTTGTCAATAACCAACCGGTTCGACCGCCCGCTGAACGAGGCGTGCGTGATGTCATGGATTCAGCTGTGCCCTGGGCTCCAGCACATCGAGCTCGTGGACAGGGAAAGCTGCGATCCAGAGGAAACCCTGGTTGACCGGCGGTTTCAAACCTTGGCCAAGTGCAAAACCCTAAAAGGCTTAAGCCTGGAGTATCGCCGGAGGCAGCGGTCTCTCGACGCGGAGCTGAGCTGGCACCTCCGCCTGCCGTCTCACGCCTTCGCTTCGCTGACGAGGATTGAGCTCAATGGCCTGACGGCGTGCACCGAGTCGTTGGAAGAGATAGTCCAGCATTGCCCGCTCTTAGAACACTTGCACCTCAGTCAGATAATGAGCCCAGCAGGCAGTCGCCTCCGGCTCGACGCCCCGTCTCTAGTTTGCTTCAAGTTCTCAGTCTTCCTCCAGCCGTTGGATTTCGACCCCGACCGGTGCATCGACAAGATCCAGCTGTGGGCTCCAAAGCTGCGCGACGCCGAGATCGCGCATGTTAGGGGGCTGAAACTTTTGGGGGGGGCGCGCCTGCAGACCCTGACACTCAGGGAGTGTCCGCGGGGGAACTTGTTCGAGATCGGCGACAAGTCGCAGCTGCGGGAGCTGAGCGTCTTGGATGGCGCCGATAACTTTTACATCGCAAATCCTTCGTCGGTTTACCACTACGAGGAGCTCGAGTGGGCGGGCGCCACGCTCTGGGACCTCGTCTTCGGCTGCTCGGCCCTCAAGGTTCTAGATCTAGACGTGCATTGTGCGGGGAGGGAGGGCGAGAGGCTGGGCACTGTGAGCGTGCCGGAGTTCTTCAAGCAGTTGCCCGCGCTGATTGATCTTCATGTCAAGGACTCGTTTCTACAGTTCCTGCGGGGGCCGCAGGACCGAAGCTGGACGCGGGCGCACTTCTCGGGCGTGCGTAAGTTTCCGGGGCTCCAGCGGTTGGCCGTGCGCGTTCCGGATTCTTGGTCCTCGTCGAGGCTGGGGCAGGTGATGCATTTCTTGCAGTACCTGTGCGGCGTCTGCCCGCGGCTCGCTGAGGTCATCGTGGACTGCAACGAGCGGTCAATTGCGGGACTGGATGCGGGCTTCTTCCGGAGCCTTCTGGTCGTGCAGCGGAAGTTTCCCGGTGTGAAGTTCGATTTCAAGGTCGAAAAGGAGTCCAATAGAGCCCGATCTTGGAGCCCCTACTCTGATATGGACGGTTCGTATGATGGGACCCCAAGTAATGCATCTGCAGGATGGCTCACTGATACTGACAGCGACTGAAGCACTTCAGAACATTGTAGAAAACCCCTGTGAAATTTACTCAGTTGGGACTCCGACTTAGGTCGTGGGTTTTGTCGTTAGTGGATATTTGAAAAGTAACATTTGAAATGCATTCGGAAAGTGCGCTCTCTATATAAGTCAATGGCAGAAAGGAGATCGTCATGAGAGTCTTCTGCTGCGGCAGCTGCTATAGATCTTTGCCAGCCGCTCCTCTCGCACCATCTTATTCGCTCATGATGTCATACTTACCACACAATAAGTTGGCCTGAGCTTGCATTAGGCGGCATGCCATGTGCCTGGATCGCGGTGCATGTGCACGACTTTCAAATGCGGTCAACCAGCTCATGTTTCAGCTCGATCACATCTGGCATTATGTAATTGTCGGATCGGACATGTGCTAGCATTTAGTATGCAGCGCACCTGGCCTTCCACGTATAAAGCTACTCGTTGTTATTCTGAGCCTATACTTGTCTGTGCTGGCCCCGCACCGCGGTTTGTAGGCGTGGCGGCATGCGCGCTCACTTATATGAACCATCACAACAACAACTTGCCGCATGATATTCAATGTTAGAGCCAATGGGCAGATCTTGCATTTCATTCATAAAACCACGTGCCTCCTTAAGCAACAAAGTATGAGTCACCGGTTCATGCAAAACTATAAGGGTGATAATCCACGTATAGATGGAAACCTTACCAACCACTAGACCCAGCAATCGCTGCTAGCTAGGATCAGCGTACTCCAATCCTGGATCGAACTAGAACTTGTCAACCATGCATGCCACAGAACACAATAACAAGTAATGCTGCATGCTTTGGATGCTGTTTTGAAACGGGCTCGGTGCTCATCAATCGTGGACCACTTGAGTGATCCTGGTCCCCATCTAAAACCCTTGAATGTCGCACAAGCGGACAAATAGATCAATTAGAACCAACTCGATCTGGTAAGGCACAAGGGCATGAACGACTTCCAAATCTTGCTACGTCCTCAAGTCGACTCCCGCAAAAGCAACAACTCGAACCTGTATCCTCAGGCCGCAAGGACGAACCGTTCCTTGCCTGAAATGTAAGCTAGAAACATCACATGATCTAAGAAGCCGTGCAACTCTCTACCTCTCCAAGAGGCCTTTCACGTATATTTTCCCCTTTTCCCTCATGTCCAGCTCTCGTCGGAACCTCTCAATCTCCTCGTCGTCTCCCTCGACTATGATGTCTGTCGACACTTCGTCGTCGCTAGTCACCATCTTGACCTTGACCTTCTCCTTCCTGGAAGCCTTACGCCAATAATAAACGCCCCTGGAAAAAAAGGAACGCACGAGTCACAATCCTGCGAGCATTGACTATCCGTTACCCGTTTCCCGTCTTCTTAGCTAAACAAAAAAAGTTGGGAGTGGACTTCAGCCGTAGAATCTGGCAAAGTATGCTGCGATGTTTCCAAATTCTGAACTACGCTGCTCCAAACTTTACCTGCTGATTCAGATCGACAGTTCTTCGCAACACTGTCCCGCTGCCAGCATCGTCCGTGAAGATACTAAGCCAAAACATTCTCATCGCTAAAGGATACTGCCAATGAGAGTTTGAGTCTGTTCCCACCGAAAAAGGTATGCTTGTCTCATCGTTCTGAGACATTCAAACCACTTGTGAACCACTTTGAGGCAGCAACTGTACACGACTTGCAAACATACCCGGTCTCAAAAGCGCCCATGATATCGGTCCAGTTTTCATTCCTCGCTTCACAAAAAAAGCGTGGGACACGACTGACTCTTCGCTTCACAAACAAGCATGGACGCAGAAAGGATGCGCACAGTATTGCACGCCCCCGCAAAGAAACCTTTTGGCAGCTCTCCACGGCCTCGTTAGACCCGTGTCCCTGCTCAAGAACGGCCCGTAACGAAGGCAGCAAGAAAAACTAGAGCAAACGAAACAGATCTTCCAGCCAAAAAACCGACTCAATCGACGTCACGGTCAAACAACGGCAAGGGTTCAGTATCAACGGAGGCCGGGATACTCACGCGAGGGGGCTCAACAGAGTCATCCCGTACCACTTCTCCCCAACATCTGGCACTGCGATGCTCAGCACCAGGGCTATACTCAAGAGACCGAGCGCCGCGCAGAACGTCAGGAACGCTGCCTGGCCTCTGCTGGGCGCGACGTTCCCCTCAAACCTGAGAAAAAGAACGAAGTAATCCATGTGTACAGATTTGGAGTACGAGTTTGTCCGGATACAGACTGGACGACAGTGCACAGAATCTTCTGCTTGCATCCACTTTGACCATATCGCTGATTATCCGATGGTATAATATGCTCCTCCTTCTGAACGCCCTTGCCTTCGCAAGCGCACGGATTCACCAATCCTCTATCAACAAAAATACTAAAGTTTCAAAAGAGATGCACTCATGTCTCAAACAATCTTTGATGAGCCTCTGAGATATACAGAGCCGAAGGAATTCTGATTGCATTGTATGAGCACAGAATGTTTGAGGGACCTCGGAACCACCAGCCAGTACGAACTTCCATTCAACGTGGCCACCAGTAACAGGTGAGCGGAGCAGTGACACAGCCCTTGATCTTCGCGCCTTTTCAATTTCACGCTTCAAAAGATTGAAGCACTTACAGCTGTGCGTCAACCTTGCCATTGCGGCGTCAACCCGAACTCATGGGTCCCCAATTACGAACCCGCGAGTCCAATTCTTGATCTTGAAAGTGGACACGCGAACTCAGGATCAAGAACGACGAGTTTCGGGTCGACGCCGCGATGGCAACTTTGACGAAAACAGCTGTAATACAGTCAATTCCATGTTGCATATGGCCTCATGAGCGCGGCAGGCGCTGATCGCTCACGTGATGACTTCCCCGGTCCCTGCAATGCTGTAATTGTTGTTCTTGAAGAAGGTAGCAATCTCGCTGGCCACGCTGTCGAGAGGCTTTGCTTCCTCTTTCGCAGGCCCATCCACCACAAACGTCTTCTGTACAATCTGTCAACAGCGAAAGAAGATGAGTCAGCAGCAGAAGAGGACGTCAGCAACAGACAGAAATGTCAGCAGTAGAAAGGACTTTAGCAGCAGAAGAGGTTGAAGCAAAGGAAATTCGGAACCAAAGGCGATCACCGGCAGCAAGATAGTACGATTCTGAGAGCGCAGCTTTCTAACATGTACAAAACACCACGCATCACAACAGACTGATAACAACAAACACGGTAGTCGATGAAAGGGCAGACTGCTTCTGCCAACTTCTGGGCTTGGCTCTGATAGGATTGGTGGTACAATTGTAAACCGTCCATGCTGGTAAAATTTCTCGCAAAGCACTCCAAACTCAAAACAAGACTATACAATTCAGACACGGCTGCCACAGACATGAAACATTGGATCAACTGTCTACAGTCGCCAGATGAAAGGGTTGTCCAACCTGCATGGATAAATGTGACTCGCTGATGCATGCTTTGAGGCAAAACATGTAGTGACGCCCGCCTAAAGCACGCCCGGCCGGAAAAACACACCACTGGGGACCGAAAAGATGCAAATCGAAGACATACCTTGGACTTGGTCGAGCGTTTGATGAGCGACCAAAGGCCGGGAGCAGAGAGCACAAAAAGGCCGAGAGTGGTATAGTAGCTTGCTTGCGAATACCCCCCCGCCGGAGAATCTGCTGATGCAAGGGCTCCGATGACTAGAGGAGCTGCAAAGCTATACAGGACTGTGGTGTCAGGTCCTTTGTCCGCAATTTGAGGACTTATTTTAGGCTGTGTCTGTATAAGATCTTTGCTGGAGCTTTTTGGCTGCAGTCCGCATCTGCAGACGCCGTTTCTGCCGGCTGAACTATACCTTGTTCGTCCAGAAAGAAGAAGAGGAGCGGCAGGCAAAGTGTGGAAGAACCCGGAGGCGAGGGAGGAGGTAACCTGCTGATTCAGCAGTGTCGGCCGCTGCAGCATTGCCTGGGAGGTTGCGGAAGCCATGGTGAAGCGCCTGCTTTTCCCAGAAGTTCTGCCTGAAGTTTGTTGGACCCTGGGTGACTCTGAGGCGCCCGCAGCCTCATGCTCAGGCATGGCGCTGGTCGAGAGAGCCCAGAAATCTTGAGCATGTGAACAGGTTCTCATGTGCCGGGTTGTGGAAGTTGTATTCAAAACCGTTACAACCGCTTCTTGGCTTCTAGGCATGAACCAAACGGCGCGGGCAGACTTGTGCCAGGAAACGGCAAATCCAGCCTCCAGGGCGTAGTTTCACCATGCCTTTCCTGACGGCCTGCCTAGGTTCGGCTACGTGGCCAATCCCAATGCTCCAGGATACTGAGCGATACGCATCAACGGTGCAGAGTGCTTACTTTATTTAAAATCCTATCTGCCGCAGGATTAAAAGCGAGAGATGGACGGTCGAGGGTTATCCGATTCGTGTGCTTGATTTAGACCGATGTACGACACGTGGCGTTCCGAGAATGTCGAAATATCTTGGACCGTCGGGTCGCTTGCCCTTTCGCGATGGCGGAAGCTGCTTGGCGAAGCTGCCGAGCAGCCTTTCGCACTTTCCAACGCTTTCCAGCTCCTCCACACGCTTTCAAACGCTTTCCAGCAATCTCATGTTGCGCCAGTTTTAGCTGCCACTTTGATCCAACTCTATAGCAGCTCCATTGCCTTGCAGCTCTTCCACAATCCTTGAGAACACAGAACAGTAGGAAGCTGACTTGAACTTCAGCTTCTTTGCAGAACTCCAGGCGATCAGCTGTCACGTTCGAAGCAACTCCTCGTGATCGAAGTGAAGCCGAGTCCTTCTGCAAAAGCAAACGTAGTATTGCACAGTCAGTCCCTTTCCAGAGAGGAATGGCATTTTCTATCAGTGCAGCGTCCGTTGCGGGTCCCGCTAGCTTTACTAGTGCATCATGGAAGAGGCAGCAGGCCCCCTTCGTAAGCGTTCCAGCATTGTCCAGATTCTCTGGACTCAGCATTGCGCATCAGGGGCTTCACTCAGGATCAGAAGCAGCCAGCAAACTTCTGGTCAAATGTGTGCCAATGCCTCCCAGAGATGTGAGAATGAGGGGCGTAAACATGGTTGCAACTGAGCAGAAAGTGGCCACAAGCACGACGCTGACGGAGCTGTATGAGAAGGAGGGGCAGAGCCCTTGGCTGGACAATCTGAAGCGGGACTGGCTTCAGGTACTCCCTCATTATGCTCAATCTTTCTTGAGCTGGGACTCTTTGTCAAGAACCAATTCGGAGGCCAGCTGATGGAATTGGCATCTTTCAAGTAAATGCGAATGTGGTCGTTAAGAAGTTCTTCAAGGGTGGTTAGTCCGCATGAAGTTTTTTGAGACTGGTTCACTCTGATTGGGGCAGGTCATCTGACCAAGCTTCATTAGTAATGGCAGACGCCCCAGGGCAGACTATAAAGTATCTCAAGGACTTAACACTTCATTCACAAGCAGAACACTGATTATTTGTAGCCAAAGTGGATTCCCAGTTGTTTTATGACCTCTTATCTTCATGGCACTCACATTGTTCCTGTTTTGTCCAGTGGGACAGGTATTCTAAGGACCTTGAAGAGACTAGCTGGCAACTGAAGCTTTAACGAAGAACTCTGATCAAATCCATGATGCATCAAACCAACGGACTGCTTTTGATTTGAGCTGATTTGTACAATGTACTCAGCTCAGGGAAAATGCTCAACTTGCTTCAAAGTCGAAGGTGCAATTGAGAGTCACAAGTGTCTGCTGTTTGCCCACGGTTGAAAAGTTGGTTTCATGTTGGAGCCCCAGTCACTTCTTCAAGAACCAACGTCTTTTCAAGAAGTAGTCTGTTGAAGCAGTCAAAAGAATGCAACAAAGGTGGTCTGCTGAATTTGCTCAAGTATTCCACCTGAGTGACAAGATAGACTAGTTTTGTATCCTCTGTGAATCTTTCTTCGAAATCCGACTTTGACATTCTCCTCTAATGCTACGCCAAGCATTATGTACTTTCCTTATCCAGAAAAGTACTCGTACTTGGAACAACTCTTTTTACCTTGATAATCCTCTCAATGTCTGTACAGCCTTCTTGAGCATTCTTGCTCAATCTGCGAGTTGGTGGATGTTGATTGTATGGTTGGCCCGCTTTTGAGAATCAACTAATGTCAACTTGGCAGTAGCCTCACGCTCTGAGCTGATGTGGCAATCGAGAATGGCAAGAGGAGGCCCTTTCATAGGAGGCTTTTTCTTTGAAGTTGTTCATGAAAGGCAGGAACAGGTGATGCCGAAAATTCACCTTCAATTTGAAGTTTGGCCCCTTGACTGAAGCAGCCACCAACCCATTTGGAGTTTACATAGATTGTCGGTCTCAACTCTTGTCATACCTACCCCTAAGTAAAGTATCATTTTTTCAAGTAATCACTTTTGAAGGGGTTTTTGGAGGCCAGCTTCTGTGGAACAACTCCTCTGGAGCCTTCCAAAGGAATCTTGAAGAACACATACTCCAGAAAGAAATGTGTACCTCGGTGTGACGGCAAGGTATGTTGATGCTTCTCTGCAGAACGGAGAGCTGCAGAAGTGGATCGACAACGGCGTACGGGGAATCACCTCCAACCCCACCATCTTCCAGAAGGCGATCGAAGGTTCCAACGCCTATGACGAGCAGTTCCGGAAGCTCATCGAGGGGGGCCTCTCTGTCGAGGAAAGCTACTGGGAGTTGGTGGAAGACGACATCAAAGAGGCGCTAAAGGTAAGGGGCTGAGATTGTACGAGATTGTTGCAAGAAGGGCAGCAGGAGTGTAAGAAGCCAGTGTGAGAGTGTCTGGCAGCGGCAGTTCGAAGTCGTGTTTGAGGGTCAATATGATACTTTGTTTTTCGAGATGATTCCATCTTTTTCAAGCGTTAGCTATGCTTCCAGAGAACCTCTATACTTTCTTCTGTATCTAAATGCCCTAAGAAAGTTTGATCACACTTGCCAAGTGTCAGGGTCCTTCGGGTTGCCGCGGCCGCTTTGCAGCGACGGCAGGGGTAGAATAGTCAAGTTCAAACCCGTCCAAAAGTGCTAAATACCCGGGACCTTGTCCGATCCGCATCCAGAAGTTGCCTTTGTGCTTGCGGGTTCACTACGATGAGTCTGACGGCGGGGTTGCCAAGTACGCAATAAATAAGGTCAACCGGTACGTCTCTTAAGACTTTTAAACCCCCTAAGGCTGAATCCTAAATCCTTGTAAACCGTTTGAGTCAACTTTTGCTCATTCTACTTTTGATGGGGATGTGTTCTTTCCGTGATCGTCCAGCGATTCCGTCCGAAGACCCATCTCAACTTCTGGCACGATCATTCGGTTGCTGCGACAGTTGCTTCCAATGCAATCTCACCCTTTGCCGCAATCATTCAGTTGCGGCGGCTGTACGACGAGTCTAAAGGTGGCGACGGCTACATATCGATCGAGTGCCACTTGTAATATTTCTGAGTGTTCCTTTCCGATGTTGTCATTAAATCTATCCCATTCACGCCCTCATCCTGCAGTTGCTGCGGCCGCTGTACGACGAGTCTGACGGCGGCGACGGCTACCTGTCAATTGAGTTCGACTCGTAGTATTTCTAAGTGTTCCTTTCCCATGTTGTGCTAAGAATATCGCTACAATAATCGCTGAAATTCCGGTCACGCCCTGATCACTCAGTTGCTGCGGCCGCTGTATGACGAGTCGGACGGCGACGACGGCTACGTGTCGATCGACTTTGACTTGTAGTACTTCCAAGTGTCATCGCTCAAACTAATCTTAGTCACGCCCTGATTATTCAGTTGCTCAGACCGCTGTATGACGAGTCGGACGGCGGCGACGGCTACGTGTCGATCGAGGTCGGTCCCGAGCTGGCGCGCGACTCGGAGCGCACGCTGGCCGAGGCGCGCAAGCTGCACGCGGTGGTCGGGCAGCCGAACCTGCTGGTCAAGGTCCCCGCCACGCAGGAGGGGATCGAGCCCATCCGCGTGCTGACGTCAGAGGGCATCAGCGTCAACGTCACGGTGAGGACGCGGCTGAGAATCTCGGGTATGGTGGGAGTTGAGGGTTTCTTGATGATCAAGGGCGAATTGCAGAAGTAGCGGCAAAGTCGGCTGGCCCTAAAATGGGGTTAGGCTTTTTGGAAAGACACGCTCTGTTGCTCCCACGCAGTACGAGACACTTCGGTGTAAAGGAGCTCTTGATTGGGCCACTCGGCTCGCAGTTGCGAAACTAGGCCTCCAACGGTTCATAATCTTACTGGCCCTGAGAATGCAGACACTGGTCGCTGTTGCTAGTGATCCCGCGATTAGATTGCGAACCGGACTGTACAAATCCGAAGCCTGGGTCAGAATGAAATGCAAAATCAATCCTAAAGTTCCCAGCTGTAAGCAGAGAGTGTGAGCAGCACGGTCGGTCGGCTAGACCACTTCATCTTGACCTCGGATGCGGTGGAATCATCAGTAAATCGTCGTCTGATCAACCGTGCCTAGAAAGGAGATTCTAGGACGAAGCGACGACCCCTCTGACCCACTCGTTTGCCACGTGTGCCTAAGTTTGACTACGACTGTAAAAGATTCAATGGCACGTAAGCCTGAGTCTGACGAAATTGGAAAAGAAAACAAAGCTGTCTTACTCCCGTCTTCGGCAGCTCATCTTCTCGCTAGAGCGCTACGAGGCGGTGATGGAGGCGTATGTGTCGGGGCTGGAGCAATATGAGGGCGACCTCTCCAAGGTGGCCAGCGTTGCGTCCTTCTTCATCAGCCGCGTGGACGTCGAGGTGCGGAACTTTATCATTATCTTGATTGCTTGTATTGGCGTCAGGGGGGTGTTTGAGCTCGCAGCGACAATTTTGTCACGGGTCGCGGGAATGTGATCTCTAAGAGAATTAGAAAGGCGGTCAGCTGGGGCGCTTGCTTTTGTGATATGGTCATTCGGTGGTCACCAGTTAGTGCAGTGAACTGGTGTGCATTTTGTAGGACGCACTCGCCTACGGAGCTTACCTACGCCTACCTATCAAGGCCACCTATCCTGGCAATTATTGTTCAGTGATTGTAGAGCCGGGAGTTTTACGCACATATCGTTGGCGTTGGAATCCTGATGCTTTGCGTAAAACAGAGTAACGGTCGCCAACGTTTGGCGACTTGGAGACCGCAGCGCACCTGGTTGAGTCGCCCGATCGTGGCCAAGTGGGCACTTCTACGACAACAGTGACGTCAATTACGGCAACTTAGCAGATGCCACTTTGGCCATCACCCTCGTTGAAAGTTTTGAGGGTCGACTAGGTATAGGCGTTATGACGCTGAGCACTCCTCCAGCCTCTTTACGGAAGGGCAGTTTGCTCAAATCGGCTCGTAATCTGGCGGCAGAGGGTTTGGAAGGTGGTGGCACTGCGTTTAAGCGCAGCTTCCCGAGGCATCTTTCAAGATCATCCTCTTCCCTGCGGAACGCAACCCTAAGCAATTTGCAACTAACGCATTTGCATCATCACAGTTCCGTGATACGGCAAACCTCTCGAGTGCCGGTATCTAACAGCCATGCGACTCGTCCTGGGACGCGTGTCAACCTGACAACCTCCCCTCCTACGCACCATCGACAAACGGCTCGACGCCATCGGCACCCCCAGGCGTTAGCGCTTGAAGATCGCGCCAGCAAACGACTCCCCGACTGTCAGTATAAGAGCCAAACGCATCCTGCTGAGCCACGTGCCACTAACAGAATCATTTGAAAATATTTATTGCAGATTGACAATCGGCTCGACGCCATCGGCACCCCCCAGGCGCTGGCGCTCAAGGGCAAGGCGGGCATCGCGCAAGCAAAGCTGGCGTACGAGCTGTTCCAACGCAAGTTCAGCGGAGCCCGCTGGGAGGCGCTCGCGGCACGGGGCGCGCGGCCGCAGCGACCGCTTTGGGCGTCAACAGGTTAGTGAAACTAGCGTTGATAAGTTAGTGTAACTAAACCACTGTCAGAGCTACTCAAGCGCGAATTTATTATTCCGCACTGGGAGGCGTTCGTGGTGCGGGGCGCGTGGCAGCTGCGGCCGCTCGATGTGGCCGTCAAGGTTAGTGAAACCAGCGACAACAGGTTAACAAAAGTAGCTTCAACAGGCTAATGTACCGGCGCCATGAGATTCGTGTAATCTAACCACTGTCTGAGCTATTCGAACACAAATCCAGCGGACCGCTCTGGGAGGCTCCTGCTGCGTTTGGGGGGCGGGTGCAGCGGCCGCTCTGGGCGGCAACAGATTGTCAAAGGTCAAGTAAAGTATTCTTCCCAAGGCAACGGAGCAAGCGATATTTTCATCCAGCCATCTTCCCTCTTCGCTTTCGTCTTGCTTACTGAATATCCATGTCACTTAAGCTCCATCAGCCACATAAAGGGACGCTAAACCGTCAGAGCTCGCTCGCAGACGCCTGCATATATAAACGCTTCCGCAGACACCCCAGAAAAGCCGATCCGGCTATCTTTACATCGATGCCCGTCCCTTCTACAACTCAAACCCATCGAAGTGTCCGCTTGCATAGATCAAAGGCCTTCTAGAGGGATCGACATCAAGCTCAATCTCCACGTCACTTCCGTTGCCATATGCAGCCCCCCCACAACCCCACCTAGGTATATCATAAGCTGATGCCCGCTTATACCTTTCCAGGCACCAAGAACAAGGCGTATTCGGACGTCCTGTACATCGAGGGCCTGGTCGGTCCGGACAGCGTGAACACCATTCCGGACGGCACGCTGACCGCGTTTTTAGACCACGGGAAAGTAAAGCGCGCGATCGACGTCGACGTGATCGGGGCGAAGCGGCTCATCTTCGGACAGCTGGATGTGCTTGGGATCCAGTTGGATGACGTATCCAAGGTGCTGGAGGACGAGGGAGTGGTGAGTTTTTTATTCTAGATTTCACCAACTTCTAGCCCGTCATTCTAGTTCTTTGCTCTTTCAAGATATTCTCAGCGTTTCGTCGCACAGCTGGACGTTCTGGGGAGTTTGTTGGATGGCGTGAAAAAAGTTGGGAATCATGTCGACACGGTTCAAGAGAGATCAAGTCCGTCGGCTCGCCACTTCCTCATGCTTTGGAGCTTTTGCGGTGCGATTCTGTGACCATCAGACGTCTTTGGGTCCCAGGCTACCTGATTTGTGAAAGGTGCCGTAGGGTAACGTTATATTGTGAGAGGACGGACTTGGTAACGCTTGAACCTCAGCGTTTGTTCGGGCATTCGAATACCTAGAACCACCACGAGTCCTTGAGCCGATCGGATGTGCTAGGGTTCCGCCTGAGCGCATCCTTGAAGGTTCAAAACGGGTGAGGAGGTTCTGAGGCACTGGAATTTTGAACTCCTAGAGCTTTAGCGCATACTAGAAGAGACGAGATCTTGCTGTGCTGCATGGTCGGACGGTTTGCCTGTAAAGACAACAACTCGCTTCAGCTGGTCGTTCCACAACTAGGTCTTCTTTCACTGGCGGTTGTGCGGTGTGAGATGTTTCTATTCAATCTGCAAGTGGCCGAAACGTCTGCACCGATAGGCTCGGCTGCGATTCACATTCTTGCCAGATCAATGCCGGATCTGCAACGCGAATGACTCTTTTCGGGTTTACAGGCTTCGTTCCAAGCATCGGGCACCCACGTCTTTGGTGCACTAGAGGCCAAGGCTGCCCTCCTGAAAGCAGAGAAGTGACAACAGGCAAGCAAAACGAGTTTAGTGGGGTTGGCCATGCGTTTGAGTCTTGTTTTTATTGGTGTAGAAGTATAAATGTTTTTGTACATTAGTACCCGAGTTGTCTCGATGTAACTTTGCGAAGCATGGTACATTATATAGTAATAGAATAACGAGATGGAGCAGGCTGCGTGCTCACAGCATACTTCACTTATTGAACGCCAGGTTCAAGCCGCAGAGAAGGATGTTAGATCCATGAACGCAGGCTTGTTCCTTACTTAGTTGTGGGTTGATATTCAACAGACACTCCTTAAGATATGCTTAGGCCGGCACACTGAAACTCCTTGCAATAGCAAGCGTCAGAGGATGGATCAAACACAACAGTTCCTGATTTAGAATTTTGTAATGACGTTACTGAACAGAAACCTGCAAGGCATACTCCTAAGGATTGCCTAGAATATTTGCCTGAAGTTTCGCCGGCGCGCCTGAAGCCTACCATACGCGCGTGGAAGCCGGGTTACACGATCGACTCGGTTGATGCCCTTATGATATTGATTCATCCGGCCTGGTCCCTGAATCTCCACTGCAACATGCCCTGGCGCGTGACATATACTGGTAATCAAGTAGACGCACACGCGGCTGCCGCGGCCGTGCCATCGACGGTATCACGATATCATTACCATGCATCATGAGCAGATACAACTAGGTACTCCTGTACTATGCAAAGTGCGCAATGCGCGCGTGCCAATCTCCTGCGGAGTTGTGCGCATGCAGGGCCGCCGCTCGGGCCTCAGAAAGTATTGTCAGCTGTACTCTTATATGCACGTCACGTGTGGCCGCGGGCGACGCCGTTCTGTCCTTCATAGCACGGCCGCATGTATCACTAAGCTAAAATTGCTTACAGGAGCGCTTCGCAATTCCCGGGCAACTTGCATGAAGACGATCCGATTAGGATTGAACTCACTGTGAGCGGATTACATGATTTCAATCAGCTTGAATCGCGTAAAGAAGTGCCAATTACAAACGCTTTGCAATCCATTTTCCTATCGAACCTCCTAAGCGCCAACCCGCGTATGGCAGGCACCCCCATGTAGTGAAGCCAAGCAGGACCACAAAGATTATGGTATAAGCTTCCTGATGACAGTAGATTGCTAAAAGCAGAAACACAAACGGCAACGCACACCCTACAAGAAGCCCTAACCACGCCCCCCAAGTCGAGACCCTTTTGCCGTGGTTCAACGCAACTGCCAGCCCTGCTGGTGCGGCCGCGGGCGCACCCGCGACCTGAACCGCCGCGCCTTGAGGAGCCGCGGGCTCGGCTTGGCACGCGGCCGTCGCCTCAATAACCCTAGGATCTTTCAATGCCTTCACTTTTTCTACCAGGGCCCGCCCTTCCTCAGTGCGGAGCTCAGGACAGCTTTCTACATCGTTTCGAAGAAAGGAGAGGCTCATCCGCCAGAAGCCGAGGATAGAAAGCAGCCTTTCAAGCGCGCCCCAACGCTTCTGTCCTCCAAAACGGAACCAATGTAAGATAAGATTGAACGACGTTTCCACGTCGCCCTCCGAGTCTCGAAGGCGGCTGACGAGGCGCTTCATGCTGGACTCTTTCATGGTGAGAATACTCTCGCAAGCGGCGACCTCCTCGAAGGACCAGCCGGTCAAAGCAGAAACGGCGTCCATTAACACCCGCAGCGCCTCGTGCCGTTTCACCGCTTCTGGGAGGTTGAGATACACGACGGCGTCGTTCAGGGTTGTCGGAGATGACGTCAGCGTCTTGACGCAACTGTGAATGCACGCCGGCGCCTCGAAGCGGTCCGCGAAGTGAGCAGCCAGCAGAGCGCCTCCTTGTCCGCGCAGATTTCGGGCGGAATTCGGTGCGTGTAGGCGAACTGGATGAAGATATCGAAGTAGTGCGCCTCTGCAAGGAAAGAAATGTACTTAGAAGAAGTTCTAAACAGACCACAATGGTTCCTGTCAGGATGGGATACGTGACATGAGAGAATCTTGTGATTCCCTCTATTGATTAAGCAGAGACTCAGAAATCTTGAGACATTCCCAGCACCTTTACGAATCCTGTTTCATCACAACAAGTCTGCTCGTCGTTTGGGCAATTCTCTAGGCAGTTCAAGATGCAGCTCATCGACCTGGCAGAGGTTAGCATACCTTGAGGCGAGAGCGTCACTTCAAGTGGTTGCTCCTTCGACTTGCTCTCATGCAGGCCTGACGTCAGCATCGTCCTAAAGCATTGGGAGAGTGCAGCTAGGATCAAGCCGTTGACGGGGATGTCGTACGACCGTGCAACTGCAGGATGAGCGACATTGTTTGTCTTCGACTTCAACGTAAAAACACCTTCTCTGGCTTGCCAACTCGAAGTCTTGCACATTTTGATCACCCCGTCATCATTGAGTGGCCTCCTTATGTCCAATTTAGAGAAGCAAAGTGGAAAGTCCCGTTAGTACTAAACACCACAAATCTCTGATTGCTTTCATCCTGTGTGCAACTTCGTGTATTGCCCGTTCTTTAAGGAGAGACACACTCAGCTTTATTCTTCTTCCAGGCTCTTTGCGTACGCTCAATTGCTTTTTGTTTGCGAACGACAATGAAAAGGTTCCGTCCAATCGTATCCGCCTGAATAGCTCTGTAAGTTGAAAATGGACAGTCTTCTTGTCTATCTGAACCGAACTTGTGGAGAAGATCATTCGAAAAGTCTGAGAAGAGGAACTTCCTGAGCAAAGAAACCAAGTAACATGTCAGTCATTTCCTCCCCAGGCAGCAAGAACGCCTTGCTGAGGATTTGCGCTGAACAAACACAGTCAGCAAACATATCTACAATTAGAACTCCAGCCAGAAGCCGAATAAAGAAAGTCTACATTCCACTCACGTGTGCTGGCTCCCGTCGCTCTGCCTTCTCCTGACTGCATCTCCAGATCCACAAATTGCTCATTCTCAACGGCACCCGAAGCAGGTCTTGTTTTGCAATCTGCATGCTTTCTTCCACCCAGATGCCAGCATCTGGCTTGCTGAAAGTCTTTGCAGTCCTCTGAAGCTTCCCCTTCAGCTTCCCCTTCGACGTGCACTCGAATCACCCTGTCGCTGAACTGGGTCAATTCGGAGCGGAAACCAAAGGTCAGGTGCACGGTGTCTCCAGCCTCCACGCTGTGTGCTTCCCCTAGCTGCTGCCTCCTTTGTGCGCCTAGTACGGCCCCCATCCTCTGTGGCGGTGCACAGTTCAGCTGCGACACTGACCAGAATCAGGGGCTATGAGCTAAAGGCCGCCAAAATAAGCTTAACGTCGAGGCGCCAATCTCCTCTTCAAATTCTCTCTTATTTTTTTTCGCACTTCTGGCATGGACAGTCGCTGTTTGAGTGCTTGGAGGAGAGGCGGACGGACCTGAGCCTGCACGCAGCCGATCAGTCTGAGGTGGCACAGCAGCTTCCTGGAGATTGCTTGGGTGGAGAATATTCTTGCGCATTTTATGTTTCAGCCAGCGCGCAGCTTCTGCGTTACCACCCTCCGGTTGCTGCACCGGCTGACTCAGTACCATGAACTGCCCGCCCCGCGCAAATCTCCGTTCGTCACGACGCGGCCGCGCGCCGGCCAGGGCGCGGTACAGAGGGGTTTAGCAAGATCCGGGCCGGGATATCATTGGCATGTCACTAGCACTGGACCTGCAGGCTGCCACTCTTAGCAGTCGACTCGTTAGCAGGTTTCACTTGGTTCAGGTTCCTTGGCTCGACTTGGCTCGATCGGAAGCTGGACCCAGGAGTCAGGATGAGCTCACAAGCCTGGTCGCTTAGCAGTCCAAGGATGCTCTCCACGGTACCCAGCACTTTTGATGACGTACTTGCTTCTGCACCTCCGCAGATTGTTGGTTGTATGCATCCGAAGACGAGGATCGTTTACAAAGTGCAGATCCAAGTCTAAACCATGGAAGAAGGGAGTCGACAAAGAAAGATGGCTTGAGGTTGAGAAAAGCACCGTTGAAGGCGGCTGACCGACGTGGCAACTGAGTGGAGTCCGTGCCATGAAAGTTTTTAAGAATCGTTTGGAACGGTTTTAGTAGAGCTTTCCCAATGAGGAAGTCTCTGGACGACATTTTTATAACCCAAATCAGCAAGGTCCCGCGTTTTCGCAAGCTCAGTGCTCATCAGTGGTTTAGTGCAAGATGAGTGCTCTCCCTGCCGTACTTGGCCAATTTCAATTGCTAAATTCCAGCTTCTCATCACAAAACCGTCTTTGGGAATTGCAGAGTTAAGACGTATACACCTAATTGCCGACAATCATGTGGAAATTCCATTGAGATGAATATGCGTCTGCAACGGGTATAATTTTATGCAGATATCCCACATGAGACTAATTATAAAGTCATTTGTTACTGTAACATGTGAGTAAAGCGGTACGTTAGTATATCCATGTGGAACAGGAATCACAGACTCAAGATTCTTATAGGGTGGCCCGAATTGCCAGGCCCGCGTACTGCATGCGACCAGAAATGATTCAGCACTTGCATGATATCACCATGACTCATTTCGCGCTTCCAACTTACTGGTACATCAGGGGGATCCATGAGTACATGCACTCAATGAGTACATTGAGTGCATGTACTCAGAAAATGACGACTCTAATCATTTGGTCGAGCTACCTCAAGCTGGCACGTACATGAGCATGAGGATTCTTTCCGGTACACAACCGCAAGGTCATCATGTTGCCGATGCGCACCCTCCCATATGTCGTCTGAGGAGCCAACTGAGCCAACTGCCCTCTGTCAAACTCGATCGGTGCTTCCGAGCCTAGACATGTTGTGAGGCTTCTTTACGACTTTCAATATTGGCGGCCCACTTCAGTTGTAGCTGTGCATCAATGTCAATTGGGGTCTGGGTACGAACGGCAGCATACTGTCGCCAAACAGCTCTATCAACTTCCCAAACAGCCGCCACGTGTCCCCCTCTTCTTTCCACGCTTCGGCAAGGACTTTCGAGGCGTCCTCTTGCGTTTCCCCGGGCGGCCGTCTCCGTTTCTTCCCGACCACGCTACCGTTTGTCCCAGCGTTCGCTTCCGTCTGCCCGCTAGACCCCGGGAGCCCCCCTTGTCTAGTTTGCCTCGCTTCTGGTGCTGACGTGTCCATTGCTGACGGTCCTTCCGGTTTGGTATCCTTACCTGCAAACACAAAAAAAATGCAGAAGTTCGTGTCTCAAAGACTCCAGCGACAGCGGCGGCATGACGATGATTCTCACGTGAGACCGCCACGAGGTTACCAAAAGATTGTGTAAACTTGTTGCAGAGACGCACCCTTCAACTTGCCTGCGAAATATTCGTCAAGAGAAGCAACTGACAAGGTTCCTTCCTTCCTCGCGCACACTCCTGAAAGCTACAGCAGTTTGACGTCTGCCAGACTCCGCTGGATGCTTGGATCGGAGCCAGTAGACTCTCCTACCGAATCTGGCCAAAGCCTTCTTTCCCACGCAAACAACTTCAAGCCGCGCCTATGGCTCATCCCCATCCAGACCGCAACGTCCACGAACAACATTCGCACCTTCACGAATGCAGTAACCTGCAACAGAAATTCGAAGAGGGACTCTGCTTACCTGCTTTTGACGTCCTGACTTTGGCGCCCGTCATTGGGCGGGACTTGAGCAAGAGCTCCCCTAGCTGGGGCTGCTCTTTCAAAGCCTCGAACATACAGTTGCCCGCCGCTACCTATACGCACGTACAGAGGAGTGTTGATGTTCAAAAGCCTTGAATGCCACTGCTCTATGATGAAAAGTCAGTATTAAGACTTCCTCTAATCGAGGATGTTGCGAAATGGTCCGTGATTCAGTCCTTATGAATGTACGTGCAATTGCCTGCGGCCACCTCCGCCCAGAAAAGAAGGTGGGCTTGGGATTACCGGATACCCGTCATTTCAAATGTGCGGCAAGACACAATCGTATTCTATCCAAAATCAGGAAAAGTTGACGATAATTGACCATCCGATTTCCCGACGCCTCCTTGATGTATGCCATGCCCCACTTCGACCGATCGACAACATCAGAGCCGCGCACGAAGCAACCGCCTTTCAAAACCCGCCGTGATGTCAGCTTGCAGCATGCGCGATTTTATTACCAACAGCAACTTTATTATCGTGTCTCCGCGGTGAAATGCCGAGCGTTTATTCCCGCTCTTTCCGGTCGGAGTCCCAAGCCGAGCCACTCCGACATAGAAGGTCGAGGAGGATGCTTAACTTCTGGAGTGACAGACCGCCCAGTGACGTCACCTTGGAAGAGTCTCACGTTCCCCGATGCGACCCTTACCTGCAGGAGACCGTAGACGCGTTGCGCCTCGTAGCGCCGCACCTCGTCCTTCTGCTTTTGGGGGTCTAGATCCTCACGTAGGAGCTCCAGATACGTGGCCAGGTTTGGCAGCACCAGGAGACGAACCTGCGGAACAGGTTGAACTATAATCGAATGAAAGGTCAAAGGATTTAGAATGAGGGGTTTAGTGCTGAGAATCGAGGTTCGTAGTTCGAGGTCAAGAAGCGCCGGATGTCTGGGGCGAGCTTGGCAGCACCAGGAGACGAAGCTGAGACACAGGAATAAAGCAGCAAGACACGCATGCGAGGACCGGAGGTGAGCAAAAACCCTTTAAACCTTTTAACAATTTGCGGGACATGTTGCTGGTTTGAGAATAGCTGGCTTCGATAATGTATGTGTGGATGTCAGCAGCTACACGTGGCTGACCAGGTTCGGAGACGTCAGGAAATGCAGCGCGGCGACAAGACCCATATTACTCTGTGGCTCTTCGGCTCGAAGGGATTGGCTACCAGAATGATTGGCGGTAGGGGCTAGGAGACTCGCGCCCGCCAATCTGATGAGCGCTGCTACCCTGCATTGTTGCGGTAAGTTAGAATGACGTTTGGGTCCCTGAGCGACTCACGACGAAGTCCACCTATAATCTATAGCGGCTTTTCCGAACGTGGTCACCGTCTGAGCGCTTAAAATGAGTTCCCACGGAACCAGGCGCACAAAAAGAAAGACCTGCAGACTCTCTGGCACACCAAAGACGCGACAAACGCGAAGTTCTCGCCCCACTCACCACTCGGTTGCCGAGCGCCACCAGGCCCTTGATTGAGCCGTAGTGCTGGGGGTACGTTTGCTTGGGGTTGAGGAAGCTGTTGACCAGGGTCTTGGTCAGCCGGGGCTGGATGTTGCTGTAACTGTGGCCGTACCTGACGAAGGAGAGAGCGGAGTCTTCAAACAGTCAGTTGTACATTGGAACGATGGCAGAAGCTTATTCTTTTATCTTTAGAAGCCCTTTGAATTCATCTATGCTTGTTAGCATGATGAAAAACTGAATTGGGCATGGAGGAGGGAGCATATCGGCAAGTGCCTCAGACGAATCTACACTTGCACCGATATCCACGATGTGACATGAAAAGACCGCCACCTTCGGCAATTAAACTTGATAGAGGATTGACACGACTGGAGAGGATTGCTCTTGTTGGACCCTTCGCAGTGGGAGTATCAGCACTGCTGAACGTTTTTCGTGCGAAGCCTTAGAGCTTGGCTTAAAACCTAACGGCGGATTCATAAAGGGAGGCACCATTTCCGGCACCATTGGAACCTCAAAAGGAAGCCACAGAGCCCGACGAGGCAGAAGCGGGCGGGACATTTCATTATAGATGAGGCAGCACACGCAAGTAGCCCAGCAAAAAACCTTTCGCAAATGCAAAGGCAAGTCCTCCGCCAACACTTCAGTTCCGAGCTTCAAGATAACGCAGGCACAAGCACTGCACAACAATCTGGAACGTCCTTCACATGTCTGCAGAAAGGCAGAGGGCAAGTCGCTGACGTCACCAGTGGCCTCCTGACATCAGCAAACAGCCTGCTGACGGGCTCACCGGTGGCAGATGGTCGCGACGATGGTCGCCGAGAAGTCGCGCAGGTCCCAGTGGCGGTACCCGTTCTTGCGACCGCCGAGGCGCCGCGCGACGAGGCATGTGACAACGGACGGGATCAGCTGTTGCAACTGCAAGGACAGTGAGCGAGGTAGGTTAGCGGCTTATCACAACTGCTTTTTGCAGTAACTATCTGCGGCCGCTGGGCACGTGAAGGTCGACGGGATACGCTGTTGCAATGGCAGATTGCGGCCAAGTCGGGGAGGTGAGCGGCGCACGAAGACTCGATAAAATGTTTCCGCCGGAAACAAGGCAAGTGACAACAAACGGGGTCAGCTGTTGCAGCTGCAAAGAGCGGCCAAGAATCCGGGGCGTGAGTGTAGGACAAAAACTTTAAGGTCTTGAGTAAGGTTCTCGGATCGTGTCGGTGGTCAGCAGGAACGTGACGAGGAGACGAAATGGCTGTTGCAGTTGCAAAAGCTCTCACGACTGGGAACACCGATTTGGGAACACCGATTCGGACGACTGAGCTGACGCCCAAACTGGATTTCCGTCAGATATTCAAACATAGCGAGAGAAGGATGCTCAAGGGGCAGCCACTTACGTAGCCTTCGATATGTACATGGGGATTGGCCAGGAGAGCCTCCGCGACGCGCATCAGGGTGAAGAGCAGGGGGAGGTCGTGCAGGCTCCGTTGTACCTGCCGATGCGTCACGTCAATGATTTCTCCGTATTGAAAATTAGTTGCATCGGCTTGGAACTTTGGTGACGCTTCGGAAACCGTCCTATGCTGTCGGTAGGGATGGAGAGTGCAATTCCAGAGACAGTTTTGGAGACTTGTTCTTACGAGTGTACGGGGCAAGGCCTTTTGGGAGGCAACTACCATTTGACAAGATTCATAAAAAACTTAAGCAGGTCCCGCTTTAGAAAGCCGAGAAGCGTGCCGATATTACGCCTGGCGTCCGAGAGGTGTGAGACGACAGTGGCTGTTGTAAACGCGTGGAACAAGCTTCACACGTTCGTCCACATGATGCAGCAAGAAAGACAATGCCCAAATCTCCGGTGGAAAACGGCCCACCTCGTCCTGTATGAACTGGATGAAGTACGGCACCAAGGGGTGGATGCCGGAGTCTGACGCCAGGCTCCGGACGGCGTCGTTCAGCAGCTTGCTGTCCGTGCCGCTCGTGACCAGCTCCATGATCTTCTCGAAATAGAGCTGCACAGGATGACTTAAAACGTCGGTTTTGATCCATACCCGATGGGCCTGTGGATCCATAAGCGACCTATTGGCTCATAAGACTTGGTGAATTCGTTTGAGCAGCTTGCTGTCCGTGCCACTTGTGACCAGCTCCATGATCTTCTCAAAGTATAGCTGCACAGGACAAAACAGATTGCGGATGTGGTCCATAAAGGGTTGGCTTGTGGGTTCGTAAGCCGGCAGCTGCTTGCCCATAAGGCGACTTGTCCTGTAAGCATCAGAGATTTTTTTTAAGGATGGACTTGACTCGGAATTGCTTGCTACAAGCCGTTTGATCCTATTGCCGGTCATATCGTGTCCTAAACCCTTTGATCGTGCCTCAAAAGCATGATCTGCAAAACTATAAGCGCCGGATGTTCCATCACCGAAGCGTTGCTTGTTGGCTCGAATTGAGACTCCAGAACCGCCGGATTATGGTTGCTTGATCTCACACAGTATCTTTTCAGCGGCATTTTCTCATTAATAATTAAGCTGCGTTTGCCCCCTTGACTACTTCGCGTCACTCCCACACTGCTCCCATTCCACCCCGAAGACTTTATACACGAATCTCACCTGCAGCTCTTTCGAGATAACGTGTTTGACGGCCGGCTTGACTTCAACCGGCAGGTCCTCAGGAGCCCCCAGGCCAGGCTGCCCTTCGATCTTCTTCTTCTGCTCGGTTGGCAAGGTCAGCTCCGCTGCAAGAGAGAAACGATGCTCCAGACATGAAGAAAGAAAGGCGATGAGAATGCATCTATGAGGAAGAAGGGTGTGAAAGCATGTTTGGAGGACTTTTTGAACGATCAGTGCAAATGCGCTGGGGTCTGGTGAAAGTTAGACTGACGGTTCAAACACGTTGTAGAGCGTTCCCTCTATTCTGATTGCCCTCCTCCTCGCAAACATCTGCACTTAAAACATCTGAAAAGCGATTCTGGAAGGAGTTGCAAAATGCCAAGCACTAAGATAAGAGCTTGCGGACTACTGCCTCCATTGAGCACCTTTATATGTGCCAAGAAGGTGAAACAGAAAAAGGGATACGAAAATGGAGAAGGGGTAGGTCCGGGTACGTACCTCCAGGAGGAGGGTTCTCCTGTATGGCTGGCTGCACCCCATCCACAGCCAGCCAGTGTGCAATGACCGTTGTGTCAATCGGCGGCTTTGGGAGCGGTGCATCAATAATCTGCACAGGGGCATGAGGGAGACATGTCAGCATGATGACGAAAGGCATCACTCTGACATCTTTGTTTCTAAACTTAATGGAGTCGTTTATACAGTCAATGTCTTGCACGCACAGCCTTGACGAGTTTCCCAAAGCTCCTTGATAGAGTCACGCATTCTTTCACAATAAAAGTCAATTTGCTGCTTGAGTGCAAAGACTCAATGAGATTATTGCCTCTCAGTCAATCATTGGGGACGCAGGACTACTGGACCACCAAAAGAACATGACAAGCGAGTATCCTCCTGTTGAACCATATAAAGTAAGTCATACGGGCAGTCAGATGACCAGTGGGATGGTGCACCTACCAGCTTACGCAACAGACAATTTAACTCACCTCGCTGAAATCAAGCTCTTTATCATCTAAGTAGAAGAGATCGGAGTGGCCCAGGGCCTTTCTGAAGCGGAGGGGGTCGTCAGAGGAGAATCCGTACAGCGGCTGCAAGAGACGGGAACGTGTCGAAATTCTGAAAGCATCCAGTCCTTCAGCCAACAAGCAAGTCTTGAAATGAGGTTGCGAGGAGCGATACATTTGCAAACTCCCACTACTCTCTGTCAAAACAGGGGAACTCCAGAAGCTTAATAAACTGCATCACAGCAATCCCAGCCTCTTCAAGAAGCAAAGGAAAAGGAAGCTGGCTAGCGCAGGGCGCACGCTAGCTTGATGATGCTAATGTGGGCGCCAGCAGCCCCTAGACCTTCTTTTAGCCCCAGCCTTCTGGCTGCCTTCTAGAGAAACTCACTGCAATTCTGGCCCAAAGTGCCCAACTTAGCGCAAAATGCACACTAACGCGTACCTCCACGTTCCGCAGACTGAGTGCACTGTTTACATCGTCGGTGGTCAGCGTCGACCTTTTCGAGTGGCGCATGCATTTGATTGCTTCCTGCAGGATGACGCCGAGAGCCTCAATGATGAAGGAGTCGGGCATTGGAAGCGATCAAACTGCACAGGTTGTCAGGCACACAAGCAGGGGCAAACTTTCTATTCAAAATCTAGTGATTGCAGATATGCCAGACTCTAGCAAATGCCCCAGAGCATGTCTCTCCACCCCTCCTTGATATAATGCCTAACAGGTCCAGCATTTACCTGGCAGATTTCACGTATCCGATACTCAACGTCCGGTGCCAGCGCCTGCGCCACCTCATCCCCCAGATTAGGAATGCCCAAGCTTTGCGCGGCCACCTGAATGGAGTTCTTGGAAACGAGGCTCATGATGATCAGATTGACTGTTCCGCTTTTCTTTGCTGTCTACGATACCCCCCACCACCGCTAGCTGCCTGAGGACTCACAAAAGTTTGAAAATCTCTTTGAATAAGACTTGAGAATCTGTTCGACGAACAAAAGGGGGTTCTGCGAGCACGACTGCCCCTGACAGAGCCACAAGGTCTTCTATCAAAGAGAAGGACTTTTGGTGGGGCAGAAGGGCCAATTGGTTTATACTGCGCCACCACAAACAAGCGCCCTACACAGGCTACAGCCGTCGCTCAGACTCAGAGCTGATTCCGAGTCAGAGTTAGGCAATCTGTGCTGTGCATAGGACTATCTGATGGTTTTCACATGGGAAATTCGGACGACTTTTCTTTTCCAAGAAAGTTGAAACCCCAAACCCCATTTGAAACCAGGCCCGGCCGCCGCGGCGCGGCTGTAGCCGGCCCGCCGCGTGCGACGAAGGACGCCGCGCCTAGGGCGGCTGCGCCTCTGACTAGTCAGCTGATTACCTCCTGTGTTCAAAGTGGAGGATTTAAGGAGGGAGTGCAGAATCTCTCCCAGCTGAACCAGGAATATGGTTAGAGATCAGCAAAGGGCCAGAAGCGGGCCAGTAACGACTCCAAAACACATTCTGTTCCGTGGACTATCAAGAGCATCGTAAGGTCAGTTTTGTGGGAACCGTGAGCTAGCAAGCAACCTTAACCGGGCCTTAACCTTGCAGTCAGCAAACCGCAACAAAGGCCCCCCCTTCCAAAGCACGTCTTCAGGACACTGTAAGAAAAATGGAGGCTTTATCTGCGGAGGCGCCGCAACATGATCTTGCCAAAGAGGAGAGGGAAGTGTCTGAAGGTGACAGCGTTCACCTGAGCTTTGGCTACGGCTCAGACTTGACACAGTTTAGCGATAGGGTGATTCGAGTGCATGTGGTTCAGGATGATGATCAGGAAGAACCGTCTTTTGGCACCCGGCTGAAGGAGACGTACCTCAGTCAAAGCCATGCAGCTTCGAGCGTTTCTGCCACGGGATCAAACGAACAGTCCGTGGACCTCGAAATGCAGTCAACTGGATGCACGACCACGGAGAAAGAACGTGAGTCCAATCACTAGATTGTGTTGCAATGTCAAGCTACTTCTACACTGCAACTCCTGATAAAGCCTACCCTTATGTGCGGCTGATTCTGTTTTTGTTCACTATTATGTGCCAATGTGTCATGCAAGACCTCTCAGATAACGCATTGCTTAAAGAAACAATATCTAACTCACTGAGGGTCAAGGGCCAGTCTGGACTGTCACATAAAACTTTACGAATGCAAGTCCACATTCATCCGAATTCAGACTCCAAGCTTAGGGCTGCCAGCCCTTTGCTTCAAGCGAGAAACCAGATTGATCCGTCGAAAGAGTCGTATTTCCTGAGCTTTTTCGCATCACTCCCAGACAAATATAGGATCTCTGCTTTGCTGCAATATATATGTACCGCCGCTTCTTCTAGCCTTGACTTCGTCTCCTTAGGCTGACTTTCTCTCTGGTTCTCTTGCAGGAGGATGGTCGTATGACATCCCCATCAGCAGCTTAATCGTCGCCGCTCATTCGGAATACTTCAAGACGATGCTACTATCAGGCCTCCAGGAAAGCAGAACGAAAGAGAAACCAATCGAAGTGACGCTCTGTCCACAAGGTGTGAACACTTCTTGGAAGCCGCCTTTGGCAAGCCAGACATTCACCTGAGCATGAGTCTGCCGCCAGCGCTTCCATCAAAACATACGACAAGATATATAAGCGTCAATCTTCCCGGTTTCAGATGAACGAAAGAGACGCGTCAGCTACAGGTCAATACTTCTTTGTTGGCTGATTGGGTCTAAGATTGATCGGGGTCGAGACCATCTTTTGGCAGCACAGATGAAAGGTTCGAAAGCGTTTGACAATTTCGGCTGTTGACTTTTCCGAGTTTGTTTAATGTACGACCAGGCATAAGAAGTCTAAGTCTCCTTGCAGCATCTTTGGAGCTGCTCGGCGTTGGAGCAAACTTTTGAAAGATCACTCTATTGCAGAGAGCAGAGAATCCTTCTCTACCTTCTGTTCTTTCCTTTGCCTAGCCAGGTCTTCTTCTTTCTAAAATCCATTATTGCAATCCATTTCCTTAACTTGCAACGATCCTATAACTGAGGCTCTTGTCTTCTGAGTCTTCTGGATTGCGTTATTGCTGTCAGGCCCAGCTGTCAGACGAGGCGCCGGGACGATTCTCGTCTGACCGGCAGCGAAAAGTCGTGAGGTCGAACTGACTGCAAATGGTCCGATTCCTTCTTGAGCCAAGAGTGCTATTGACGGTTTCATAGATCGAGAATGTTTGTTCTGCACTCGGCTTTTGTCTTGCAGGCGCGCACTTCTTCAACATCCTCATCGAGTTTGCGTACACCCATCATATCCCCCCTGACGTCCGCTCCGATAAGGAGTCACTCTGCTGCTTGCTGACGGTTGCGGACCGTTTCGAGGCGACGCAGTGCATGCAGAAGGGCGCCAAGGAGCTGAAGTCATCACCGACGAGTCTGGAAGATGCCGTTATGTACCTGAACCTTCCCGAGACTGTGAAACGGCACCCGGCGCTCCGAGACCTGATGGACTCGGTATCCGGACTCACTGGCTGGTCGTTTGAGGACGTTGCCGCTTGCGATAACTTCTGCGCCATAACGGAGGCTAGCATGATGACACTCGTGAGCCACTTGCGAGTCAGCGACGACCACGTAGAGGCAGTGTTCGCGCTGATGCTCGAGTGGTTCCGCTTCCGCGGGCCCGAGCGCTGGAGCGGTTTTGAAACGCTCCTTTCTCACCTCGGTTTTTGGCGCATGAGCCCGTCCTTTGTGAGAGAAGAAGTAGAAGCCTGCCCTGAACTGCGCGGTCGGGAGGGGCGGGCCCTCGTAGAACAGGTAAAAGCGCTAAAAGACCCCTGGGAAGAGGTCAAGGCGGCGGCCGCATCCCAGGAGTTGGCCGCGCTTCAAGGCGCGGCGATTGTTGTCGCGGGCGCGGCGCCCGCGGCGGGCGGGCCAGCCGCTCCTGCCAAAGTCGGGCCTGATCCAGGAATGGTGTTCTTCATGATGTTAGGTGGTCTTGCAGGATTCATAGTGCCATTGATATTCGCCACTCCGCATCAATCCGGAAGTGTCGATCTGATCTGTCTGACCTTTTCTGGAATCCTGCCTGGTAGCGGTACGGTGATGGGGATGATAATCGGATCGCTATTCGGTCTTAAGCTGAACAGGAGAAGGTAGGGAGGAGAAACAAAAGTTCGTTTTCTTTTCATTCACGCTCATTGAACGTGGTGTTCGCATGTCGTGAGGTCTGTATGTCTGCTGCGTATTCACCTGCTCTCACATCAAACTTAGAATCCCATTGTATCCGAGTCATACCGTATACCTAGACTGGGCATGGCACCGACCGGGCAGCCTCGCCACGTCAAACTTAGATCGGAACCTTCTTTCTCACAAATGCGTTGTAAGGCCGACTTCGGCAATTTCAACATATGCATTGAAGCGCGGATTGCTTCAGTACATGACTATAGAAACATTTGTGATTACAAGATTGCCCCCGTCGGCCTGGTCCTACAATGAATCACTGGACTCCATGTTTTCGGTTCCGAATTAGAAGCAATGAGCTTCATGTTGAAAGGTTAACAATGGCTTGTCAAGTTGTGGAACGTTTCAGATCAGGTTCAGAAGCAGGTGAAAAGTCGATCACCTGATGTACCTTGACTTCGTATCAAACGACTAGCATGTAGAGCATTGAATAAATGTGGCAATGGACTTATGGCAGGGAGAGCACTCAATGTCACAACTTATGAAGACCGAAAGCGTTTGGCCAGACGTTCAATTCGAGATCATGCAGTCCATCGGAAACCCGAAGTTGAACATGACTTCTCAAGTGCAGAAACTCTACATAGAAGGTCTCTCAGTCGATGCTGCCGAGTCGCATGTTGTGCAAATGTACCTTGGTTGGACAGCTTAACGGTGCTTCTTCTCAGGTCCAACCCAGCCTTTTCTTCGACTCCTTTCTTCCACGGCACTAGGACCTGCGCTGCTGAGATACCCCGTTCTCGGATGCGTACAACCAGCAATCAGCGGAAGTGCAGAAGCAATCACCTCATCAAGTCATCAAGGTGCTGCAAACTGCGCAAACCTTACTTGGACTACAAAGCAAGCCGAACTTCTATAAAGCTCATCCTGACCCCCAGCTTTTCACATCGAGCCTAGTCGAGCCAAGGCTCACCAAATGGAAACAGCTAAAGGATTAGATGCTCCATACATTGGCAGCCTGTCTAGTACTCAGGCCGCCTGTAAGAATTACGCGCCCCGGCCGGCGGCCGCGTCACGGCACTGCGGTGAACCTGCGCGGCTGTCCTTTGAGGGCGGGTATGGAGGATAGGGACCAGAACTCGATCTCAGGTTCCTGATCTCAGGAAGCTACTGTAGGGGGTAGTAATATACGTTTGCCGTACCCCCTTTTGAAGGCTGCGTAAACGTCCAGAGCGCCCGGTAAAAGTGAACGTGATCTCAGGAACTTGCGGTAGGGGGTTCGAGTCTGTCTATTAAAAGCCCGAGGCATCTAATGGTTCTCAGTAGGCAGCCGAGCGCCGTCTGATGCAAACTGAGGGCTCAGATTCTATGTTCAGGCCCGGCGGTACGAGGCGGTACACGGGCATCGGTCTCCAGATCGAGAAAGTTTCCGGAGATCAGGAATCGTGGTCCCCGTTCTCCATACCCGCCCTCCCTTTAGGCTGTGTTGAGTCAGCCGGTGCAGTGGGAGCGTGCGTTAAAAGAACAGGGTGGTATTGCAGAAGCTGCGCTGTGGCTGACAATGCTCCTAGTCATACAATAGAGACAAGGTGCAAGGTATATTCTCCTCCCAAGCAATGCCCAAGAAGTTGCTGTGCAAGCCTCCGCACATAACAACGAGACACGCACTCAGCTGCGTGCACAAGGTCTCACACAAAGTCCCGCGTTTGCGCCTACTCAAACCACCCGATCTCAGCGACTGGACATATGATAAGACTCAGCTGAAAAACACCCTCAGCGAGAGACTGTAAGCAAACAATCTGGCGCCTTGAGTCTACGCTAAAATTTTCGACCTTCTCCTCATTCTGGTCAGCGCACAGCTGAACGGTGCACCGCCACAGAGAATGGAAGCCGTAGACGCACAGAGGCTTCAGCAGCTGGGGGAAGTACACAGCGTGGAGGCTGGTGACACCGTGCACCTGACCTTTGGTTTTCGCTCCGACTTGACACAGTACAGTGACAGGGTGATCCGAGTGCACGTCGTTCAAGAGGAAGCTTCAGAAGAAGGGGAACTTCAGCGAGCCAGATGCTGTCGTATAAACAGCATAGATCATGCAGGTTCCAGAACAAGACCTAGTTCGGCTTCGGTGGAGAACGAGCAATTTGTCGACCTGGAAATGCAGTCAGGAGAAGGCAGAGCGGAGGGATCCAGCAGACGTGAGTGGAATGCATGATTCGTATTTAGTGTTTGTGGCTGGAATCTGAATAGTGACACGCTTGCTGAATGTGTTTGTTCACCGTGCCTCCTGAAGGTAAGTCTAATGCCTGTGAGAGTAAGAGGTCTGCACACAACTTGCTTCTGACATTCCTTTTCTATGACTCTTGGATACGGCTTGTTTTGTTCAGATCCGAAGGAAAGCCGCTCAATTCTGAAGGGCGAAAATTTGCGGAGGGTTTGAACGGGTTAGCTCCGAGGGCACAGGAACAGTCTGTGGGATTTTAGCAGCTTTCAGCAGTGGATCGCAGTCTGTCACCCTCAGTCTGGGTACATGTTTTATTGACTTTGATCAGACCGCGGGGATGACTGCAAAGGAAGTTTTTAGTATTGCGCAAGTCCTTCAAAGAAGACAGAAGGCGCTGTTTGCTCAACCTAAACGTGCTTAGCTCATCTTGCAGACGCATGGTCATACGACATTCCTGTCAACAGCTTGATGGTAGCTGGAATCTCCCAATGCTTTAGAACGATGCTGACGTCCGGCCTTCACGAGAGCAAGTCAAAGGAGGAACCAGTCGAGGTGACGCTCTCGCCACAAGGTACCCTGCTCTCTTCTTATTATCCCGTCTTAAGAGCTGCTTCTCTGAGCTGACTACGGAGTTGCAAGGTTTAAAGCAATGGAAATCATGTGCCTTTAAAAACTTTCGTAGAAAGCGCTGCCGGGAGTCTCTCTAAAGCTTCGACTCCTTTCTTTCAACGGTAGAAGCCATCAAAAGATCTACTTGACAATCCACCTGACAAAGACCGAATGAGTTCACTCTTCGTTTGTGCAATCCTGCTTTCACAGAGGGGAAAGTTTGTCATGCCTTCCCTGAAATACATGCCCTCCTTGCAGAGGCGCACTACTTCGATATCCTCATCCACTTTGCGTACACTCACCGGATTCCGCAGGAAGTCTGGGCGGACAAGGAGGCGCTCTGCTGGCTGCTCACGGTCGCAGACCGCTTCGAGGCGCCGGCGTGCATTCACAAATGCGTCAAGGCGCTGACGTCATCTCCAACAACCCTGAACGACGCCATCATGTATCTCAACCTCCCAGAAACAGTGAAACGGCACAAGGCGCTGCGGGTGTTGATGGACGCCGTTTCTGAATTGACGGGCTGGTCGTTCGAGGAGGTGGCCGCTTGCGAGAGCATTCTCACACTGGAAGAATCCAGCTTGACGTGCCTTGTCAGTCGTCTTCGAGACTCGGACGAAAATGTGGAAACGCTATTTAGCCTCATCCTACAATGGTTCCGTTTCGGAGGGCAGGAGCGTTGGGGCGCACTTGAAAAGCTGCTCTCTCTGCTCGGCTTCTGGCGAATGAACATCTCTTTTCTTAGAAACGAAGTAGAAAGCTGCCCTGAGCTAGGGTTAGAAGAAGGGCGGGCCTTGGTAGAAAAAGTGAAGGCATTGAAAGATCCTAGGGAGGTTCAAGTTGAAGCGGCGGGCGCGTGCCAAGCGGCGCCGGCGGGTCCTCAAGCCGCGGCAGTTGTTGTCGCGGGTGCGCCCGCGGTCGCGCCTGCCGCGCCAGTTGGTTTAGATAATGGAGAAAAGATCTTGATAGGGTTGATGTGCCTGGGGGCTCTTGTAGGATTCGTGTTGCCGTTCGTGTTTTTGATAAAGGCTTTCCAGCAAGGGGATAAGACAATTGGGTGGGTTTTGCTTGCTTTGACCACAACGGGAGTGCTGCCGTACGCGGGTTGGGTCGTAGGGGCTTTGATTGGAAAGTGCGTGGGACTCGAACTTTCATAAGTCGAACTTTTCTCTGTTCAGTCAGAAATGTTCCAATGGAACAACAACGCCATATAAATTTCTGATACATAAATCACTGACTGTCCGAACACATCCCGCTCGTAGTCGTTGCAAGCAACCGTCAACGACTTACCGACGGGTATACACCAGATCATTGATGAGCTTTGTAGCGCATGTGCGCAGTGAAACTCAATGAATGCAGGCTATACAGCAACGGAGTTGTCGTATCAGTAGGCCGTCTTTCCAATAACCTCGGTGCTCCTTCGAACGTTCCTAGATTCGTCGGGCGGATCATTCGGGATCTTTATGCTGGGTAAACTTCGCATGGCTTTCTTGAAGGGAAACGTTTGGACTTGGACCAGAACTGCGAGTATCACACGCCTCGACCTTCTGCACCAAATATTTCCATGGATTGCTGACCTTGATGAGAGAAGGCCACTCTGGTCCAGCAGTTTATTGACCTTCCAAAAGCATTTGATAATATGAGATGATAATCAACTGCAGAAACCCTCTTGAAGCTATAGTGCTCGCAAGACTCTTCTCAGGCCGGCGAGCTGGAAAACGCCCGCTCAAAAGCTAGCCTGTATTAGGTTGTTTTCGATCATTTCTTGCGCACATTTTGACAGTACAACTTAACTCAGATCATCTTGTCAATATGGACTCAATTGGCTCTATTCTATGATGAGCGGGTAAAACGAGAGATCCTATGAAGGTGACGAACAAATCGACATCTTCACATCATCTTTCCGCGCCAACGGACTGAAAAGGCGAAGAGTCTTGAATGGAACGCAGAGCCGAAAGGATAAAACGCGGTGGTCTTGGCAATCGAAATACCGGTCACAATTCGAGGGCATGTAATAGAAGATACAATTTTACTGCATACTGATTTCATTCTCGTATCCAGGGCTGTACGAGCACCGTTGAATGATTAAAGCTTACCAGGATGAAGAAACAAGAACTAATGATGCTTCTGGCGGCGTACCTACTCCAATACGAAATGTATGGTTACTCAGATGAATTTGTAGCATGTTTAGCGAAAGAAATAAAAGATCCGTACGATGATTCGCCTGCTGATTGCATTTAGATTGCTTTGAATGCATTGTTTGCACTTCGAGAGAGGAAATAGTGCGGGCCAGCGACATCTTTGTAATATTGTAATCTAGATGGCCGCAGCACGAGCTTCCCAGGTCTTCCTGGGTCTTTTTCCGGGAAGCTTCAACGAGGTCTTCATCTGAAGTGAAGCTCTCGCCCGTGCCTGATTCTGAAGATATTGCACCGGTAGCCTGTTCACGGCGATCGGTACCTACCGGCCGATTGTCCACGTGGTTGAAAGGAGCAATCCGGGTGGCCAATTTTGGCCTTCGTTTGAATTCAAGCGCTGAGCTTTCGCACCCGCCGAACAGATTATGCGCGCCCATGTCGAAATTCCAGATCCACTTCAAAAGCTCGAGTCGCTTTTTACCGCCCTCGGCCTCGGCATCCAGTTCTTGGGCAGCGATATATTGTCCTGGAGGCTTTCTGAAGAGGATGATAGAAGCAATTCCGTCGATCTAAGACAGCGTTCAGGCCACTGATCATATTAAAAAAAATCATCAATATTCCCCATCCGCTTCGCCCTTATCGAAGTATAGACCACCCTGTCTGCAGCTTGAAGAAGGTGAGCAGACCTTCTCCTTTCTGTATGTTGCGCCCGCAGCGTGAGTCTCTCTCAGGGACTATGCTATGATTTAGAAAAGCTGACCGGCGTTCTCAAGCCGCCATATAGCCGCCAACTCAGGGCGATAAAACCTCCAGAAAATTATCCGCAAGGATTGCTTTCAAAGCAACTCATGATGCTTTGTATTTGTGTCACGATATCCTGCAGGTTGCTTGTGATAATTGAGCAAAGCAATACGCTTTTGAATCCCTAGTGGTCGTTGCCTACAAAAGATGCTTGTTTCTGGAATTGATCTTGAGATGCTGATGACTCTCAATGAGGAAAAAAGATCCAGTCACTGCAAGAGAATGTAGAAATGCATCTTCTCAGGTTGCATCTAGCTCCACAGCTTGGAGCTGCAGCACGATAGAGAACGCTTTGCTCTTCCAGGCACATTCTGAGCTCTCTTGACTTAGAGACCTCGATACAAGCATATTCTGCGAAAGTTGCACAAAGCGTCATGGCTTCAGCACTCCATCATGAAGGCTGTATGAGCTCTACTCAAACGGCTGAGGTTGCTTCAGTAGGAGGTTGGACAACAGCTTCAGGTGAGGAGGACTGGTCCCAAATTAAAGAACATGAAGTTAAGAGGAAGGGGAGGCTCTTCGCGATCGGCTGCAGAGTCAAAAAGCCTTCTGTCAGGATCTGGTACGGAAAGCATTGTCACCAAAAGTACTTTCATTCAGAGGTAATCATCCGGTATGCAACCAGGATTAAGAGGTCACTCTGCTGTAGTTTCCAGGAAGCACTTTCCACTTTCTTTAACCGTCAAAAGACATGGAACGAAAAATAAATGTACATGATAGCAAATCTGCAAGTTTTGCAGTATCGAACATCAAAGTACAATCATGCAAGCTTTTTCCACCATACGTAATTTGCACTCACCGTATCCGCAGATATGTCATTCCATCGGTCGAGAAGAGAAAGAACAAGTTTATGTGTCTCGAGTCTATTGCTGGTCCCTTCTTTATGTTTTCAATTCGTCGAGTTTCATTGGCAGGTGGAGCTGCAAGCAGTCCATCACCTGAAAGTTTGAGGAGAGCACAGGCGCTTTTGCAAGAAGCGGATCACCAAAAAGAGGCTGCTGTGCCCGAGAGCTGGCAGGAAATGTTGAGCTGGTCAGTACGGCGTATGGTAAGGCACATCCTCTGACATCGGTTTGACGTCGTGCTCTTGACCATTTTCGTATTGACCTTTTAACGGAACTACAAGGAAATTGGCGCGTTTTCTTTCAATCTTTTATTGATTGATTCTACGTCAGTTGCCTCGGTACTTGAGGTATGAAACTTTCAAAGAGCAGGTCAATCAACCGTTCGCTTATAACCAATTTTACCCACCTAAATCAGGCTGAGAAAGTAAGGAAGGAGTTTGATGAAAATGATTTCTGCGTGTCCTCCAGATCAGCGGTGGACAAGCCCCAACCGTCGCTCTCGTCCAGCCTCGCGCAAGCGCTGAGACCCATGGCGGAAACGAAAGGACAATTGATCTGCCTGAACACGTCAAGAGAAGAAGAACAGAGGAGTAGATAGAGCACTGATTTCGATATATGGTCAAACAGAAGTTGGTCACACAGAACCCGCCCGACTGCTAATTTTTCATACGTGTCGTGCAATTGCAGCAGTTACCTTGTAAATTTTCATCTCGCGAAAATCTGCGGATGCCTTGCCGGTCTCTTCCGAAAAACAACTTGAATGTATGGTCTTCGGTTAGCTGGCAAGAATCATTTCTCGCATCATTGGCATGCAGTCCGGCTGTTCGTAGACTTATGGGTCATGGATAACAAGTCTGCGTGTTTTGGATTCCTGAATGGTGGTACGGCGCAGGGTCTTAGCCAGTAGTACTTCTATAAGCGGGGGCATCTTGATGAGGATCTATGCCAGGCACGCTGCCGGGCCTGAAGCCAATCTGAACGAAGCTGACGTTTTGAGTGCGCATCTCCAATATGTTGTGATAGAATGTCATTCTGTACGGTTTGGATCCGGCTTTGACTTCTCCTGAAGTCTGCAATCACCACGCGAGTCGAAGTCTTCATCCAATACAGCTTTTAGACCACCCGGCTTGTTCGGCTCTAAACGTGCGCGAGCACAGTCAATTCCGTCGGATCATGTGATGGGACACGGTAACTGCGGTCAACTTCCAAACGCAACAGATAATGATTCATAGGTGAAGGCGGGCGTGCGCTCATGTGCAGGCAATAAGAGCCAATTCAAGCCTGTAAGTTTCTCTTGATGACTAAAATGTGTCTTTACAGAGTTTCCATGGCTACGGACTGTGTCTTTACAGAATTTTTCAGGTTACGGACAATCCTTGTCCTTCAAAGCATCCTTCACAACGCTGAATAAGGTGCCTTCCAGAACGAACTCAGCAAGACGCTTTAAGTCCGCTGCCTGATCCACTCCAATACTCCGCACAGCCCCAGTCTGCCCGGTCCCCTTCGCGCGCTCCTCGCGGTCGCCATGCATGACGTTCAGCATGACGTCACCAGCACTCATGCTGACCTCACCGTCCACGTCCCGAGGCTCCGCCTTTCCTTCTCTGTCTTCTCCACTTTCTTCCGCAGCCTCTCCCCTACCTTCCGTCGAGAATCCGGCGGGATATCCATCAGACACCGCTTCCCCGAAAGGTCTGGACGCGTTCCGTTCGGGTGAGACCTCCAAGAGTTCCCCGCTTTCTCCCCGGTCTGCCTTTGCCTCCCCGGCCGTTTTCCGCCGCATCGACGCCCACGTGGGAACTTCCGCAGACTGCAGACACGGTCCGTCTACCGGACCTGCCTCGCAGGCCGTTCGGACGTCCGGATCCCGGAACGCCTCCCGAAGGATTGTTTCGAGGACTTCGCCCACAACCTCCCGGTCCTGCGGTCCGGGTACCGCGCTCTCGGTTGGGACAGCCGGGGGGTTTTCTACCAGGAAGTGACTCCCGGACTCTCCGAATAGCGACCGGTAGCTCTCCCCCGAATGAACGTGCCCAGTCAAAGTCAGGAACAAACTCGATACGGAGTCCTCAGCCTGCTCGCCCGACTGAGCAGTTCCGTTGGTTCCGCTGGCCTTGACCGTTCCGCCCGGATTCCGGCCGTCCCGTCTCGTCCGGTAGCTCTCGGTGGTCGCCTCCAAGACAGACTGGTGACTCAGCGGCGCCCTCCCTTGAGTATCCTTCCCAATTTTGCGGAACGTGTCGACGATTACTTCCTCTTCCCCGGCGATTCGTAGCGGGAGCTTCTTGTTCTCTTTGCCGGTGTCCCACCGGACGCTGCCACGTGTCCGAGTGGCGCCCGGGGACGAGGGGGAGAGGGACCCGGGACATTTGACGGCAGCTTGAGACGGTGCTGGCGCGACGTCGCAGATCATGGTTGCCTGTGAAGAGAAGAAATGGGTGAACGTGCCTTTCAGTTTAAAATGCATTCCCAGAGCAGAATACTGGCAGACGCGCAAAATGAGCTCTTGAGTAAGCAGAGGTCTTTTCAAGATTGGAAAACAAGCTCTTGGGTGACCAAAGGTCTTCATGAGATGGAAAAAAAAAACTCCAATGCGCTAATGAAGCAGATAAACTTCCGAACGGTCAAAACAGTTGAGAAGGCGAGGAATTAGAGGGACTCGGTCTACGAGATCTTGCAGACCTGCGAGTCATGCTTCGTAAGCTCCGGGAGACCGCCGATCGAAGAGGGCTTCCGCGAGACATTGTTACGGCGTCTTCCAAAACTCAGCTGTCTCGCCGAGTTTGAAGGAGTAGTAGGCAACGTGCTTGTAAGCACCGTACTGCGATCTAAACGTCACGCTCATTCTACAAAAAGTTAATTGAAGCCTTCGATCTGCCTCAGAAGCTTTGCCTCGACTCCTTGCACTACCAGAAAGTATCAGCAGACGTTCCTGAACGAAACACCTTTCACAAAATCTGCAGGCCGTCTCGTTTTTGGGCACAGAATAACTGCACGCTCAAAGGAGACGTCTCGAGGTCTCTGCGTGCCGTGCCTTCGAAAACGGCTTTCATGAACTTCGACAACCACTGTTTCCAATTTGAAAGGCGCAGCGATCTTGTAGATTGCCGGACGTCTGCAGCTGCCAATGAGGGCCACTCGCATGCTCAGAAGAACCAAATAGGGGCTCATGGCCTTCGATTGAAACGCTAACTTGACTGCAAACCGCAGGCCCAACACTTTTGGAGCTTGACACCAAACGCAAAGCCCGAGTCAACTTTTGGTTTTGGAAAATGTCCAACCGAATTTGACAGAGAGAGGACAACTAGTAATGGTGCGGAACTCCTACCTCAAACACTGCGGGCTGTGTGCCAGCTGTCATCACCGCTTTGCACACGCACTCTGCCCCAGGGGCCATCGTTCCGCGCTCCGGTTCCACCTTCAAGCGGCCGCACGCGAGACTGTCCGCAGCTAATGACGGTCGCCACGAAAACCGGACGGTGTCCGAACTCCGGTTCCGTACCGTCACGAGCCGCCGACTTACGGACAGCTCCGGCACGTGCTCGAAGTTAATGCTCTCGACGGACAGAGTCGCGCGTTGGTTAGGGAGGTTCAGGGTTTGGCGCGGGTTGTACCCTAACCCAAGGTCCAAACCGGGGGTTTCCGGGAGGGACATGTATTCCGGCCGGACTCCGCGGCCTCTGAGGGTGATATACGTGGTTTCCGCCCCCCACACGAGCAGCGGAAGCTCGACCTCGTATTCGCGCTCCTCGATCGGTGTGAACAGCCACTCGAGTTGCACGCTCTCGCCGACGGGAATGCAGCCCTCCGGGTTCCGCACGGTTAGCACGTCAAACCCGTGGTTCGCCTCGCTTAACCGGGTTAACGGCTGGGTGTCGAGCTGGTAACGGATCTCCGACGGGCCGCCGTTCCGAAGCGTCATCCCGCGGAGGGGCGGCCGCCGCTCGCCTAAAACGACCCCCCCGAGATCAAACGGGTTCTCGGAAAAGATTAAAAGTTTCTCGTAGAACTCTAGGGTTCTTCCCACGAGGTTCAGCAGCGTGCGGCGACCTTTAGAGATCTCCAGAAGCGCCGGCAGGCGGTGCGTACCGGGTCTGCCCGGTTGGTACTCGATGCTGACGTGGCAGCTCTCGTCCGGGCTCAGGGTGCCACCCCGGGGGCGCACCTCGAAGAGGTTCTCCTCTCTGACTTGCGCGCGGTGCTTGTCCTCGGAAGTTCTAGGCTTCCCGGTCTGCACCCAGCTCTCGAGGCTCACGCTTTCTTTGCCCCACAGGCGAATATTCCACTTTGATGTCAGCAGACCTGAAATGAATGGGTCCTACGTCAGTCGGAGATCCGGATGGCTATTCTGCAAACGAAACGCGAATGCGCCGGCAAAAATGATCGGAATAGAATTGGTGCTCCGATGACAACCTGCCAACGTGCTCATGACTGTACAGGGGGTCGAGCCAAGTTCTTCTATGGGAGCTCGAGGGTATACAAAGTGTCAGACACATGCATTGAAGAGCGAAAAACGAGAGCTCTTTTGTACGACAAAATCAATCAAAAAGTGTAACACGACATCGTGACCATGCTCTTTTCGCTGTCAGAAACTCTCGTTGCCATCACTTTGCGAGGTCGTTTGGAGACGAAGTGGAACTCCAGAAAAACGTGTTCCACAATGCTAGTTGACCCCCATCAGCGAAATTCTTGACCATTCCGTTGAACAAAACGATTGATTGCGCTAAAGTCGTCTCCCCAAGTTTCCAATCCTTGTCATCAACCCTTCGCAACTTCACGCTGCTCTTAGTCGGCCAGCCGCCGGAAAAGGGCCAGTTCGTACCGTTCAAGACGGCTTGAAAAGAATGGGAAGTAAATGCAAAGGATTCCTATGACAAAACCCGTCATAGCGCAGCTCGAAAGGGGCCAGCTTCAGATAGGATTCAAACTCGTGTTACAGAACAAAGGGAAGTTCGGGACGGCCTGCAAAACAGTGCGCGTTCACAGAGGGTCTCCTGATCCTCTTGACTAGAAGGCGGGAATCCGATCCGCCTTATGCTACTCGTCAGACGGAGCCCCGATTGTAACGGACCAAATAGAGAAGCTTTCTGTTAGGATGGATCCATAGGAAGAGGTGTGGGCCGGATTTACATCATACGCAACAGCTTTCACCTGTGTTTTTGAGCTCCAGATGCGTGCGCACTTTCTTCCCCCCAGTTACCGCTGCGCCCAAATCGACCACGTGGCGCTCCAATCCATCCTCCATTCCGGCCCAGTCCGCGCTCTCCTTCCCCCCATTTAATCTCCGCTCTAGTTCTCCCGGCTCCCCCGCCAAAAGCTGGTTAAGTTGACCTGCCCTTAACTGACGCCACAGCTGGTCCTTGCTGACGCCGTCGCTCCTAACGTCAGCAACCGTCAGCGTCGGGTAATCCGCGCGCGCGGTCACGAGACACGTGGCGGGCTCTGACGCCGCCTGCCAGCTGTTCTCTGGGGAGAGCTCGGTTCCGTCTCCCCAGCTGACGTGACCCGGGGGATCCCCCTCGGCGGCTCTCCTCTCGTCGACCCTCGCGCACGTCACCTCGAATGACATTTCTGCCCGGCGGCTTGGCCGGAGACTCACCGGAACGGAAACGGAAGACCGCGCCGGAATCGTTCCGGCAGGCGCCTCGATCTTGAGACACGTGTCGCCCTCCAATTCGTCCTCGTCTAAATCCTCAAATCCTGCGCGGCGCGCGTCGAGCGCGTATTGCAGCGGCCCGTCGCTCAGGTTGTGCAGCGTCAGGGCCGCCCGGTGCTTTGCTCCGACCAGTAACGTGCCCAGGTCTAGTTCCTCGGGAGTGAGCTTAAACACTCCGGAAATGCCCTCCCCGGTTACGCTCAACGTCACCTTCTGGGCCGCTGACGTCAGCTTTTGTCCCACCTCGTTCGTACCCGACATGTCTTCCTCTCCCAGCGGAACCACCTTTCCCGAGGTCTTGACACCGGGGCCTGAATCCTGTCTGGCGGAATAAACCGACCGGATCCGCACACCGCTGACGAAGCATTGCACCTTGGCTGACGTCACCCCGGGCTCCCTCGGGGCAAAGCTCCAGGCGAACTCCCTAGTCTCGCCGCCTCTCAAAATTTCTTCTCCAGGTTGCACCCCAATCACCGCCGCCCATCGCGGGGGAACCGCCCACGAAACCCTAACCGGGATCTTAACCAGGTTCCGCACCGCAAACCCACGTTCCGAAACGGCACCCACGCACGTCGGACGGAAGCCGAGGTTACCATCTTCGGTTAGCTCGACCCGCGGCAAGAATGCCCCGGCGGTTAAGCGCAGCTCGGTGGGGTTTGCGGGCGAGTTGTTGAAGAAGCAGAGTACTCGTTCTGAACGAGATCCCTCGGTTTCGGAGCAGAATCGGTACGCCAGAACCTGGAACTCGTGCCCGAGGATGACGCCTTCGGTCGGGTGAACTTTGAAAGGGGAGTCGAGGGACGTCGGGCGGATCTCGAACCTGCACGGTTGGAAGGGAATCGGTTTCCTCACTTGTGTTTGCTTTGCAATTACCGGATTGCGACAATACCGTTTGCAGACCTTGAGTGGTAACGGTTTCGCTAGATCTTACAAGAGGGAAGCGCATTATTACAGGTTGACAGTGTGAACTTCAGAGCGACACCGGACGCTTCCCGAACGTGAAGGGTCAAGGAATTTCTGGTCAAGCGAAGATCTGATTGTGTCTATTTTTCTACGTGTCGACAGACGTCAGTTCCGTGGATTATTCCTTTCTTGACGAAGGTTTCTTCATCGAATTTGATCATGGAAGGAAGTCACCTGCTTCCAAAGCAGGGTATGCTGTCAGGTTTATCTGCAGTCCAAAGAATGATGGGAAAATGTTTTTGAAACCGCTCGGGACCAGAAAACGTTGCTCCTCTAGTCTTTTCCAGTCAACTTGTCGAGTGGAACCAAATGAAGAACATTGAAAGAGCCAAAAGAAGGAAAGTCGATTTGATGAGAAAGCAAAAGATTTCAATGTTTGACTGCCGCGCTTGCTATCAAGCGGGAGCAATCGATGTCAGAAGTTCATCTACTTGAGCGGCGAATCTTCTTAATATTTCGAACTTTAAGAAGAGGGTTCCCCCGTTTGCTATTGCCCCACACGCAGTCACACATACAGATTTCAAACTCTCAGAAAACAGAGTCTTGATCACGCATCGGACTCCCGCGGTTGAAGACACGGACGTCTGGAACTAGGAAACTCCCCACTTTTGGATGCCTCGATGCAGTCAAGCATACAAAACTGCACCTTTCGAAAGACTCTCACATTTCCAAAATCCCACCGATTGAAGATCACGGACGTTTGTGACCAGGAGTCCCCAAACTTTTGTTGCCTCGATGCAGTCAAGCATACAGCAAAAGACTCACTTGAGCGGTGTATCCCCCTGGTTGTAGATAACCGACGTTTGGAACGAGGGATCCCCCACGTGGCTCGGCGGGAGGGCCACAGACTCAGACGAGAATTGCGCGCGCGGCATCACGTGGTCGGCGCCGGGCTTGAACGTGTGCGCGATCGCCTGTGGTGACGTCAGTTGCTGAGTTCAGCTCTTTGAACCGGTTATCACACATATCCTCCGTTTAATCTTGAAAGCTTGACTGTCCGTCGAGTGAGGTTCCCCACGCGAATAGTAGAGTACGCACTCCCCGTAAACCACCAGATACGTTTAAGGCTGCGCAACATGATTGAGTTTGAGAATGTTTTGCATGGGTTTTGATCGCTTCCGTTCAAGTTTCTCGATGGAGTCGTAGATTGAGAATCAGTAAGTCACGCTGTGAGCAGGTCACGGAGATACTGAAGCGGATGACGAGCCCAGATCAAGCAGCAATGCTTCGATGCGAGCGAATTTATGGAGATCTCCCTGCAAAGCGCCCTCACCCGAACTTTCATCGCCGAGGGCGGCGGCACTTCCGCTAGAGCGGCGTCCCACTGCCTCAAGCGCTTCGGAACCACTAGAACTTCCAGGTCGTCGCAGTAGAAGCAGTTGTCCCTTTTCGGCCGAAAGACGACGTTGAAAATAAACGAGCCCCCCGGTCGTATCTCCGCCTCTTGGGGAAAAACCTGGTACAGCTTAACTCCCTCTGAACCCGCCGGGTTAGCGCCGCCAAACCCCTCGGGGGTCATCCAGGTGCATGTAACGCGCTCCTCGGAGTCGTTGGTGAGCGTTACGGGCTTGAACTCCGACGGCTTCCCGCGCGCGCACGCGCCGAAGTCGAGCCGGGTGACGTCAGCGTGGACACGTGTCCTCTCCTCCGCGCCCGCGAACAGCGCCTCCCAGCGCTCTAGCTCTTCCGCTCCGCTATGGTTCGATTCCGGCGGACTTTCCGTTCCCTCCTCTCTCTCTAGATTTGGGTCTTCGTAACAATCTGGTTCGCCTTGGACTGACGACCCGTTTCTAAACTGCTTCAGGTTGAGGAGGGGGGGGCGCATTTTGTCGTTGAAGCAACTGCCGATCAGAGTAACGGCTAGAGGTGCGTGGTCCCGGATCAGCAGGAAAAGGCGCTTGTGGTACATAAGCGGATCTTTCGGATCGAAGCGGACGGTGACGGTGGCTGAACCGAAGGCGGGGCAGGTTCCGGTGGTGACCTCAACGGAAAAGGGGCCGGACTCCGTTCCGCGGAGTTGGTAAGCGACCTCCATTCCTGTATGGTAAGGGAATGGACTCACCATCAGTCCACTGCTGTCGGCATTTCGGGGCTATATGAGATGCACGCGCTGCTTTTCAAAGCGCAGTACAACAAGACACGCCGTCACCCCAGGAAGTGCGCCTGTGTTGCATCGCAGAAAGCGTGAGGCGAAGGCTTGATAACCTGGCTGCAGAGTTACAAGTTCTGGATTTAAGGGACACATGCCCAGATTTTTAAAGCGCAAGAAAGGTGTCGGCTCGGCCCCATCAACCAAATCAGCAGATTCTGCAGGATCGACTGGAAAGGTGCACGCCAACGACAGGAAAGAAGGGGCTGATAATAGAACTGATGTCAGCAAACGAGCTGGCTTGATTAGCCTGCTTCAAGACGGAGCAGAGTCCCCCAGAAGCACGGTGTCGTAAGTCCAGACGGGGTCTTCTTGACCCCTTTGACGCCATGACGTCTCAGTCTTCTCACTCTCAAGGTACGCTCATCTGGTTCATTTCCATGAGGAAAGTCATGAGTCGAATCGGAAAAAAACGCAGATGCTTTGACGCCGAACCCTCCAAGCGCGGACCTGAGTGGTTCTCCAGCCGGACGCTTCGGACCGCGTCCGTGCCCGCCCGGACCATCCCGAAGTTAAGCCCGGACGCCGACAGCGTGACACGTGGCCCCACCGCAGAGCCGCTGCATTCAATGCGGATGGAGCGCCCGGTGGCCGTGGGGATCTCGAACGTCGCGGACGCCGACGTGCCGGCGGACGAGGGCGAGTACGTCACCTGGAGCAGAGTGACGTCAGCGATGTCTGTCTCCGTTGGGCTCCGGGGTATTCGGACGCGGAGACGGAGTAAGTCGCTGATCGTCTATTCTCATATGAGCAGTAGAAGCCAGAGGCAAAGAATGCCGACATTTGCATGGAATTTTTCACAGCGAAATGCTCGCGAGAAACCTTTTGGTGCTCAGGGTTCGACTGCTTCAGCACTGTCCAAAAACAGCTCTTTCACAGCGGTGCCGCTTTTACTTGTAATGAGGCGGACTGCAGATCTGAGAAATTGCTGGAGGACAAGCCTCTCTGCTGTCACCAGCGTCTATCTTGTTAACGTCAACGGTTTGGACGGTTCAGATTGCTTCCAGACCAGAGTTCCTCATCACGTGGCATTTCCTAAGGGTTGTCAGCTGAAGCCCAGATTGCACTCTCAGACAGGCTTCATAGCTGAAAATCGGACGGCTGTGACAGCGTTCC